GCTTTCTCATCCCTTGGGTACAAAACCCAGTTCTCTCTGCCGTGACTTGCCCAGCACCACTGGCAGCTAAGCCTTCTGGAACATCGGCCTTGCCTGGTCGTCCTTGCTGGGCGGTTCCCGCATCCTCACCAGCGTCGGAGAGGCCCATGGCAAGGATGTCCCCCCACCCGCCACCACGGAAATCCTCAGGCCGCCAGAGGCTCGCTTTGATGCTGGAGAACTCATCACACAGAGAGAGCCGGTCTCCAGGCAGGTGAGCGATGACCCCGGGGGCCAGCAACCACCTTGGGGCTCATCCCAGATAATGTGTCCCCGACACGTCTGACCTTCAGGAAGGAGTCCAACGGGTGGCTCCGCAGGAGGCAGATCTGTGGTGGAAAGGCCAAGCCACCGCGGAAGGCAGCCGACATCCCTGCCGAGGGCAACTCCAAAGCCGCACAGCTGATGGCCAACTCGCTGGCCACTGCAGGCGCCGGCCTGGCGGAGTTGTGCAAGCTGGAGGCCAGAGGATGTCACCTCCCAGCTCTCGGGACATCACCTCCCTGCTGGCCAGGTAGGGGTGGGAGGCCGGGGGCTGCTCATCCAGCTGCCCCAGCCAGGCTGGCCCTTCCCCCGCCTCCTGGGGCCATCTGGCCCACTCCCAATGAGGGGCCACCTGCCGTCCTTCTGCCCCACCCCCCCAATCACTGTGATTGGCTTAAAATGAAGGGAATAAAAGTAAAGTCTCTTCAACTCTCTAAAAAAAAAAATCATCACGAACTTTGCAGGAAGCAAGCGCACTTCCCAAGAATCCCTTCAAAACAAAGAGTGAGAATAAGCCAGGGTATTGGGATGGGGGCGGCCCAGTTGGGGAGGGGGTTTAGACAGTGACATGTGACCTTGGGCAGTAAAGACCCACAGGGCAGAAGATGGACGGTGTGGCCCCCGGCCGTGAGGGGGAGCAGGTCCTGGAAGGGGCTACCTCAGAGGATAAACCAGGAAACCTTCACCCACCAAAACCAGGGCCTCTGAAGAAACTTGCCTTTCTCCCTTGCAGTGGAAAAAAACAAGAATAAGACCTGGCTGCCCTCTGAACCACCAGCCAGAGGCCTGCCCACCTCAGTCCCTTCAGATCTGGACGCCTGCCTGGGAGCAATTAGCCACCAAGGTAGTAGCGCCCCCTCGTGCCTGATTGGAGTAACTACACTTTTCCTAAGGACCAGCTCCCTAAGTCAGGAGCTTCAGGTTTTTCAGAATTTAAGTGCAATTTAAAAATATATACATTTTGGGCCTCCCTGGTGGCGCAGCGGTTGAGCGCTGGGCTGCGAAGATGCCCGCAGCCTCTGCAGTGCCAGTTTGATCCCCGGCTGCTGGCGAGGGTCCCACATGGCACGCAGACCTCTCCTGCCACCCAATTAAAAAAATACACACACACACACACACACACACACATACATTTTGGGCCTCCCTGGTGGCACAGGGGTTAAGTCTCAGAGCTATCAAGCTATCCCCAGCCACTGCAGCACGAGTTTGATCGCCGGCCAGGGAGAAACCCACACGGCACAGCAGACCTCTCCTGACTCCCCGCTGCTCCCCTCAGCAGTGAATTTCTGTCAATCTGCGTGTTCTGCTCCCCACTCTGTCTCTGGTGAATCCTCTCATGCCCCCTAGCACCTCTGGCCTACACTCTACCCCATTTATGTATGCATAAATAAATAAAATTAAAATATTTTAATAAATATATGTATAATTTCATATATACATTTATATCATTTATATCACCTTACATTTATAAGGATAAAAGCCACTATGAGTCAAAGCATGAGTAGAAACAAAAGCAACAGATTTCTCTCTCCAAGGATTTCAAATGTTACATTTATCAGATAGAATGTAGAATAATCAGGCATTAAATATTTAAATATAGAGAAAAAAATGAAAGAGAAGAAATAGTATAAGAATGATTATGTAGGGCCTCCCCTGGTGGCGCAGTGGTTGAGCCCTGGGCTGCGAAGCTGCCTGCAGCCTCTGCAGTGCTGGTTCGATGCCCGGCCACTGACGAGGGTCCCACATGGCGCCCAGACTTCTCCTGCCGTGCCCGCTGCTCCCCTGAACAGTGTATTTCATCAGTCTGCCTGTTCTGTTCCCTGCTCTGGCTCTGGTGAATTCTCTCACCCTCCCGCGCTTCTGACTGTACCCAGTGCTTGTATAAATAAAATAAATAAATCTTTAAAAAAAAAAGAATGATTATGTATATTTTGGGGGAGAAAAGCCAAGAGAACCCTTATGGCTGAAGAGAACAAGAGGCAGGTGGGAAGAAGCCACTCGGGTTGCAGTGCGGGCACAGTCTGTCGGTGCTGCCAAACCTTTCTGCTCTGGGGCTCCCTTCACCCAGTGCTTCTTCTCAAGCCTGGTGATGAGGACGGTGACATCTAGCACATGTGTAGTGCTTACAACAGTGCCTGGCAAGTAGAAAACATTTTATAAATATTCATTTCTTTTTTTTTTTTTAAAAAGATTTATTTATTTATTTATTTATTTATTTGTTTATTTATCCAAGCACTGGGTACAGTCAGAAGCGCGGGAGGGTGAGAGAATTCACCAGAGCCAGAGCGGGGAGCAGAGCAGGCAGAAGGACCGAAGTCCACTGCTGAGGGGAGCAGCGGGCGGCAGGAGAGGTCTGCGCGCCATGTGGGACCCTCCTCCGGTGGCCGGGGAGCGGCCGTGGATGGAACCGGCGCTGCAGAGGCCGCGGGCAGCCTCGCAACCCAGCGCTCAACCGCTGCGCCACGGGGGAGGCCCTTCATTTCTTTTTTTTATGATTTATTTATCTATGCATATAAGAACTGGGGCACAGGCCAGAGATGCGGGAGGTGAGAGGATTCACCAGAGACAGAGTGGGGAGCAGAACAGGCGGATCTACTGAAATACACTGCTGAGGGGAGGAGCAGGGAGACAGAAGAGGTCTGCTTCTAGGTTAGGTCTTAACCCCTTGTGCCACCAGGGAGGCCCCTAAATATTCATTTCTTTAATCCTCCTGATCTGCCTGTACTCAGCCACTTCCTGTTTGTCCCTCTTGCCGGCCAGGCACTCTGGAGCTGGGGCTGTGTCTCCTTCGTCTCTGCTGCCCTGGGTTCTGGCATGCCTTCTGATCATAGGGGTGTTCGTTTCAGGCTTGTAAATAAACTGAAATTATGCTCGTAATTTCTCTGTCCCTCCCTCTTACACCTGCAAAGCCCCGAGCACTATCTTGACAAAAGCGCGGGTCTGTTGGAAGAGGAGGGCCCTCTCGGCTTCCTCTTGTTCCCTCACCTCGGGCCCCATCCCCGAGGAGCTTCCCGACTTGGTTTCTGGCCACCATCTTTGCTCCACACCTTTCCTGATGTCCTTCTAGAATTAAAGATTAGAATCTAGATGTCCAACTAGAATTAGAAATTTTATTTTATTTTTAAATATTTATTTATTTTTGCATACAAGAGCTGGGGTACAGGCCGGAGGTGTATGTGTTGGGGGGTGGGTGAGAGGATTCACCAGAGACAGAGTGGGGAAGAGAACAGGCAGACTGATGAAATACACTGCTGAGGGGAGCAGCGGGCGAGACAGGAGAGGTCTGCCTCGCCATGTGGGATACTCGCCGGCCGGCCAGGATGGAACCGGCACTGCAGATGCTTCACAGTGCGGCGCTCAACTGCCTGCGCCACCAGGGGAGGCCCCTGGCTTCTGACATGGGACGCCCCATGTCAGAAATGGAATGATTTCAGAAAAATAACTCTACATGAACACGGAGAAGGAAAAACGGACTCTGTGAGGAAAGGTTAAGTGATTTGGGGCCTGAGGCGGGCCTTAGGTAGGCAGAACTGTCTACCGCATCTCCATGTCCAGCTGCCAGCTGTTGAGGGATCAGAGGGGGAGCAAATAGGGGTGCCACCTCCCCACGATCCCATTTAGAAGGGGATCCCATGTCAGGAACCCTGAATAAACGCCTCCTACCTCTTCTCGCGCAGGAGGGGGCGGTGAGGGAGAAGGACTCGAAGTGAAAGGTGCTTGTCAGCACGGAAGCATGGCCCAGGCGCTATCCCTGACCAGTAGGTCTTGGCTGAGGCAGCCGGGAAGCGCCTGAGCTGCGGTCCTGGAGGCAGAGGTGCACACTGGGGCTCCCTGCGCAGAATCCATGACAGTACACACTCATGCACACGCACACACGCACCTCCCCACTTGCTGGAAAGGCCACACGTGGGATTCGGGCCAGGAGTCCGTGTCGCTTCCCCAGGCCGTGTCCTCTCAGTGACATCGTCCTCTCCGTCCTGCCCCAGGCTCGGCCTCAGGTCTTGTCATCAGCCACATACTCAGCCTCTCCACCGCCAGGTCTCCCAACTTCGACTCACCTCAGTTATTCTAGAAGCCCTACATGACGTGTCCCCCAACCCAGATGAAACACTTCGGGGCACCTACCACCCAGCTTGCTGGGCTAAAGGCCCCTTCTGCTCCCTGGGCCTTGTGCTCACCTCCCCCTGCCGTGCTCCGAGCTGGCCTCTGTCCCTGACCTCTGCTCCGCTGTCTGTCGCAGCTCACCTCCGCCAGGAGTCTCCTGGGCTTGACAGGCCACAGCGTGTGCCTTGCTGGCCTCCTTAATCACACGCCACCCTGTCCTCAAGTCCTGTCAGCAGGGGCCCCATCTTTGCCACCTCATCACACAGGGAGCCCGGCTGAAGAGATGTCATAACATTGTCAGGAAATGACGGACTGCGTGAACACCTAGTCTGAGTTCTGGGCCCTTTCTGCTTCCCAAGGAGGTCCCTAGCTGGCCCCCTCTTCCTGGGCCTGCTGTCCCAGAGCGAATTGGTCACAGCAGCAGAAATGTCCTGGGCAACACTTGGGATCTGTGAGTCCACCAGGGGGTCCCCATTCCCTGGGGATTCTGGAAGAGGAGGCTCTCGGCCAGTCAGCCACAGACAGCGGCAGCAACCCTCAGCCGTCGATTTTAAAAACTGGTGTTGGAAGTTCCTACCTTGGCCTCTTAAATAACACCCCAGCTCTTTTGGAATTTGAAAACTTTATTTCCAGAAGCGGAAGTGTTCTTAACACAGAATTCAGGGGTTGGCCTGACTGCAAAGCCCGAAGACCCCCTCCCAAGTCGTGGCCTCCCTAGAGGTTCAGAAGCCACCGGGCAGCCCAGCTCCCCCAGCGCCCCGTCTTTAGACCCTCCTCCTGGGGTCTGGCCCACTTCCGCTCAGAGCGCACGCTTGGTCCCCCAGCTTGTCTCTCTTCTGCACCTTCCATAGAAGCTCCATTTCCACGGGAAAGAGACCAGCCCCCACGCAGCCGTCTGAGGGCGTTTCCATGGGAAACAGAAGGGGAGGGCGGGCAGCAAGGGCCCCTCACAGGCAGCACAGCCGCTCCACCTCCTCCTCACACGCGTAGAATTTTTCAAATAGCTCGGGGGAGGCGCCATTGCACTCGAACCACCTCCTCAGCGTGCCCAGGGCCAGCAGGGCATCAGCTTTGGTGGGCAGGGGTTCGAAACCGTCCTCTCCGCCCCCTCCCTCGTCCTCCGTGCCCAGCTCCTCTTTGCACACCCCAAGCCCAGGATCCTCACCCTCCAGGTCCACAAAGCGGCGAAACTCCTCGTGGCTCAGCCCACTGGGGACTGGCGGCATCTCCGTGACCTTGCCCAGGGACAGGGGCGCCTGGCAGGGAGCCAGCCCTTCCTGAACAAAGCTGCTGAGGATGAGCTGGGGGGACACCTTGGCCCAGGCCGCTGCCGCCAAGTGCAGGGCGTCCAGCATCGTGATGCCCGCCCCTGCCCGGGCCAGCGAGGTACCAGTCCTCTCGCTCTGGATGGCAGCCAGCTTGCCCAGCAGCCGGTGCCTGTAATGGGCCTTGAAGGCCCGGACCACGGAGCTGGGCAGGGCAGGTGTGGTGCTGGCGGTGGGCAGCGGCAGGAGCCTCACGTGGCAGAGCCCGGGCAGGCCTGCCAACTCCTTCCCCTCATGTGCAGCCAGCAGCAGGGCAACCTGCCGGCCCTGCTGCCCCATGTCCTGGTCAAACTGTGCCAACCACTCTGCCCAGGGGATGCCCAGGTCAGGGTGGTAGGAAGCGGGCAGAGCCTCACTGCTGACCCCAAAGAAGCATCTGGGGGCTGCCTGGAGCCCACTGACCAGTACCCGCCGCTTCTCTGTGCCCTGGCTGTTGGCACACAGCAGCACCTGCACTTGGTCACACGCGCCTACTCCGCCGCCGGGCACTGCCCGATACAGCAAGGGCACTTCAGCACAGCCGAAAACGTCCTCTGCGGAGAAATCTTTGAGGGAAAGGGGTGGCTGGGCCTGGGGCCTGGGGCCTGGTGGAGGTGGCTCTGGGGTGAACGGAGGCACCAGGACATGTCGGGCCCCAAAGCCCACATTGTTTCGGCGTTTCCAGCGGACCAGCCAGCCGATGCTGGGCACGAAGTCCTGGCCCATGATGTCGGCCAGCTCCTTGGCCTTGTGCAGCAACATGGGCCCCGTCACGTCCCAGGCCTTGGCCCGGGCCACGTGGTACCAGCAGAGCAGCGCCTCGTCGATGCTGCTGTACTTGGACTCCCGCTTGCGCTTGCGCTCCCGGTTGGCGGTGCCGCTGCACCAGTCGGCCAGCAGCTTCTCCTTGTTCTTGCAGATGCGTGAGATCTGAGGCTGCGAGACCTGGAAGCGCCGCGCCACCTCTGACTGGGACATCTTGGACTCATCCAAGAGCTCCAGCACCTGGATCTTCTCTGCCAGGGAGAGGGCGTGCAGCTTCTTCTTGCTGTTCAGCTCCATGGCTCCTCCAGAGCGCCTGCGGGAGGGGGACACCGTGAGGGGTGCATGCTGCTGGGCCCGGTGGCACGGGAGAGGAGCCCAGCCGGGAGAAGAGAATATGTCCGGGCGGAGGGCGAGGGGAAGGCCGACCGGCGGGGGGAGCCCACTGGTGAGGAGGTGAGAGGGCAGGGTGGCGTGGGCAGGGCGGCTGGCATGGCAGGAAAGCCAGAACAGAGCTGGGGAGGGGACTCCGGGGTCAGGAGGAGAGGGGAGTCTGGCCTGGGGTTTGGCATCACTGGGGGAGAAAGATGAATGGAGTGGAGGGCACAGCTGCAGACAACAAAGGCACATGGATGTGGGGGGCTAGGCAGGCAGGTGTAGGGGATAATGGGGGGAGGGGAGGGATCCCAGCAGGGGGCTGGGAGTGAGGAGCTGGGCCGACTTAGATGCTACTGGGGGCCCCAGCAGTGGGTGAACAGAGTTGGGGTGACAGGTGCACCGACGACAAAGAGGCCAGATCGGGGCGAAGGAGCGAATGTGGTTTGCCGCTGGGTGGGAGGCGCTCAGGCTGGGCGAGGGTCCGGTCTGGGGGGCCTGGGAGGGCGCTCGGCCGAGGGCAGGTGCCCCGGCGACAAAGGGCCCGAGGGGTGAGGAGGCGCGGGCGGCGAGGGGGGCGGGCGCCCCAGCGGGGAGGGCGCCGGCCTGGGCAGGTACCGGGGCTGGGGCCGAGCGGCGGGGCCCGGCGGGCCGGGCGCGGGCTCCGAAACCCGGCCGGCCTCTCCCAGCTCGGCGCGGAGTCGTCGGTGGGGCGGCTCCAGCGCCCGCCGCCCCGGGCCTCCCGCCTCCCGCCTCGCGCTCCGCACCCACCTCAGGCGCTCGTCCCGCGGCTCCCGCCCCTGCCCTGGCCCGAGCCCGAGCCGTGTCCAGGCGGCGACGGGAGCGCCGGGGAGGGACGGGCGCCGCGACTCGGAGGGCGGAGCGGGCGGAGGGGCCGCGCGGGCGGCGGGCGGCGGGCGGCGGGCGGGCGGCGGGCGGGCGCGCGCACAGCGGGGCCCCGAGCGCGCCGCCCGCGCCGGGCTCTCTCCCGGCTGGGAAGACCGCGGGGCGACCGCGGGGCTCCCACCCGCCGCAGCCCCGCCCCGGCCCCGCCGGATTGGCCCTCCGCCGCGCCCGTCCCGCCCCCGCTAAATCTCATTGGCCGTCGAGGAAGTGGCGGTTCCTCGCCCGGCGCGGGGACGGGGCCTCCAGGGCGGGGGCGGGGCCTCCAGGGAGGGGCGGGGCCTCCAGAGCGGGGGCGGGGCCTCCAGGGCGGGGGCGGGGCCCGGGGCCGGAGTTCCCGCGGCGCGGCCGGCGGCTGCGGACCTGGGCCCGGGGCCGACCTCTGGCCCAGCGATCCCCGGCCACGAGCCTGGACGGCGTCGGCCTCTCACCCCGCAGGCAGGGCGATACCCCTCACGGCGTGGTCAAAGAAAATGAGGAAACGGACGCAAAGTTTAGGCCACACGAACGGCGCCACCTTGGACAGCGCTGGCCGCAAGTCCGCGTCCACCAGGCGCAGCTCGCCGGGGCCAGGGCGAACTTCTGCTGGTTCTGGCACCAACTGGCAGGATTCAGGCTCCGAAACTCAAAGTCTGGTGTCAGCCCCTCGGTCCTGCCTGGGCTTGCTCTTTGCTGTAGAAACAGCCTGCAGCCCACCCCGCCCCAACGCGCCTGCTCGCCCCTGTCCAGGCTCGGCCCCCCCCCCGCCCCCCGCCGCGCCCTCCAGCCCGCGGGAACACTTGGGCCACAGGCCTGGGTCCCCATCTCTTTCCTTCTCCTCTGGGGGATCCTCTTTTCCAACCTCGGTCAGTTCCCATCTCCTGCAACACCCCCCCCCCCAACACACACACACAATTCCCCCTCACCTATGCCCGCTAGTGTCCTCGTTTTTCCTGTTTCTTCTCTGGCCCTTACTCAGCCACCGAGGAGGGAGCCTTATTCTCCCCGCTCCTGACCTTTCTCTGTGTTTAACACGAGGAGAGGGACGGTGGTGTTCCCAGGAACCCCCAGCCCAGGCACCCTGCTTAGTCACAGCCCAGGCCACAGATTCCAGCAGGTAACTCCGACTTTCAGACTTTCTGGAAAACCCCAAGGACAGTAGTCTCTAAAAAAAAGTTTTAAGAAGCGCAGAACAGGGCCTCCCTGGTGGTGCAAAGGGTTAAGATGTAACCTATGAAGCTATCCACAGCCACTGCAGCACGTTTCATCCCCCACCAGGGAGCTACCCACACGGCACAGCAGACCTCTCCTGACTTGCCCACTGTTCCCCTCAGCAGTGTATTTCAGTCTGTTCTGCTCCCCACTCTGTCTCCGGTGAATCCGCTCACCCCCCACACCTCTGGCCTGTACCCCAGTTCTTGTATGCATAATCTTAAAAAAAAAAAAAAAGGGCAGAACACACTCCAACGAGGTACACCAGGCGCACAGGGCAGCAGTCAGTGGGGGCTGCAGGGAAGGGAACGGTTTTGTGGAGAGTCTGCACCTCCCTCTGCTCCTCAGCCCCTGGAGCTGCACACAAGCAAGCAAACCAGGTGAGCAGTCTGAGGTGCTCCTCTATTCATTCCTCAAGCAAAAGGCTTTCAAACCAACCAGCGATGTCATTAGCTTTCTGGTGTCATTAGTACTTGTTTATGAACTCAAGCGAGGTCGTGGCCACGGTTTGCGCCCTATATCCATGTCCAGCCTGATTTTCTCCAAACCCATCAAAACAGGATGCTGATTTAACCCAAATGTATTAATCAAAACTTTCCTCTTTAAAATAAGAAACTGATGTAACTTGAATTTACGTAGAACTTAAACCTGACAAAATACCTGATTTTATATGTTTCACATACTGGGGTTTCAGCGAAAAAAATTAATTTTGGGAGAAAAGCTGTATTTCAAAACCAACCTCCCTGTCCCCAACCCCCTCAACAAAACACCACCTTCCTTTTCTTCCTCAGGAAGCAAGCTGAGAAGCGGCTTTTTAAACCAGGACAGGGAGTCCGGAGAGAAAGCACGCAGCAGAGGGCTCTGTGTAAAAACGTTTATTTGTACTAATGTTCAGAGTACAGGAGCTAAAGAAAGAAAGAGACCTCAACTCCAAAGCAACAGTGAATCAGGGCCTGCCCACAGCCAAGAGGAAGGCCACTCCAGGTGTCCTGGCAAGGCTGTCCCCCCTACTTAATGTCAATGTCACCAGGCAGAAAACTGAGGAATCAGGGTGTGAAGACCTTACCAGCTGCTAGCGAGCGTGCAAGGGAAGAAAGGGGTGTCTAAGTGGCTTCCCCAAGAGCCAGGAGCCAGGAAACACAGAGCAGGAGGCAGAGGCTCCAATTCGGTTAAGGGCAGGAGCTGAGTGCCCAGGTCCAGGAAGAACAAAAAGGGGATTTCGGAGGTAGGCTTTTTCGTCGAGTTAAAAAACAGGCACATTATCCAACGTCTCCCTGTGGCCCCCCAAGTGCTGGCCTGGCCCCCTGATGCTTCTGCTGTCCCCACAAAACCAAAGGGAATAAGGAGGGGTGACAGAAGACAGAAAATTCCAAGGGTGGGGAATGCTTCGGTTGCCAGAGACCACCTGTGGCAATGAGCCAGGTGAGCCTAAGGAGAAATTGGGGTGAAGCTGCCACTCCCCCTCGGGTGGGGTGGACAGAGACGGGGTAGAGCCAGGAGGGTGAGCAAGAACGTCCCGCTCAGGCAGAGGATCCTGGGTAGCAGGAACAGAGGGCGACAGAGTCACCCTGCAGGAAGGGGCAAGGCGAAGCAAGCAGCAGCACGAAGGGCAAGGACAGCTCCTGCAGCGTGGCCGCAGCTCAGGCGCTGCTCACTCCCATGGCTCCTAGCAAAAGGCCCCGGCCAGGCTCCCCTCTGGGGAAGAGCAAAGCCTGGAGACCACAGAGGAGGCAGAGCCAAGAGAGAAGTGAACGGCGGCCCCCCCCCCAACCCCCTTCTGAGACGACACTGAACCCTGTGATCACCAGGCTGGGGCCCAAGGCAGGCAGAGTGAATGCACTTCATGAGAGCAGTGAGAAGCGGGCCCACAGGTAAGCCTTGGGGCAGTGTGCTGCTCCGTCTCCCTGAGGGCCTGGGGCCCGGGGTGGTCAGAGCTGCCACCCCAGTTTGCTGCTGCCAGAGGCAGGTTGGCATGACCACCCCAAGGTTCTCTGGACTTGTGAAAGACAAGAGGAGGAGGAGGAGTAAGTTGGGCTGGGTATGAAAACCAAGACAGGAGGAGGGAAACGGCTCTAGGAGTACGGGGAGCAGGGGCGGCCACATCAGGAAGAGTTCTGGTTCTGGTAGATGGACGCTTTCTCCTTCAATAGGTCCAGACACAAGTGGCAGCTCCAACTTCCTGCAGAGAAGCACAATGGGGTGAGGACGGATCCCACACCATCCTAATCTGCTACTCTCCATGCCCACCCCTCACCCCCAGGAGCAGAAGCAGCACGGGGAGGTTGGCAGATGCCCTACAGCAGCCAGGTTTCGTGATTATCCTGAGCTGGGAGGACCCTCTAGATCTTCACAGTTCTCAGTGGCGATGGAAGAACTAACTGCCCAGAGAACCATTCCAGAACAGACTCTGAGGCCTGCCTGCCCTTATCAAGGCAGCATCTGCATGACGGCCCAGGTGGGTAACATTTTTTAAAGCAGTTTCAGACTTGAGACCACAAAATCAGACTCTGCTCTCACAGGGGTGAGAATGAAGGTGATGAAGGGACACTCCAGAGATGCCCACCTTGGTGCCCTCTGCTAGCTTTCTAGCTACGATAGAGGCGCTCCTGCCACTGGCGTGTGAGCAAAGGCAAAGGACCTGCTCAGAGGAGATGGGGTGAGCTACCATGTCCTGAATTTAGTTTCATAAAAATAAAGGAAATAATGTCCCTGACAAGAAAACTACTTTATACCTTGTTTATTATGGTTAATGCACATAATGTGGTTAGAATCTTCTGGGCTTTCCTTTCTTTAAGAAACAGAGTTAGCCCTTAATGCTTTGAAATTCTAAGCACAATCATATCCAACAACATTGGATGTTATTCTAGGGGAAAGAACCCACAGCTTTTTATCTGTTTCTTAGAAATGTGACTTGACAATGTGAAAGGTCCTTTTAGTCCCCAAGGCCAACAGGCAGGTATCAGAAGCTGTTTCCGAAACAGCCAAAGCGACACATTTCAGGCTGTGAGCCGCATCCAGTCTTGGTTCTATCTTTTTCAAACTCCCTTTAAACATACACGTAAAAATCACTGCTAGTCTTATGAGCTCTATAAACTGGCTGCAGCTGGATTTGGCCCATTGGTCAGCGTTTGCTGACCCACGTCTAGACCATCCGAGGGCCTCCAGGGCCCCCTCGGCTGTCCGCAGCTCCGCACCTCAGTCCAACAGGACTTCAACAGGAAGCCCCTTCCACAGTGAAGACAGAATTTTGTCTGTAAACTGGTATTTTATATTTAAAAACAACAAAAACCACACCACTTCTCAAAACCACGTATAACCTGGGCATGACAGTGGACAATTCTGAGTGCACCCCTGCAGCTGCTGAAGGCCCCCCGACTGCCTAGGCTGCCTTCTCTGAGGGATGAAGAGCTCAGCCTATGTTGCTGTCAGCTTATACGCAGGGAGCCACTTTCTCTGGTCAGTCACGCTGACCCACGTGCTTTGTGCACGCACAAGCCCCCACATTTCTATAGAAGGGGGCTTTGGCATGGAAATACGGCCAGAAGACTTGTAGAGAGACAGCCGAATTTTGATGGCTCCACTGGCTTCCTGAAGGGCCTTCCTAGACCTAGAGCATCACCAGGTAAGCTGCCGGGGAATCAGACTGCAGGAGACAAGGGTGGCAGGGGAGCACGCCGACTCCCTCCAGAACAGGTAGCAGGGAGAAAGGACACAGCCCGGCCAAGTTCAGCGAGCTGAGAGCGAAGTTCCCCATCACCAGCTCCTGAAGGGGACAGATCACTCCTGTGGTGCACGCGTCTGCTTGGTGTCTGCGCACTCTCCGGTTTTTCTGTGTGTGTGTGTGACCAGTGATAACGCGCAAACGTTAAACTCCCAGGACGAAATGCTATGAGAGCATTCCACTGAGTCAAGACTAGGTGCCTGGGCCTCCCCAGTGGCTCAGCGGTTGAGCGCTGGGTTGCGAAGCTGCCCGCGGCCTCTGTGGCACCGGTTCGATCCCCGGCTGCTTCCCAGCCACCGGAGGAGGGTCCCGCATGGCGCACAGACCTCTCCTGCCGCCCGCTGCTCCCCTCAGCAGTGTACTTCGGTCCTTCTGCCTGCTCTGCTCCCTGCTCTGGCTCTGGTGAATTCTCTCACCCTCCCGCGCTTCTGACTGTACCCAGTGCTTGTATAAACAAAACAAAGAAAGAAAGAAAGAAAGAAAGAAAACATGCCTCTATAAAAAAAAAAAAAAAAAGACTAGGTGCCTGCACCCTAACTTGGGAGAATAAACCACTGAAGAGGACTGATTTCCTGTGTAAGTGCCCCACCGCATCACTAACAGAAGAATTATTTGAATAAAGGGTGGGAGCCAACGTACCTTCTGGGGGCTCCGACATGGACGGGGTGAGACAGTACATGTGGTAGCCACGATCGCAGTCGTCACAGAAGAGCAGCTGGTCCTAGAGAAGGCAATATGAAGAGGGGAGCAGATGACTAAGGGGTCAGTCAGGCTACTGGGGGTGGGCAGGCGAGAGCCTCTGTAGACACTGCTGCTACTTCCAAAAGGGCAGGTAAGAGCAGGCGTGGACATCGCTAGGAAGAAAACCACTGCTGTCCACCTCCACCCAGGCCATGGCAGTGCTCCCCCCACTTGCTCAGCTTCCACTCTTGTCCCCCACAATCTAGCCTCCACAGAGCAGCCAGCTATCTTTTTCAAACGTAAGGGAGACCACATCACTCCTGAGGAGTTCCTGCAGCAGCATGCCAGGGTACTCAGCACAGAACCCTGGCGGTGCCTCTCCTATCTCTTCTACCCGCACCCCACTGCAGGAAGCTCTGGCCCGCCTGCTGGCCTCAGTACCCTGCACTGTCTCCTCGAGGCCTCTGCATGTGCCACTCCTTTCTTGGGGATGCTCCCCCCAACCCTTCCTGGACCTGGTCCTCTGTATGACCCAAACCTCAACATAATACCACCTCCTCAGACAAGTCGCCTCTGACAACCTAATCAGTTGCTCAGTCACACTCTGCCACATCCCTGTTTGTTTTCTCTGTGGCACATCAAGAAACATCCCTTGTTTCCTCACTTATTGTGCGTCCCTACAAGAATGTCAACTCCATGAAAACAGGGACCTTGGCGTCTTGCTCAGTGTCCCAAGAACCCAGAACACCCAACCCGCAGTCTTGCTCAATGAACACCAGCCGACAGTTCCAGTGGGACCGGCAGAGGTGTGCAGGAGGGGCTGGCTCCCCTTGAAGAGAAAGCTCACTTTGGGGGAGCTGTGGAGAGAAGAGCAGAAGCGGGGGTGGGGAGGCACGCACGTCGTTCTCGGAGGTGCCGCAGATGTTGCAGCACTTGCACTCGATGCATTGCCAGCGGTAGGTCTTCACGGCCGCCATCATCACGGGTGTGAACTGGAGGCAGGACGGGTGCCCTGGGGGAGGGGGCCGGTGGAACAGACCGTCAGAGACGGGGCAGCAGCAAGGTGACCTGGATGGCCGGCTGGGGCCTGGGGACCAGCCCCTGGTGGGGCAGCCGGGCAGGAGGGGTGGAGTACCTGAGCGGCCACAGTCAGAGCAGGACACCAGCTCCTCGGGCTGCCCTGTCTTCTTGTTGATCTTTGAGTCCCCCAGGCAGAAGTCACAGTAGTTGTTGGGCAGGGCCAACCCATCAGGGCCCTTCTTGGCTGCAGGGAAGAGAAGAACTTTGATGACAGGCCTCTGGGCCACCCCCAGGCCTGCAGGACCAGGCCCCCAGCGCCCTGGCTTACATTTCTGTTCCTCGGACCTCTGGGAGACCGGCGTGGGTGGCTGAGAGTCTTCCTTATCCTCGCCCTCCTCCTCAGCCAAGTGAGAATGGGCATAGTGGTAACTGAGGCCTGGCCGGTTCTTGTAGCGTTTTCCACAGACTGAATGGGGAGAAGGTCGCAGAGAAAAGTGTCAGGATCTTCGAGTGCCATATGTCTGTAGCTCCAAGTTGTGGGGTTCCACCTGAGGTGGAAGCAACCACCCCCAACCCAATAAGCTCTCCCTGGGACAGGCCAAGAGTCTCAGACCCTGGGGGTCTCTAACTTCCCTGGCTCACTCGCTGCTCACCCCCAGGACCACTTCTCCTCTTCCACACCAGCTGCGAGAGGCTGAGCCTGTGCCCACAAGCAATTGCTCTAGGAATAGTCTGGGGAGCTCCAGATTGAGAAGGGAAGGAAGAGACCCCAAACTTTTTACCTCTCAGTAAATGTGAAGGCTCTTGTTACCCCACATAGACCACAGAGCCATCTCTGCTGAATGTGGATAGAGGAGGGGGGACTGGGCTCTTAGGGGTAACCTACCGAGTCAGCCAGGTGGCTAGTCCCCCAAAAGAAAATCAAAGACACTCCCACATCAGTGTCTGGCCCAACCCCACCAGCCAGCAAGGAGCGCAGACCCCACGAGGCAGCTGGTGAACTCGATGACCAGGAAGAGCAGGGGCCAGCAGGGAAGGGCTGGGAGAGGACAGGAGTGGCGGGGCGCACCAGCTGACCACCAAGAATTGTTCGGGGGAGGGAAGCAGAGGGCTCTGTAATAGACTCCTTATAATGCTTTCGAGGCCACCCCATGCAGTGGGCCCCAGCAGCCCCAGGAGCAAGTCTGTGGGAGATAAGCAGCGGGAAAGGCAGCTTCTGGCCTGTGAAGAGTGGAGCGCACGGCGGCCCCCTGCTCGACCCAGTGCCATTCCAGAGACTTTAAAGCTAGCATCACAGGAGACGAGAGAGGCAGGAGGAACGAGGGAGGGAAAAGGGACAGGAAAACCAACAGGCTGAAAAGTTGCGAGAGCTACCTCTCTGGGGCGCTTTCGAGGTATGCTTTTGTTTGAAACTATCTGAAAGACAGAAAGAAAAGTCATGAGAAGAAGGCCTTGACACAGCTGAGACGGGAGCAGCAGCAGCAGGAAAGCGGAGCAAACGAGAGAGAAACCCCAGTGGCCGTGGCACTCCCAGGGTGGAGGGACAGAGGTGGGGTGAGTCAGAGGAAAGGGACAGAAAACAGACACCGAAACACTTGGCATTGGACTCCTGGGGCCCTGGTTTGCCTGGGGCCAACAGACCCGGATGCCGTCTACTGAGGCCAACCCTGCCAGCAGTGCACCTACAAACCCCCCGCCCCCCACCCCTGAGGACAGCAGACATGTCCCGCAGATCATGCAGGCCCACCCGTCCTGTGGTGGAGCTAGGGCCTCCCAGGGGGCTCCGAGGGAGCCAGCCAGCAGGCAGGTCAAGGGCCTGGCCTGTTTGACCCCTCTGAGCAAGAACACAGCCCTCCCTCCTCGCATATCCAGCAGGGGCTGGGTCCACAGCAAGGACTACCCACCCAATGGTGAGGCACTCACTGTCACAGGCATAGGGCTTGTCCCGATCCTCCAGGATGGAAGCATCCAGCTTCTTACGGGCACTGCCCACACCTTTACCCTGACAAGAAGAGCAACAAGATTGCTTCACCAAGATGCCTAGGGTTGAAGAGTGACAGCCTCCTGAAGCGGACAGGGAAAATGGCAGCAAAAGCAGTGAAACGGGCAGAAGCCTGTTCCCCGGGATCCCCTCCCCAGGCTTGTAGGCAGCACCCTGATGCCTCACCTTGGATTTTCCCTTGCCCCGACGCTTAGGAGTGTCTTCCTCATAATCCTCATCATCAAGGTCATCTAGGAAATCATCCGGTTCTAGGATCCGCTGAGGGGACAGGATGATTAGGATGGGCAGAAATAACATACACACCAAAATTCCGCCACGCTGGGACCAGCAAGACCTCCCAGAACCTCTGTGGGAGCTGGGCCACCCACTCCAGCCCCCTTCCTCACTGTTTGCCTTCAAGCACCCCGTGAGCCCCTCCTTCTCCCTTCAATGCTTTGGGCTTCCTCCTTCTGCACCTCGTCTTGTTCCCCTGGCTGGAACGCCTTTCCCACCATCTCTAAGCAGCCAAATCAAACGCCACGCTTTCACAGAGTTTTCCTGATACCCCAAACCCCTATGTCCTTCTAACACGTCACGTCCTAAATGTAAATTAGAGCTTGGCTGCTTACAGGTGGGGCCCTGTGGAAGCGTGTAAAACTGCTCTGCTGCCACCCCCTGTAAGTGAAATGGGCCCCGCAGCACCTACACCGCCTAAGGCTGTGCCGCCTGGGAAATGATGGAAAAGCACTCAGCACCGTGCCTGGCATGGTACTTGGCCCTTACTACTTCCACGTACAATTTCATCTTCTCTGTTGGCAGGGCCAGGTCTGCTTCACTTATGTAACCCCAGGCACCAAAACATTTTTTGACAAAAGATGAATGAGAGAGTGTGTACTCAGGAGCCAGGAAGACTGGACGGCAGCAGTCAGTGCCCAGCGCTAGCTAGGGAATGAGCAAGCAGAACTCCCACAGTCTGCCTCCTGGCCCGATTCCCCTTCCTCGCTCCTAGGTGGATCTCTGATGAAAAGGAGGCTGGTTTCCATCAAAGCTCATCAATCACAGTGTTAATCTGGTACCTTCCTTGCGCGACTGTTAGTCACGGGAAACTCGCCCAGGCTGTCATCATCAACTCGGGGATCCGGGGCACCTCGCTTCTCCAGGGGGTCGGTGCGCAACAGAGCCTCCAAACTACTGCCGTCCTGAGAGATCAGCCCCTCCTTCTTCAGAGTCTGGTCTGTGTCTGCAGGAAAGGTCAGGATGAGACGAAGCTCAGCAGGACTGAAAGCAGACTGCTCTGGTCTCCCCAGTGCTAGGCCAGCCACAGGCTAGTCGCTGCAGGAGCCAAGAGACCGTAGTCCGCCTGGCATCATAACGTTTACCTGCCTTTCCTACTAGACCGCATACTCCACAGGGAGGAATTGTGTCTTATTACTTTTACTATTTCAGGATCTAGCGGTGAGCCGGGTACACAGCAGGCGACTGGCAGGCCTCTTACCATTCCCTAGGCCACCCCCACTCAGGCAGGTGTGCACTTTACCTGGTTTAATGGATGGAAAAGAAAGTCGTGGATCCTCAGGGGGGTGGGCTCGCCGTTTTTTCCGCCAGCGACGGGCAGGGTAAGAGTACAGCTGTCCAGAGGCCAATCCTGTGGAAGGAAGAGAGAGAGGGTACTCAATTCAGCCCTACCCTAGTCCTAGAAGATACGATGCAGCACTTTTGAGATGAGCAGGTCCCCCTTGAAAGCAAGGGGGTGGTGGAGAAGGCTGTGGATAGTAAGGAGATGAGGGAGGAGAATTTGCAGAAATAGCGGCTAGGCTAAAATACACAGCTCACAGAAAGCCAAATAACAGCCTCAGCAGGGTAGAAAACAAAGATACTGGTGTGAACCTGTCCGCTTCATCCTCTCTGGGTTTTTTTTTTTTTTAAAAGATTTATTTTCTTTTATTTATTTATATATACAGGAACTGGGGTATAGGTCACAGGTGCAAGGGGTAAGAGAATTCACCAGAGACAGAGTGGGGAGCAGAACAGGAGGATCTACTGAAATCCATTGCTGAGGGGAGCAGCACGGAGACAGGAGAGGTCTGCTGCGCCATGTGGGTCAGCTCCCTGCCTAGGGATCAAACTCATGCCGTAGTGACTGGTGGTAGCTTGATAGCGCTGAGACTTTAACCCCTGCACCACCAGGGAGGCCCCTCTCTGGGTTTCTAACTACAAGAAGGCTGCGTTACTGAAGGGGGGAGAGCTCTCGCCGGGCTCATCGCCTAAGGTAAAGAAACTGCTCCCACACTCCTGAGCCTGGACCCTCACCTGGACCCCGGTGCCGCTTTTCCATCCAGATGTAGCAGTTGCTCTGGGCTACTCCCGTCTGCGAGTCCAAGAATGGCAGGCGCACGCTGCGCTCGGCACAGAGGCGGGCGTTGTAGTTGTGGCACTGCTCCATGGCGTCCTTGTAGTACTGCTCCCCAAGGCTGCGGGGAAAACAATAATCAGGCATGTACAGGTTGGGGGGAGCAGGGGTGGGTGCTGAGCTCGCCCTCTCCCTTGCCATCTGCTTCTCTGCAAGGCTCAAGGGACTGGGAGGCTGCCTCGTGGTTCTGTCTGCCTCCATTTCTGCCTCACGGGAGCCAAGCCCCTTCGCTAAGTCATTATGGGAAAGGCACTTTGCAAATGAAGCGCCATCAGGAACACACGGTTTCATCATGCGTCTGAGCAGACGTAAGTCTAAGCCACAAGCAGGGAGGAAACTAACATTCATCCTGTGCCTCTCATGCGTCCAGCCCCGGGCTGACAACACGCTGTCTCTCGTCACACTCACGGCTGAGCAGACACGGGGTTTTACAAATAGGCAGAAGGTTCGACAAGGTCTGGGGACTTACTATAAACTATATACCAAACGGCAGTATACACAATGAAGTTCTATTCAGCCACAAGAAAATCCCAAACAGACGGGAAGTTCTTCCTGGGGCGATATCACACAGTCTCGAGACCCCGGGGGAAAGGCAAGTGTGCGCGCTGCGCAGGGTCACGGTGTGAAACGAAGAGGTGGAAAAGCAAGTGCACGTTTCCAGGGAGCAAAGCCAGGTGACGAGCGGCTTTCTCCAAGAAGCCAGTTCCTCTCTCCTGAAGCGGGTATCAGCAGCTCATGCTCGGTGCTGATTTCACGGTCAAGAGGACGCATCTGAGGCCACCCTGACCTCCTCAGAACCCACTTTTTAGTGAGCACTGTCATAGGCAAATGCCCATCCTCATTCTCACACCATCGAATGGCATAAAAAAAGACGCTTTTCGAACTCCGAAGACTCGATTTGAAATCAGAATCAAGAGCAGACGTTTAAGTGTTAAAAAGCCGGAAAGCTGCGCAGAGCAGGCGTCACCCGCGTCTGCTTCTGCGCGGTGCTCCACGGGGCTGGTCTTGTCCTCCCTCAGGGTTTCTAATGAGCACTGCAGTCCTGGTGTTCAGCCCAACTATACCAGCTCCCATTTATAAAGAAACAGACTGAGGGCGGAGGCGAGTTCTTTCCCACGTAGCCCAAGTGCCCATGAAGGTGTCTGGGACATCCTGATTTAAGTTGGCAGTAAAAAAGACCTCGTTTGGCTCCAAGTCACCCCACAAATGTGGACACTATCCACCCACGTGGACCTCAGACTCCTCTGCTACAGGCTGAGGGAGCTGGACTCCATAAGCTGGACACATTCTAAGAGAGGGAGACCCCGGCACCAGAAGCTGGCTGAGAAGTCTCTCTTGCTTATGTCCACAACTTGAGCTACACCAACAAACCCTCCTCTGAAATCTAAAGGGGCTTGTGCTGAGCAGCCACATTAGGCCACTGAGACGCAGCTTAGCATCTTCCCAGCAACTGCAAAAGACACAACACCACACACACGGGCAGGGGCACCACAGACAGCCTGGCTGGATCCAGTGAGCGGTAATGACTGTCATTTGAGGTGGGCAGGCATCTCGGGCTGGAGAGGAGAGAGAAGGGAGCCGACTCACAGCCGCTTGCCTTTAGGAGGCAGCCACGTCCTCACGACACAGAGGAAAATTGGATAAACAAGGCTGAGTGCAGCAGCTCCTTTGTCTCTGCTGACGGAATTGATACTGACACGGGAAGTCAAAGGGAAGGAAGGGGCAGACAGGCTGAGGGCTGCAAAGTCGGAGCACGGAGGCTGGAAATGGTTTCGGGGAACGGATGAGAGATGTTCTAGCAAAGCTTTTATGAGTGAAGTGGGATTTCAGAAGGTGGGGAAACTGTCATGTGAGTAGGAAAGCTGGGCTCAAACACTTAAGTTGGGGAAGAGAGGATCTGAAGAAAGTGAGCGATCTTAAGAACCTGAGGCTCCTACTGAGAGAAATTACAAGCTAACAGTATTCTCCAGATCTTGTTACCTAATTCAGAAGGTTTCAAACCCAATCACAACTATTTTATAGTCTAACTTGACCCTGTACGACCCTGGTAAAGACTTCCTCAATCCCGACACATTCGGGAGGGACAGAGAACTCACAAATAGGACAATTCTTCTCCCAGACGAAAGCCAGAAATGATGAGCGAGTAGTTCTGACTTCCATGTATAATCTCAGCTGTCAGAAGACCAGGCACCATGATCCAGTGACACATGCCTTTCCAGGCTGAGAACGGCACGGTAGGACTGGAAGCACCTTCTTAAAAGGAAAGTTCTGTAGGGAGCTGCATTGCATGTGCTCCACAGCCCTCTGCGGCCAGGCCTGAGGAGAGACTTGGTTTCTCATTACTGGGTACTCAGAAACCAGTGACTGGTAACCCTCAGGTGTCTATAGTTCTTTGAAGAGAAGTAAGAAGTCACAGTCTATTTACATGGACTCCTAACAGCACAGGAGAGGGTTCCCCTGAAGATAGCCTTCCCACGCGAAGACCCTCTTTACCCGTAACTCTCAAAACCTAGGAAAGCCTGACCTTCCCTCAGTACAGTAAGATTTCCAAGGTAGCGGCTTTGATTCTTTTTCGGGAAGCGTGAAGCTCGTGTAAAACCTCCCCTTACCCTGGGATGAGGGGAGGCAACAAAGAGAAATGCAGCGAAACAAAGAAGGAACATCTGAGTCAGGAAGGATAACTATATAAATCGTAGATCAACAGCGTCATTTCTAAATTGAGGGAAATGTCAGCCTGAAGAGAGAGCTGGGGAAGCTGGAGTGGGCAGATCAGAGAGAAAGATAATAGTGTTGGGAGCAGGGGTGGCTGAAAGAGGCGGCAGGAGAGAGCTGAAAGCAAGTTGGAAAAAAAAAAGCAAAAACCACAAGAGAAGGAGAAGGCACTTAGCTTAATGGAAGTGGGAAAGCTTCTCAAAGAAAAAGCTCCAGGCAGGGGAGGGAGAAGCAAGGCAACCCTTTAGAAAGGCTCCTGGGAAAAGTGGGGCTCAGCCCTCAGCCCACCACAAAGGCAGCGAGGCTGTGAGTCCCTCAGAATAGCTCCCAAGTCTCTGCCTTGTCATCCAGTCAAAACCCCGGGGCCACACAGGACAACTAGACTCCCCGATGTTCCCGCTCCCGCCCGCGCCCGGTTTACCCGTCAGACGGGCCTGGGCCCCGTTCACAACTCCCCGCCGGGAGGGAGGGGTGCGGGGGGGGGGCGCTGGCTGGATCAAGGCGCCCCATTCTCCAGCTCGCAGGCGGCGGCCAGCGGGCGGCCCCCACGTCCCCAGCCGGCGCCCCCTGTAACTTGGCGGGCGAGCTGGCCCGCACAGGCCCCCGCACAGCGCGAAGCCCGCCGGCCCGCGCCCCGGCACCGTCCAGTCGTCTGACGGCCCGAGCAACGGCCACGGCCGGGTCCCCTGAAGTTCCTCCCTCCCGCCCCGCTCCGCAGCTCATCCCCCGAGAACGGCCGCGGCCCCCGACGCCCGCGCCCCCTCCCCAGGCCCCGGGTCTGTGGCGAACACAACCGCCGGGGGGAAGCCCCGGCGCGCCTGTTGCAACGCGCGGGCGTCCGGCAGCCGACGGGGAGGGGTCGGCGGCCGCGCCGCGCGGGGACCCGGTCGGTGCCGGGGCGCCCTGGGCCCGACTCCTCCGGACCGCGGCGCCTCGGGGGCGAAGAGGACGGGGTCCGTCGGACCGAGCAGGGCGCCATAATCCGGGAACCGGGAGCCGAAGGAGCGCTCCGGCCGCGCGGGGAGGCTGCCCGTCAGGGGCGCCCGTGTGCCCCCCTCAGGCCTCCACAAGTTTCCAAAGAAGCGCAACGTCTTCTCCCGAGTCTCCCGCCGGCCTCGCCACTCGCAGCCGCAGCCTGGCCTTCCCGGCCGCATCCCTCCCTCCGCCTCGCCCCCTCCCGCCCCGCGCCCCGCTCCCAGGCCCTCTCCAACACCTCCCGGCCTGGAGAAAGGAAGCACCACTCACAGCTTCACTACATTTTCGACCACGGCCGCCATCTTCCCTGCTTCTCTCCCTCAGGCCGGGAGGCCCGGAGCCCGCAGCGCGCAGGCGCCGGGACCGCTGGGGGAACCGGGTTTCTCGTCCTTCTGCGCAAGCGCCGCGCGGGCGCGCGCACGCCTGGGAGCGAGCGCCGGAGAGGCCGCAGGGGAGCCCGACGCGCAGGCGCGATGGACACGGGCGCGCGCCCCAAGCTCCTAGTAGAGCCCCGCCTCTTGGATCTGGGGGTGCGGGAACCCGGAGCACCTCTTTCGGGATGAGGCGCACCGGGTATGTGGAGGGCAGCGTCCTGCTGCTTTGCCGTCCTTTCAGCTCGCGGTTAACCCTTTGCTCTTAACACGCGCTGGCAGTTGGTGGGGAGCTGAAGGCAAAGAGTAATGCACAATTACAGGTCCCCAAAAGTGCCCGTTTTAGGGGGAGAAAAATTAACGCCCGTAACTGGGCAGTTCTCTGGCCTGAATATTGGGATCTGACAAGGTACTTCACCTTCCAGTCACCTAACCCAGCTCATCTTCACCGGCACCCGCCTCATCGCTTCCCACACCTCGTCCCACCCCCTGCTTCTTCCTACTTCTCTCCTGGACCAGCCCCACACTTCTTGGCCATTCATTTCTCCTTCACTATTGAATCATGCACATACCCGTACAAACATGGCTTAATAATCCTCTTTTGAAATAATCAGCCCTGCCTTAAGCCATCTCTGCCTCCAATGATCACCCTGTTGGATTTCTCCCTTTCAGAGCACTCAGTTTGTGCTCGCTGTGTCTGTTGACTTATTGCCAAGTGGCTTTCTGCCTAGTTGAATGGGAATTTTGTTCCTACCAGTTCATTTGAAACAGCTCATAAAGTCATCGTGTCCTGCATTTCAACAAACGTAGAGATCGCTGTCCTCATCGACCTGTCAGCCCCCACTACACCAGCAAGCACCCCTCTCTTTGTTCAGACTCTCCTCCAGCTCTCTGAGAATCCCCTCCAGGCTGTCCCAGCACGTTGGCAGTTCCTTCGGCCGCTGGCTGGCTCCCTGTCTTCTGTTCCACCCACAGCTGTCAGTTTCCAGAGCTTCGTTAGATCTTATTCCATCAATTCAAAAAATGCACATATTCCCAGTCCCTTCCACACATTTTAATATTTTAGAATCCGGACATATCTGAGCATCACTTGCCTTAAAATAGTGTTTGGCATATGAGAGCTGTAGGCTCTTTGCTACCACTTACCCTGAACCAAACTTGCAGAATAGGTAAGTAACCACCACTTTCAAGGAAAGCCGAGATGATGCAGTTGGACTCTTTACCTCTGGGAAGCACGTGACAAAGGGCATCAAGAGGTGACTCCAAAGCAGGAGTCAAAAGCATGTGTGGTAGCCTGAATGTGGGAAACTCCCAAAACTCATTTGTTGTAGCCCTTCGAAGGGCGGCCTTTGGAGGGAATTACGTTTAGGTGAGGCAGTGAGGGTGGGATCCTTATTTGGGATTAATGCTCAAATATGAAGAGCAAGACAGTTACCTCTCTCCACCAGGAAAAGCCATATGAGGGCACAGCAAGAAGGCAGGTGTCTACAAGCCAGGAAGCAGGCCCTCCCCAGGAACCAGGTCTGCTGACACTTCATCTTGGACTTCCCAGCCTTGTCTGGTGTTTAAGTCACCCAATCTGTGTGTTTTGCTAGCAGCCCAAGCTGACTAAGACAGTATGTTAGCACCACAGCTGAGCATGCGCCTACCGTAAGAGCCAACAATTCCATTCCTGGATATCAACACCAAGATGCACGTACAAGAACTTTCGCCACTACATTCATTGTAATAGTCCCAAGCTGGAAACACCCCAAAGGCCCAGGACAGTAGGATGGGCCAAACAACAAGGAAAAGAATATACTACTGATACATAGTAACATGAATGACTCTCAAAAACTTAGTATTGAGGGGAAAAAATTAAAAAGGCAAAAAGAGAGAGACTCAAGTGGGGAAAAAAACGAAAAGAAACTTAATCGTGAATCAAAAAGGCAGCCCGTGGAGGGGTCCTCCCTGGTGGCACAAGGGATTAAGACGCAACCTATGAAGCAATCAGCAGCCTCTGCAGCACGAGTTCGATCCCTGGCCACATGGCGCAGCAGACCTCTCCTGTCTCCCTTCTGCTCCCCTCAGCAGTGTGTTCCAGTCAGTCTGCCTGTTCTGTTCCCCACTCTGTCTCTGGTGAATCCTCTCACCCCCCACATCTCTGGCCTGTACCCCCAGCTCTTGTATGCATAAATAAATAAATCTTAAAAAAAAAAAAGAAAGAAAGGCTACCTCACGGAACAGTAGACGCTCTTCCTGCTCCGAATGAGTGACTGGGATCTACAGTGTCTCTGTTCCAAACAGGAGCCAAGGAGAAGTGGGAGACTGCAGCCTTTTGCAATCTGAACTTAAGACTTTTATAAGATGTTTGTTGAGCCTGCAGCACAACATTCTGGGGGAATGCTTCCGCCAGGGGGCGCAATAATGACATCTCAAAAATGATTTCTGAAAACTCCAATCCTGGAGCTTACTGTACCCCGCCATGGACACAGGCACACTTGAAGATGGGACCCCAACCTCTCTAGACTTGTAGCCCAGAATGAAGTTATCTGGTATTTGTGTGGTCTGAGAAAGTTCCAGCCTTGAACTTGGATTAAAATGTATCCATCCTTATAATGCCCCTTAACCTGGCAGAAACAGCAATATGTATAATATATATCAACATGTTATATAATATAGACTTACTTAAGAAGCAACGTAACATTATATTTATTTATTTAATTAATTAATTTGAAAGCATCCATGGATGCTGGGCATCCATAACAGTGAACTATAGTAACATTTGTCATTTCTTCAACAACTTCACTTCCGACTTTGGGGAATTAGTTTCTTGAGTGGTGTTTGTGGGACATGGTGACTGGACATTGCTCTGGAAGCTGAAGGGAGACAGTCTGTCTCTCCAGCCCTCCTTGATATAAGCAGGTGTCTTGAGTTTAGTTGATCACACACTAGGGGTCCTGCCTTGTTTCCTTTTCACCACCCTGACATGGCAGCACTGAGTGGTTTCCGGGGGGCCCTTTGGCTGGTGCCTGATGTGAGTGGGGTGGAGTAGGGAGCAAGTCCAGGGGAACCAGGACAGGCAGGTCCCCCGTCCATGGGTAGTCTGGCTTCAGCTCAGGTCCAAGGTCAGGTGCTCCCTTCCATCTGGTGAAGCCCTAAAGAAAGTGTCCTTTTTTGTCTTCCTCTCCCAAGTCAGATGGGACAAGCCCCCCGAGCCTGAGGGGGAGCCTGCAGACAGGAAGGTGTTGGCCTTTCAGCTCCCCACCCTTTGCTTTTACATTTCACCAGGGTCTACAGCCCACCCCCATCAGGGAGGATTATAGTCAAATACAGGCTTTGGGATCTCACAGACCTGGGTTCAAATTCCACTCAACAGTTGTGTGATATATCTAAATGAGGACACAATTTCAGATTAAAACAAAAAAAACTTGGCAGGAATATAAAATGGTGCAGCTGCTTTGGTGCAATACAGTGGTTGCTCAAAAAAATTGAACATGGAATTCCCATATGATCCTGCAATTGCACTTCAGTGTAAGTTCCCCCAAAGAATGAAAGCAGGATCTCAGATATTTGTTCTGTTTCATCTGTGTTGACAGCAGTATAATTCACAATAGCCAAAAGGTAGAAGCACCCAAGTATCCACCAATGGGTGAATGGATGAACAAAACGGTGATTAAATAGAATATGACTTAGCCTTGAAAAAGGAAATTTCAATACATGCTACGGCATGGATAAACCTTAAAGATGTTAAGTGAAAGAAGCCAGTCACAAAAAGACTCATACTGTAAGATTCCCATTTATATCAAGCCCCTAGAGGAGTCAAACTCATAGAAACAGAAAATAGAATGGTGGGTGCCAGGGACTGGGGAGAAGGGAGAATAGGGAGTTAGTATTTAAGGGTATGGAGTTTCACTGTGGGAAGATGAGAAAGTTCTAGAAATGGATAGTGGTGATGGTTGCAGAATAATGTGTATGTAGTCAATGATGCTGAGCTGTGGACTTTAAAATGGTAAAAATGATAAATTTCATGTTGTGTATATTTTATAACAATAATATATATATATATATTATCTTTAAAAAAAAAGAGTCCTGTCTGGAAAAAATACCCCCTGGTCAAATTCTTCCTCTAGTACTAAATCTGCCTGGAGGCAGGAAAGACTGGGGTGAGTGAGAGTTTGGGGTTCAGAGTGTCAAGGATGAAGAATCAGGGAAGAAGGGGACCAAAGAGGCTGCCCACGGGGTCTGCACAACCAGACACAAGCTCCCCCTCAGTGTGGCCGCCCTCTCCATCTCACGGTGCCTGCCTAGGTCCCGGCCCCTTACCCGGCAGCGACTTCCTCTGTGATCGTGGTCCGTCTTCCACGTGACCTGGCTGGTGACCTTCCTAGAACCTGGATCTGATCTGGTGTCTCTCCTGCTTAAAGTTTCAGCAAGCGAAACTGCCCCAGGTTGACTCCCTCCTGCCCCAGCACATTCCCCACTCCCAGGATCCCTTGTCAGCCCCACAGTGCTTCAGAACCCCTTCCAAATGACAACTAATCAGTATTACTCCTAATTTTCTCAATCCTATGAGGTAGCTATCACTGAGTCCATTTTGGAGGTGGGGAAACTGAGTCACCGGCTCAGGGGGATTCAGAGGTCTAAGCTCTTTTCACCACATGGTGACTCCTCTTTGTCCTCCACCCTGGTGCCTCGTGCCGTTACTTCTGCTCCAGCAGAAGTCTCCAGCTTGGCTCAGAGTCACTGATCACCCTAATGTGCCCTCACACTCCCACCCTCCACCTGGCATTGCTGGTGACGTTGTCCAGTGCTCAGCGCTATTGGAATTCATCTTACCTATAAATTTAATATCCACCCCGCTCCCCCAGCTGGAACGGTAAGCTCCAGAGGAGGAGAGCTGCATTTGCCTGGCGTCCCAGGCCTGGACACACCCCCTCAACAGCTCTAAGGTGGTGAGTCCCTGAGCTCATTGGACCCCCACCAGCCCAGGGCAGGTCTCCCTCCTGACAGTCTCTCAGTGCTCTGAAGGAGGAGGCTGGAGGGTCCCTTGCACTAGGCCTGGGGTTTATCCTTCCACTCTTTGGTCCTCCCCCACCCCCAGCAGACCCCGGTTTCCTGGGCACAGCCCCCAGCCTCCTCCGTGCTTGCCACCTTCTGACAAACACCCGAATCAGGACATTTGCAGGTGGGACGTGCTGGGTTCCTGCCTCATTCTCCTGTTTGGCCTGCCCTGCCCAAAGCCCTCTGGGGCCAGAGACTCCCCCCAGAGTCAGCCCACTGGTCTGACTTTAGGGGGAACATTGGGATAAGATTGCCTGGCGCACAACCACCAGCAGCAACATTTTATTGCAACCAGAGTCTGCTGGTCACACAGGGAGGGGACAGGGCAGAGCAGCTGCCCCCGAGGCTATGCTCCCAGCCCAGGGTGTAGCCACGGTCCCCCTGGCTGGGACCTGGCTCTTCCCAGACATCCGACAGGACTGAGGCAGACAGGGGGTCAAAGGGGAGTCTGTCTCAGGGGTGCCTTCATCCAAGGCTCTGAGGGAAGGAGGAGGCAGTTGGTGTGGGAGTCCAAGTGGCCCAGGATGCTCAGGGCACATTGTGTCAACTCTGTGAGTGTCCTTGGGTTTCAGGGGAATGGCATGAGGCCCACCCTGGCCATGGGGAAGTGGTTGGGGGCTGGGAACAAAGGTTTAAAGTGAGACCACATGGCTGGGACCTGGGGATCCAGACTTCGAGGCCAGAGCTGGGTCCATCCCGCCTTCAGGCATCCACCCCACGGGCATCCACGAGCACCCCTCTGGCCCTCCTCTGTCCTATGTGGGGATCTGCATGTGACCCAGGTCCTGGTCCATGATCTGGAGGACATCATCCAGGATAGAAGGCCCCAGGTCCACGTGCAGGGAGAGCAGGGAGCTGGCGTGGGACAGGAAGGGCTCCTCTGCCCCTGAGTCGGAGGTCAGCCCAATGTGGTCAGCTTCTGGAATTCTCCAGAGGTCCACACTCCCCGCCTCCTGCAAGGACGGCTGTGGGGATAGATGTGGGGTCTCCAGGTGCAGGCGTGGGGGTTTGGGTGGGGCCTGCGTCGTAGGCAGGGTAAGGGCCTGGGGTCCCCCGATGACAGGCAGGGAGATGGCGTTCTTGAGCAGAGGGGAAGGCCCCTCGGGCAGCTGGTGCCCACACAGCGTGGCGGCACGGGTGAACTGGAAGGGGAGGTCGAAGGTGCCCTCCACCTCCTCCGGTCCCTGGGCACCTGTGCCTGGCAGGAGGTGGAATTTGCCCTGCAGGAAAGAGATGTCCCCGAACATGTCGCTGCCGCCCCCACTGCCGATGTGGATGGTGTGGCGGAAGTCCCCCAGGGGCGGGCTGATCATGTCCGACGACAGCAGGTCCCGCAGCTTCTCTTTCTTGCCCTTGCGGCTGCCCCGCTTCAGATAGATGGGCACTTTGGTGGACATGGTGACCTCGCCGCCTGGCCTGGCTGCAATGCCCAGACAGTCCCCTTGGGCCGGCCCGCTCCGCCTCCTCTCACTCCCTCAGCCAGAAACAGCCAGACAGAAACTCAGCACCCAAACCTGCGGGGCCTGAGCCTGGAGTGCGCAGCCTCCCCAGGCCAAGGATCAACGATCAATGAAGGCAGAGGGCTGAGACGATAAGAATCTTCTCCGAGAAGGAGTGTCGATTCTGACAATCGGGTGGACGCAGCGGGAGCAAGCTTCCCTGGGTCGTCTGGGGCGCGTCTTCCGGCCGGGCTGAGCAGCTGAAACGCAAAGTGTCCAAGTCAGGGAGAGAGCACAAAAGGCAGACATGTCGTCTTATTTCTGGGCCCCCCCCCAGCACCCCGCATCTGCCCTGGGGCTCCTGCTGGGGATGCTGTCCCTTTAAGGCCAGACCGCCAGTGCCTCGCTCCTCCCTTTACAAGCGGGGAAACTGAGGCCCGGGAACCCAAGTGACAGGCCCAAAGTCACAGCGTCCCTGTTCTGGTCGCTTGCCCCGGAGGCCCGGCTCTGCATAGTACCACTGCCCGCGTGCTCACCCCATCGCACACCAGGGCAACCCAGTGTGCCAAGTGCCGAGCAGTACGTGTGGGTGTGTCACAGACTTGTCTCACTTCCTACTTGACCGAGGACAGGTATCCTTACTCTGTCTCACCCACCCAGGCCTGGCACAGGGCTGCGCATACAGTAGGTGGGCAGCCAACAGAGCTGGGTGACTGACGCCTCCCAATTGGCCCAACCAGGGAACCCGCCCTGGAAGGCGCTCACCTTCAGGTTTCCCTTTTCTCCACTTGCCTCCAGGTTAGGAGTTTCTTCTGGGCAGGGGCTGAATCTAAGATGGTCTGTCTCTCCTCCCTGCTCCAACACCTGAGGGGAAGATGGAGTGGGGGAGGGCAAATATAACTGGGGGGCTCTGCTCTGTGCCCAAGTTCTTTTTTTTTTTAATATTTATTTATTTATACATAGAAGAGCCGGGGCACAGGCCAGATGCGTAGGTGGGTGAGAGGATTCACCAGAGACAGAGTGGGGAACAGAACAGGCAGACTGACTGAAGTACACTGCTGAGGGGAGCAGTGGGCGAGTCAGGAGAGGTCTGCTGAGCCATGTGGGTTGCTCCCTGGCTGCTGGGGATCGAACTCATGCTGCAGAAGCAGTGAATTGCTTCATTGTGCGGTGCTTAACCCTTTGTACCACCAGGGAGGCCCCTGCGCCCGAGTTCTTTGCCAACGTATTTAAGCACCAAATCACCCTCCTATCACTGCCCATATTAAAATGAATGCTATTGGGCCTCCCTAGTGGCCTAGGGGTTAAGTCTCAGTGCTATCAACACTATGGCCTTAGTGCAATCCCCGGCCAGGGAGCTGATCCATGTGGCGCAGCAGACCTCTCCTGTCTCCCGGCTGCTCCCCTCAGCAGTGTATTTTGGTCAGTCTGCCTGTTCTGCTCCCCACTCTCTCTGGTGAATCCTCTCACACCCTGCACCCCCCACACCTCTGGCCTAGACCCCAGTTCTTCTATGCAAAAATTAATAAATAAAATCTTTAAAATGAGCCCTATAAGGCTGTTGAAGACACTGTAGGGGAGAGAAGCAAAATGCAAAGCTGTAGTATAGGAGAGCCCAGTTATTGAAAGCTCTGACATGCAGGTCCACGCAGCTGCGCACAGAGGAGAGTGTGGAACCAAGGGTTGTCACATGGGCCACCCCCGGTGGGGTCAGACATGGGAAGGATCGGTGTCCTCAATAAAATGATCAGTAACATTGAGTCCTGTGGCTAGAAATGATGGCTGTAAATAGGAGACTCATCGCCAAATGCAGGGTGTCAGGGGCTGGGATTTCAGGTGCCTTGTCCTTTCTTGCTCATCCTTTTATAAACACCAATTCTTTTTTTTTTAATAATCTCAAATTCTTTATATATATATATATATATATATATATATAAAGAATATAAAGAACAGGTGTATTAGACAAGGGACAGGAAAGTAAACGATTAGGAAAAGGGACAGAAGAGTCAAGTACACTCGCATAGCTCTTCAGGAAGAGCTGCCCGAGAGGGCCAAGTTGGCTGAGAGAGGCCTGCATGGTTGCAGGCGGGCGGCCTTGAGGAGAGCTGCCTCCGCTGAGGGAGGTCAGTGCAGAGAAGTCCTGGCATAGTGTAGGTCCCGGGCAGCCAGGTGGCTGCTGCCCTGCGGAGGAGAGAGTTGGTGAAAAGAAGCACCTGCATAGTCACCGGTGGGCAGGCGGAGTGCTGCCTAAAGAAGCTCAAATTCTTAATAATAAGCACATGTGGCTAACAAAATCAGGGGAAGAAACTATTTTTAATGTGGAAAGAATGAATTTGCTGGAGTGTGTCCTACCGGTTTAACAGAGAAGACAGCGGAGCAGACACCCCTCCCCCTTCCCCACGGGGGGGGGGTGCGGGGAATTGGCCCCACCATGGATACAGGGAGCTGAGATGGAGAATCAGGGCAGAAAAGCAAAGAGATTTGTCCAAGGTCATCCAGCGAGATGAGCCCACCCTCTCCCCACCCCACCGGGGCCCAGCCAGGGCAGAGAGGCCTCCCTGGGCAAGCCCTGCTGCCCCATTCTTCATGGAGAATGAGGTGCTGGCAGGAGGGAGCAGGAGGAAGGAGGACGCAGAAGAAGTGCTGCAATGCCCCCACCCCCAGTGCGGGTCCTCCCTCAGGAAACCCCACCCCAGGCCGGACACCCAGGGTCAGTCAAGCTGAGCCCCCAGGCCGGACATTGGACATCTCGGCCCGCCCCGAAACACCTGTGATTAACAGGAAACAGAGAAATGACTCTCCAGGGGCCGGAAGTCCAGCTGAGCTGGGAGAGGGTGGGGTAGGCACCTCGAGGTCTTGGAATCCCACCATCCCTACAGTTAACAGGCATTTACCTCGAGGGCCACATGCCAGACCTGGGGCCCTGACACAACCCTGTCTCTGCCCTTGGCAGGCAAGAAATCCCAAACAGCTTTTCCTTCCCTGTGTCTTGTGGAGAGTGGGGCTAACTGGTGGGGTTTTCCAGGCCGCCCCCCAGCCCCCCATCACATAAGGGCACCAAGCCAGTGTGTGTTTCCACAACAAATCTGGCGTCCCTGACAGCTGTCTCCCTCAGAGCCAGATCTACCCGCCCATTTCCAGATGTGGGGAGAACAGAGGCTGGAGGGAGGGAGGGTTGGGCCAGCATCAGCCACCCAGGGGAGAGCTGGGAATCACAACCATCAAGCCCCAAGTATTCAGATTTGGCTGGAGACCCCAGGCCCAGCTGCCCTTGCAGTTTCTGTCTCAGTGTTCCCAGCCACAGCATGGCGACTACTGCCCTTTACACAGGCAGAGGCTGAACCTCAGAGACCTTAAGTCACTCTGCCCAGGTCACTCGGCTTGTAAGAGGAAGAGTGGGCCCCGGTTCCCAGCCAGGCCCACATGACACAGGTGCACTGGGCCAAACCAGCCCCCACGACCTGCTTGGGGAGCAGGAGACAAACAGGTTCCCAGCTGGGCTGGGGCCATTGGGTCCCCACATCTCCAACTCTCACCTCCTGGCTGCCCCCTCCCTCAGCTCCCACGTGTCAGGACAGAAGAGCAGGAGCTCTCCATCAGGGCAGGCCGCGGGCCGCGAGGGGTGGCTCCCCAGCAGCAGCGGGAGGAACAGATGGGAGCCATCCCAGCTCTGTGGGCTTGCTCTGGATGGGAGCCCTGGGCGTGGCTGGGAGAAAAGGACTTTGGGAAGCAAAGCCCCCTCCTGTCACCAGGAATACCATGCTGCTCCCCACTAGGGTGTTCAAAGAGCAGTCCTCTGACCTTGAAATCGGGAGCCCGACCTTGAATCCACCACCGCCTGTGACCTGGGCAAGCCGCTCTCCTCCCTCGGCCTCCCATCTACCGATGGGCTGACGAGAAAGTCATCGCCGGCCGCTACTGGGGACCCTCCCGTCGGACTTCAAGTGAGAGCTCCCGCACAGGGCAGCCGGGGTTCTCGGGCGGCTGTCAGCCAACAGCTCAAAGGCCTCCCAGGCGCCAGGCGTTGCCTCCCCACCCCTCAAGTTGCCTGTGGCGTCGGGGGCCCTCGCCAGTCTCGGGGTCTCCCGGGATCCGGCGCGCGGCGGGCGCCCCTCCGCGGCTGCTAGGAGGCGCGCGTGCTCCCCCAGCGCCCCGCGCCCCGCAGGATCCCAGCGCGCAGGGGGCTCCGGCGGGCGCCCGCGGGGAGCCGCGCGTTGGGGTGCCCGTCGCAGACTGCGGCCTCTCTTCTCTCGAAGGGGGTCGGGTCTGATCTTCCCATCGGGTAATCAGGGGACATGGGCCGTCAGGGCCCCGGCCCGAGTCTCCGGCCCTGGGAGGAGCCTCCCGCGCTTTCCGGCCGGGGCGCTGTCCGAGTGTCCGCTCGGCGCGGCGCCAGCGCCCGGGCGTGCGGCCCCCGCCCCTGGCTCCCCCGGGTCGGGCTCCTCGGCCGGCTCGGGTTCCCGCGCCGACCCCACCCCGCCCAGCCCGAGGCGCTCAGGACACTCGCGGCCGCGGCTGCAGATGGGGGCGCCTCCCCGTCGGCTGAAAGCACGGCCCCGGCGCGGGCGGAGCGCGGGGCGGCTGGAGGGCGCTCCCGGGCCCCGGGGTGCGGCAGGGGTTCGGGCGGGCCGGGGCCGGGCGCTCCGCAGGTCGGGGGCGCGGGCGCGGGCGCAGGGACCCGGCGCGGCGGGGGCACCGCGGACCCCAGCGCGGGCAGAGGAGCCGGTCGGCGCCGAGACGCGACCCGCGCGGGAGCGGGCGCGGGCGCCACGGGGCCGAGCCTGACGGAGGGGCCCGCGGAGCCGGGAGCCGACTGCGGGGTCCCGGCCGGCACTCACCTGGGCGCGGCCGCCGCCCGCCGCGAGGACTCCGGCGCCGCAGCGGGGCTCTGAGCCCGGCCCCGCGCCCCGGCCGGGGCAGCCCGCGGCCGCGAAGCCCCGCCCCCCCGCCGGCCAATGCGGCGGCCGCGCGGGCAGGCCCCGCCCCCCCCGGCCCCGCCCCGGCCCCGCCCCGGCCCCGCCCCCAGCCGCGTCCAGCCTCCCGCCGCCGCCCGCGGCCCCGGGTGCCCGGGCTGGACTCCGCGGCTTCCAGCTGCACCGCCGGGGCCAAAACCCGCTCGGTGCCGGAAGGAACGCGGGGTGCAGCCGGAAGACCGCGTGCTCCCGAGCGCATGGACGGCCTTGGACCGGCTTCCTCCTTCGGTGCCTGGGTCTCGGGAGCCGCCGCACAAGCGCGTGGGGTGACTTCGAGGCGCTGCACGGGCGGGAGGCACCCCCCTGAAAACGTGGCAACTCGCAAGAGCTCTCAAGAGCTTACCGCCCCCTAGAAAAGAGGGTATTGAGGGTGTGCGGGCAGAGTGACCTGGGCGAGCCGGTATCTGGCCGGGTATCTTCCTGGGGGGCGGGACCCCCACTCAGACTCATTCCTGTCTTGCTTGTTGGTTCATTCATTCTTCGTTCGTTCATTCATTCATTCTCTCACTTATTCATTCACTCCTCCATACAAAACAAGAAACTATTACTGAGGGGCAGCCCCTCCGCGGGTTGGAGACAGACTGAAGGACTGTGCCCGGCTGCCACTGGGTGATCTGAACGGGAGCAGCCTGGCCCACAGGCCAGGTGGCAGCTTCTGGACTTGTAACAGCTTTGTGGACCTGGAAGGGCTGTGATGACCACGCCCCTGAGCCTGAGGGCTACAGCCAGTGAGCACAGAAAGTTGCAGGGTTGAGAGCTGGGAGAGGAAGGTCCTCACAAAGGCCCACCCGCCCCACAGCAATGTTAAGAGATGAAGAGAGGCAAACTGGGGAGCACCAGGGGGTGGGTTAGGAGCACCTAGTGATCTGAGCAGGCTGGCGGCCCAGCTCAGGACCCTCCTGACATCAGCCACGAGGCCTGCAAAGCCCACATTGCAGGCCTGGTTTGTGCCTGACAGTGGGTTCTGTGTTTGGAAGCAAGCACTTGGGTGGGCAGTTCATGCCCCTTCGCAGAGGCGGTGCTGTCACTTGGCGTGGGATCCCTGGGGAGCCTGCTGCCGGCTCTTCCAGGTTCTGCTGAATGGACAGGACTTGGCGCACATGTGCTGCGTAACCGGGGGAGTCCTGCAATTACCCAGCACTTATAAAACAGGATCTCATTTACTAAAATTGGCCTCTTTGAAGCAACTTCTCTGGCTGTGTGTAAGGGCAAGACTGTGGGTGGGGAGGCTTGGAATCCTGAGTCAATGGGCAGCTGGGCTGTCCTGCATGTTTGACCCGAAGGACAGAGCAAGAACCGCCTGCCCCTAGCCTGCACACCATGCCCAAGACCTGAGGCCTCACCAGAGTCTGGGCCCTTCTTGCTGGTGGGGTCCTGGACACCCTGGCAGACTGAGGGGCTGGTTAGAGGCAGGGAGGTTGCCATGAGAAATGCCTGGAATGGGGTCTTCAGCCTCTTCCTCCTCAGCTTGGAGCTTGTCCTCAGCCCTGAGATGGGCCAGTCAGTCCCCCCTCCCCAAATCCCACATCTGCTCCCCCCACAGGGATCTGTAATCACTGCACAGGGACTGACTCAGCCTTCCTTCCCCTGACAGCCTCTTCTTCCTGGAAATTGCCACGTCAGCAGCCCCAGCCCCCATGGGCCCTGGGGGACAGACAGAGTCAGAAGCCCCCTCCTGCAAGGTTAGCTGGGAGGATGGGTGGGGCTCGCATGGGAGACAGGTCCCTGGGAGGTGGGGGGAGGTAGGTGGGAGGATGGGGAGTAGGAATCTGGGGGCAGTTCTGGAAACAGAGGGTGTTCTTGGGGGCACCAAGGAGGCAGTGAGCAGACACAAGTCCTCTGGAGGGCCTCCAGCTGCCCCTTCGGGCAGCAGGAACTGTGCTGGCTGGTCACACACTTCCCCCTGCCCAGCCTTCGCGCAGCCACCAGGGCCGGTGGCCTGAGCCAACCCCAGACCTGGGCTGGATTTTTCCTTGATTGTGTCTTGTTTCCGTCCTGCGTTGGGCTTCTGCCAACTCCAGCCCTGTCCTCCTTGTTCTTCAACCCCCGTAAGTGGCTGGGGATCGAGATGAGTTTCATTGGAGGCACCCCAGCTTCTACCTTAGACCCCACCTCGGGAGATGCTGGGGACTTTCTTTAGGTCTGGATTTTGGCCCCAGGCCCAGGGCCGGGGGGTTTCCAGATTTGTGACAGCTCTGTCCTAGCAGTGACAGTCTGACCCAGGCACTTCCTCCCAGAGGCCTCTGGGAGTGTCCCAGCCTCTGGGTGTCCTTGGGCCTGGGAACGCAGAGTCAGCAGGGGCTACTTCAACTGTTCCCACCCCTTCAAAGCAACTTGTCACTATTCATTTTAAAAACTCTTGTTAGCAGCTGCCTTGTGCCTAGGGCTGTGCTGGGCTAGAGAAAACACATTTGGCCAAGGCTGGGCCCCAGCCCCTTGGGAAGAGACAGTCTTGAGTGTAATAAACAGCCCATTCTACAACAGCACGATCCTTCCATGACAGAGGTCCATGAGGGCAGAGGTCAGCTCTGATTCACCTCTGTCTAGCCCAGGCAACAGAAATGAGTGAGGACCCGCAAAGAACAGATGGGAGAAGAATATGGTCTGCTAGAGGTGCAGAAATAAATGGGAGAATTGACAAGGCTTCACGTAGGTGATATTTGAGTAGGTAATTAACAGAGAAATAGGAGTGTGCCAGGCTGGAAAAGGGAAGGACATTCTAGGGCAAAGGCAGAGGCCAAGAAGAGTGTGAGTAGATGCTATGGTCAGGAAACACAGATGTTCAGTGGACCACATTTCAGGAGAGGGGGAAGTCGGAGGGGGTAGTGGGAAGGCACTGTTTCCCTGCCCATCACCCAGCCCTCTCATTTGGGTAACTGCCCCTCCATTCTCCAGGGTCTCTAGTGTGACTTCTTCCCACCCCCCAAGTTCTAGAAGAGCCTCTGAGACCCTGGTCTAGGCAATCTGAGTCATAGGGATGGTTCAAGAATGGACATGTGACACCCATGAGCTTCAGCCTGGGGACTTGTTGAGTTACAAAGGTCGAGATGCCAACCCAGGGCTACTGGCAACCAGCTCTGTCACCCTGTGGGAAGAGCCATCCTGAGAACAAACCCAGCACAGAGAAAATCTTAACCAAGAGAATGAATCCCAATAACTCTGCTTATGCCCCTGGATCCAGCCATGCCTGAAGCAGAATGATATGAACTTGAAATTGCAATTGTTGCTTAATCTGGTTGGAGTTGGGCTTATGTCACTTGCCACTGAAATGCTTGTCCATTAAAGAAGAAGCTAGGGCGGGCCTATCTCACCACAGCTTCCGAATGCCAGGAAGAGAATCCAGTGCCAGGGTCTGTTTTTCCTTTAAATTACTATGTAGCAGCTCTCATGTCAAAGCTGCCCCTCTGTGTCTATGCAGGTACCTCTTTCTTTTCCCTTTCCTTATAAATCTGTTCTTTTAAAATGTAAAAACAAACAAAAATTACTTTGTAATGCATCAATCCTTCCATGTGGTTCAAAATTCAGAAGTCATGAGAGGCAAAAAATTTACCCTCTTACCTGGTTCCCGGGGCACCCGCTCTCCTCCCCATGGACTACCAGTGTTATCAGTGTCTTGTAAATACTTCTAGAGATAATCCTTGCATTACCAGCCAAGCCCCTCCCATCTTTCTCTACACAAATGTCAATATTTAGACAAGAGCCTCAAAGTACTGCAGGCCCTGGTGGGGGTGGAGCGGGGGCAGGGAGGATTCCCTTCATGGGGGCTGGGGAAGTGACTCTGCAGGGCTGCCGGAAACCACACATACTGAAGCTCTGCTGGTCCCACAGGCCGGCACCTTGCTGCAGCCTTCTTTAGCTCACAGATTCATGGCCACTCCGTATCCGCACAGGGGTGTGTCCTGGGTGCTGCTTGTTCACGGCTGCATGGTATTCCAGCCTGAGGGTGTGCATCACTTCTGTAAATAGTTACGTCTCAGCTGTGGACATTTAGGTTGCTTTTAGCCCTTTGCTCTGACAGATGCTGCCCTGAGTGGCCTTGTGCTGACACTGCCTTACACGCGTATGTGCACAGCTGCAGAACAAAGTCCCTGAGCAGCCTCTCCTGCCTTGAGCCACCTGTCTGTTCCCTCTGTTCTGGACACCGGCCTTTCTGTCCCTCCACCACTCGAGCCAGGCGCCCAGGGAACTGTCCCCTCTGGGCCTGGGACAGTCCCTCCCTGTACCTCAGCTGGCTGCCTCCTGCGGCTCTCGGTTGTGGTGGTGTTCTTTTGGGGAAGACTTCGGGACCCCCATCAATGTCAAGTTCCCTCTGTGCTGTCACCGGGGATTCCTGTCTGTGCCCCACCGGGCGGTAACTGCTGTTGTCTTCCCAGAGCGCCGTGTGGGCTCCTGTGAATGAAAGAAGGAAAGAAGGAATGAATGAATGAACAAACAAATGAAGGAATGAGTGCATGCAGGACTGGCGGACGGGGACATGTGGGAGATGGCATTTAGGGAGTCAGAGAGCGTGAGGTGACTGCATGAGGCCCCCCACTCCCCACCCCCGCACAAACCCGCTCCTCCCCACAGCACCCGCCTCCTCCTGCGCCTCTAGCTGCTTGGGTTTCTGCGCTTAGCAGAGCGGGGATCTGCCCGCGTGGCTCGTCTCTGCATCTGACACTAACACGAGGTCGGGACGCACAACCAGCGTTTGTCACCGAGAGCAAGCATGGAGTGGCCGCCACTGTCCCCCTGGGCCTGCTGCTTTTTCTTCTCCAAATGAATGTTTCTGGGAAGGTGAGCAGAGGCGCTGAGACCAGACATTACCTCTCAGGACCCTATGGTGTCCTGTGCCCCAGATCGCCAGGGGTGCAGGTCCTGGCTGCAGGGAGAGGACATTCTCAGCCTGACCTCCGGGAGTAGGGAGCATCTTAATACATGATGGTATGTGAGAGGAGGGAGCAGAGAGGCGGCAGGAGTGTGTGTGTGCGCGCGTGTGCGTGTGTGTACTTTCTTTAAAGGAACCCAGGACCAGGGCCAAAGATTTGGAGCAGGATATAAGTGGACATGACTAACAGCCTCCCCCACACCCCCACCCCAACCCAGCCCCTGGCCCTGACCCACTTCACCACCCACTCCCAGAGGTGAACCACTGTTAGCGGAAACACTCTTAGGGGCAGGGACCTTGAAGGGGACTGGAGTCTGCCAGGGGGTTGGGGTCTCCAAATCAGACATGATTAGGCCTTCTAGACCCCAAGGCCCCCACTGTGGGGGTGGCGAAGTCAGCCTCCTGGGGGAGCCTCTGCCTATGAGGGGAGGGGTGGAGCGGGAGGGCAGCCTGGCCTGCCTGCTTGTCTCCTTTTGCACTCCTAGGGTGGGCTGCTGCCTGGGCCCTGGAGGCCTCCAGCTCTTTCTTAGCAGAGAACCCCGGCCAGGCTGGGTAGATGCTGTGCCCTCAGGCAGCTGGGCTCAGTGGGGCCACAGGCAGCAGCTGTCCCTGAGACCTCTGAGGGCCCGGCTGTGCAGCTGCTTCCCTCTCAGCTGTCAGGCTGTTCTGGGTGGGGAGGAGCCTGCAGCCTGAGGAGGTGGGTTGGTCTGAGTGGGGAAATCTGGGGTCCAGTAGTCCCAGGGGAGGGCAGCTCCTGGGCCCTGGGGGGCCCCATGGTGAGGGCCTACCCAGAGTGAGCAGAGGTAGACCTGACGCTCAGGGACCGAAAACCCATAGCGACAAGGGCAGGGGCCTCAGCACCTGAGCACAGCTGACCCAGTCCCTCCTCAGCGAGGGCACCACAGGGGTCGGCTTCTGCTCTGGTCTCCTCAGCCAGCCTCCCAGGCCCTCCCAGCTGTGACTTTTGAGCTTAATGGGTTTTACTCAGTGACACCCAGAGGGTCCTCTGGGGAGGCCATGCCCACTCCTTGCCCTCACGGTCCCAACCTAACCAACAGACTTGGCACCTCTCCAAGCACCTCCCCTCACACTGACCCTCCTCCCACACGCTCCCAGGCACCTGGCTGCTACCTGGCACCCCTCTGGTCTGTCGTTGGGTGGCCTGATTGGTCAGTGTGGCAAGGGAGCGTGAGTCCCAGCCCCATAACTAACCTGGGCTGGTGATCTTGAGCCTCCTGGAAGCATCCAGCAGGGTTTGTAGGGAGGGTGAGATGTGACCTCTGCATCAAAGTGCACATAGTAGGCCCTCAGAAATGTCAATTCCTTCTTCTTCCTAACCCGAACTGTCTTTTCTGTGTCTGTCTCCCAGTGCCCACCCCAACCCTGAAGTCCCAGTTCAGGGCTTCATTGTTTTGGCTGTAAGAGAAACTGAACTCAAACTAGAAAAAAAAAGGGGGACGGTATTTGTGGTTTAGGTTCGGGGGCCAGGGGCCTAGCGACGCCAGAGCTCAGACAATGTGGCCGGGTTCAGGACTGTCTCTGGGTTAGTCTACACTCAGGACGGGTTTCTCCTCATGGGGGTAAGATGGCTGCAGCAGCTCCAGCCTTTGCTACCAGCTCCAGCAGGTGCCTTGGCGTCATGGTGTTTGGATTATCTTAGGTCTTACATGGAGGTGCAATAGGCTGCTTGGCTTGGGTAAGGGGAGGGTGATGTGGGGTGTCCCTCTCCTCCAGGGAAAGTGGACACCGTTTCCACAGGAAGGGAGAGCGCGGGTAGGTGGCTCTGTCCTCTGGTAGCTCCCAAAGTGTCCTCGGGTTCCAGGACTCCCAGCTTCGCCATCTTTTGCAGCACCGCCAGTCCTTCCCTAACACACGGGTTGGATATTGTCCTCTCGCGCCTCAGAAGCCTTCAGCGCTCCCCTGAGGCATACGGATCACGTCGACTCCTTTGCGACTCTTTCTGGACTGCACCATCTGGCTCCCGAGCACGGCTCCTGGCCCACGGCCCCGGCCACGGCTCTTTCCCTCTCCTCCCCTCCCCTAGTCCTTCCTCCTTCCCTCTTTCCCCTCTCCGGTCCCTTCCTTCCTCCTTCCGCCCCTCGCGTCCCCTCTCGCAGGGTTTCCCCTCAGAACTGAAAACAGGCCACGCAGAAACTTGCACGCGGTGTTCACAACCGCCTCGCTCACAACAGCCCAACAATACAAACAGCTGCTCGAGACTCACCGCTGGACAAGCGAATCCGGTGGCCCCCGGGGGGACGTCGGCGCCGCGCCCGGTGCTGCCCCTCACAAGCTGGCCCGGAACAGGGCAGAAAGCCCATGGGCGCTAACGGGGAGGAGAGGGCGAGGGGCTGCTGGGGGCTTGGGGATTTATTTGGGGGGCGGTGATGAAAGTATTCTAGAATTAGATAGTGTGATGTTTGCATAAAATGGTGAATTTTGCTCGAAACCACTGGACCGTATGGAGATGGTGACATTTGTCATAGTTCAACAATGGTTAAAATGTCCAAAAATAAACCTGGCCCCCCACCCCCAGGTTGGCTTGCAGTCTGGAGGAAGGACCGCGTGTGCCCTGGCACTGGCCGTCAGGCGCCTCAGTCCGGGGCTCCAGGGCCGGGAAGAGGAAGTGTGTCCGCAGAGGGAAAGATCCGCCCGTGCGGCCACTCCCAGGCCGGGGGAGCAGCAGGCCGGTGGGTGACCCTGGGTCAAGGGAAAGGAAGCACCCAGCCCAAAGCGGCTGCAGAGCCCGAGCAGGATGAGAGCCCATCTGGGCCCTGCCTTGACCCTCACCCCTGAGCCCTGCCAACCCCCCCACGCCCCAACTTCCTTTTTGGCATCCCCTCGGGTTCCCAAGCAGGGCAGCTATGAGGGGCAGCCACGGAGGGGCTCAGCAGGGGCAGCCTCAGGCCTTGGCAGGGGCAGAGACATCAGGTCGGCCTCGAGGGCAGGACAGGGCAGCGAGGTGTGACTGGGAAGGGGTAAGAATCAGGGGCTTTGATTCTTCAAAAACGTCTACTTTGCCCCAGGTGCGTGTCTCCTGGGCATCTCTAGGGTACTGGGCATGACCAGGAGCCAGGAGATGCCACCAAGGAGCTTCTGGAGCGGTGGATCCCAGAAGTCCAGGCCAGCCAGTCTCCTCCTTGGCCCCAGCTTGCAGTGACCAGTGCCCCTCCCAGAGCACGAGACCTCCCCAAAGGTCCTGTGCCCAGGGCAGGAAACTGAGCCAGCTGATGGGCCCAGGGACACAGCTGGCAGACCTGGGGCACCAACTTCCGAAACAGACCTGGCTGCTGTCTGGGATTCACATCCTGCTTTCTTTCTGTTTGAGTTTTAAATGCCTGCTCTGGCCCTCATCGGAGGGCTTCCAAGTCACATGACTTGTATCCAGGCAACGAGGTTCTCCCTCCAAGCACTACCTTCTCCCCAGGCGTGCACCCTGCACCCGCCTGCCCTGCATGCTGCCTGGCCCTAGCCTGCAGTCTCCCCTGGCCTGCCCCAGCTGTGCCAGGGTGCAGATTGTCCCTCCCTGCTAGGCCTTGCAGAGCCAGTGATGAGAAGGGGGCTCCGTATCTTGCCAAGTGGGGATCAAGATGTTAACATGCGCCACCAGGCCCCTTCAGCAGCATGACAATAATGGTCAAGAGCTGTGGCTTCCCAGAGTTGCACATGGGCTCCTGAGATAAGGGTTGGGAGGCTGTTTATCGTCTTGGGGGGCCTGGGCTAACTTTCCCAGGAAGGGCTCTCCAAGGAGGGCGGGCTTTTAGCTGACATTTGACTTGGTAGAAAGAAAAATGATATTCTCGACCCAGGACAACAGTATCACGTGGTAGCAGTGGGGCCTGAGCTCCAAAACTGCCACACCCAGAGGCCATAAGCACCCCCATCCTGGCCCCTGCTCTCTGGATAGCAGCTGGATGCTTCATGTGTGGGGTGAGCAGTCAGCTCCCCAGCTCCCCAAGCTGAGGCTGGTGTCTAATTCTTATTTTGGGAGGGTTGCCTAGAAAAGGAACGAAACCAAACAGCGGTGCGGTGCTTGTTCTCACAGGAAGGCTGGGCTGGCCTGAAGCCTGGTAGTGCTGTCTTCTGCTGCGGTTTCGCAGAGCTTGGGCGCCGTTAGGTGACCTGGTGCTAACTCAAGGGACAGGCATTACAGCACCTCGAATGCTGCCCACAGCCCAGCAGCTGGGGCTCCAGTCTCTGCTTTGGCCTGGGAGGTGGGCAGTCTCCAGCTTAGGGCAGAAACCCACTCCCTGGCCATCAGCCAGCACCAGCTTTGGCCCAGAAGCCAAGACACGGGGGCAGGGGACATGGTGGGGGCTGCAGGTGCACCCCAAGTGGCTGTGCTAGTTGGCTGGCTGGCACGGGGAGCCAGCCGGCACAGCTCCGTGGGGCCGCCCCCTCCAGATGGAGAGGTCAGGCCAGGACCGCGGCACGACATGGGGCCACGCTGGGAGGGCCAGGCACACTGCCAGTTGCTGGCTCTGCAGCCCGGCTCCGTGGCAGGAGCCCAGCACCCCACTCAGCACAGGGGCTTCGGGAGTGGCCGAGGCGGGAGGGTACCAAGGCTGGACAGAAACCAGGTGACAGGCGCTCTGGCCCTCCCTCTGCGTGCAGGTCAGGAGGCAACGTCTTCTGTCCACCACCAGACCAGGAGCCAGGAGATGCCACCAGACGGGACAGACGAGGTCAGGAATTTATTTTTGTTTCTCCAAAAGTTGGTTGTGTATGTGACTCATGCGGAAAGTCACAGAGCGTGCTGGCCTTTTCTGAGCATGCTGCCTCCACAGCCAGTTCAGCCTGGACTGTGCGCGCCCAGGAGAAACGAAGGCCTTCTTCCAGAGCAGCTCAGCCTGGAGTCGCGTCTGGGACACAGGTCTCCCCGCAGGCTGCCGTCTCCACCCCCTGACGCAGCTGGGGTCTGTCACAGCCACCCCCAGGCTCTTGGGGGAGCTGGAAAAGGGCCAAAAGCCCTGGGTTCAGATCCTGACCACCTGGGCTGTGACACAGGGGCTCCGCCGCCCCTCCCCATCCACCGGCTGCCTCCGGAAGTAGAGCCGGCCGAAGGTGCCTCCCACTTGCCCTTTGGTGAGGCGCCCGGGATTCACACAGACACAGCCGAGGACATCCTGGGGGAAGGAAAGAAAACTGTGGGTCTGGACAGGAACTGACATGACAAATTTGGAATCACCTCAGACCCCAGAGAGGACCTTAGAAAATGGAAATAAAGGCAACCAACACCTTCAGTCAAGTATGTTGCTGTTGATAAACTCAATTCCTTTCGAGTCCCTGAAATAGACTCACGAAGGGGACTTGGCGGGGTGACATCAGCTCCCAAACTTAGAGACAAACTACCTTCTGAGGGGGAACTGGCTCTGGTTTGGCAAGAGGGTTCTGACTGGGTGGGTCCCCAGAAAGGAACCCAATCCCCAGGCGGCAGATAGAGCGGTCTAAGGGCTTTTTCTGAGATGCCCAGATGAGTCCACCTGAGGGGACACATAAGAATTCAGAGGGGCCAGGCAGGAAGACGTGTGACCTGGCCCTCAGGTGACTGTGATTGTGCCCCACCTGAGCACCGTCTGAGGAGGCTCTACTGGCCGCTGGGCTCTCAGGCTGGGCTGACCCAGCCCATGCTGGGGTGTGTGTGTGGCAGGGGGAAGGGGGTGAGAGGGCCATGGAAATGCTGTTTACTCAAGCATTTTACTAATATATTTGTTTCCTCCTCCGCCACCTGACAAAGGCGGCGACCAACACACCTGCAGACCCCTGAGGAGTGAGTGCCGTGGTCTAGAAGGGTAAAGGCTGATTCTGGTGTTTCTGGAAAAAACCAGGGTTCAAACCTACCTTCACAAAGTATCTCAGCTCTGATGGGACAATAAAGACATCTGGGGTGACGGGCAGCTGTGCATAGGCATAGAAATTCTCGTAGTCTATGGCGACGTCTTCCTGGGGAGGGTAGAGTGGGTAGTAGCTACAGGGATAGAGAAAAACAGTCAGCAGCAGCTGATCTGGGGATCCCTTCCCAGACCTCCCCTGTTTTCGCAGAGTGCCCCTTCCTTTTCTCATGGTTTCTCAGGGTGCAGGTCCCTGGCGGGGGCCTGGGGAAGGCTCTCCTGCCTAATCGGCCAGCTGGGACCCCAAATAGTCTACTTGTGGTCAGTTATTCCAGCGCGTGAGCTCACCTCCTCTGAGTCAGGATGTGCTTGAGTATTCGGCTGAATCTGTCTGAAGTTCCAGAAGAACTGCGGAGGGAAGAGGGGAAATGGAACTCAGAACCTTTTCCCCCCCGCTCCTGTTTCCCTCTGGGGAATACTTGAGGAGTCAACAAACTAGAGGGCCTGGGAAGGGACAGGTCGGGAAACGATCAATGCCTGGCGAGGCACAGTGACAAGGACACCCGGGAAGGCTCAAGACCCACCCGCACCGCACCCGCTCTGCTCGTCAGGGCAGCAGGAGGCTGGGCCGGGAAGAGAGCACGCGGGAGAGCAGCAGGTGAGGTCGGCACCGGCGAGGCGAGCATGCCATGGGGTGGCCCTGCGCCTCAGACCTCAGCGAGCAAGCACACACCCAGCTCAGTGAACACACACGCGCTTGTCTTCCCGCCCGGCAGCAGAGATGAGGAACTGGACGGCTGGGCTGACACTAACGGATTTGGCAGCCCGATTCCCTGCAGAGCGACAGGCTGTCTGGCGTAAGAGAAACCCCTTCGCAGTGAATTCACAGCTCACCCCCACAGGCAGGGGCAGGGGTGCCCACCTGTGCAGGTCAGTGAGGGGAGGGGAAGGAAAGCAGATGAACCTCCCTCCGCGCCCCGACTGAATTAAGCGAAAAGCCAGAGTGGCTGAGCTTCCTTGGGTCCCAAACACGGCAGAGACAGCCAGCTGCTCCCCTGGGGCCCAGGGGACCTCGACCAGCTGAAAGGTGAGATACAAAGCGCAGCTCGAGGGACTCCTCAATCACGAATTTGCCGAGCAGCCCCCAGGTTTTCTGGCAAGGGAAGGACGGGGTCAGGGCAGCCGTCCTGCCTGCTGGGCCAGAACAGGCTTCTTACCTGCTGATCTCCTCGGCCCCCATGTGGAACAGCAGATCCGTGGATGTCAGGCCAAAGATCACCCCGTTTATGGAGAGGCTGCAGGGCTCGGACACGAACTGCACTCGCTAAGAGGAGAAGGGGCCGAGACACCTTTGTACACCAAAGTCAGAAACTTCTTCCCTGAGAAGGCCGGGGGTGGGGTGGAGGTGGGGGGGTGTCTCCCAGCAGCAGCAGTTCTGGGGATCCCCCTTCCTTCCCAGACAATTTATGCAAATTACAAACACATACATCTGCCTGTTAGGAAGACTCAGGCTGTTCGACAGGACCTTGACAGATGGTCCTCCCTCCAGAGCTGGGCCGCCCAGGTGCCCTCCCTCCCACTGCCCGGTGGGGGGCTCGGGTACCTTCCTGTCCCCCGGAAGCAGGTCGGAGTAGGCGAAAGGTGGCTGCGGGTACACAGGCTCGTGGTGCACGTCTCTCAACGAGGGGACGAAGACGAGGTGGGAGCCAGAGCTATGTTGTCAAGAAATAACCAGAAGAGGGAGAGCAAATGAGCGCAGCGAAGCTGGAGCGGCCGGATGACAGAGCGCAAGCGTCAGCGACGTGACCCTCCCTGCAGGGCAGAGCCTGCAAAGGGAACTTTTGAAGGGAAGGGACACTGGCGCCAAAGGTGAGCTGCTCTCGTTGCCTACCATCCAGACCTGGTCACCCTGGACACTTTCTCTTTGTCTGTGATGTTCCCCTGGAGACAGGTGGGGCCGACTCTTCGGGAGGAAAAGGGCTGAGGAGAATAAGATCTAGAAAATGTAGGAAGGCAAGGACTTGACCGAAGAACCAGAGCCTCAGAGGCAGAGCTGAGATGGGAGTTAGGACACGCACAGAAGGGAACAGATGCGACATCCACACAGTCACTCGAGGGTGGTCCTTCCCGGGCGAGCCTGGCGTGCTAAGCAGATGGGACAGCACCCCCGTGGCTAGATTGAGCTGAAACACGAAGAACAAAACCGGCGGCATGGTTGGGACAAGGAGAGGCGCGTCTTTGGAGGGGTGGGGACTGGCTTCTCTCCCACCAGCCCTCCCTTCACAGGGGGAAGCGATGCCCTTGGTTTTCATTCCCTCCCAGACTGTCTTGCAAAAGTGAAAGTATTTCATAGCAACGGTGAGCACGTAGCTGGCAGATGTGTCCTTTGATGGAAGGAGACAGGAGAATCTCTAGGGTTACGCTATATAAGTGAAGAAAAAACCCTTGAACTCTAGGGGTCAACTGTTTATCCTCCCTAGTCCTACAAAAGGGGAAAGGAAAAAAAACCCGTTGCCTTGGTTCCCTGGGCTGACCTTGGCAGAGGGGCCTATTAAAAACCAAACAGGCGTCAAGTGTGACTTTGGGAGCATGTTTAAAATTCACCAAGGGCTCTCACTTTCAGCTCCGTCTCCTACTTAAATGTGTGGCCTTTCCAGATTCAGGTACAGCTCAGGGCCCCTCACATGGGACAAGGGTGTTGTGCCTATTGTCACACCTGTCACTTGTTTGTCCTGCCTGCTCAAAGTTCGAACTAGAGACTTCTGCAGCAGCAAATCAAAGCCTTGAGACCAAAGGTACTTTGCAGATTAGTGATGACCCCTGCAACACAGAGAAGTTCACTGTGTCCAAGTCCACCAGCTTGGGCGCTGGAGTCCGGCAGCTGGGCCGGGGGAACTTAAATGGGACAATCCATGCTTGGATCCCAAGGGCTCAGGGTCCATGAAGGACACAAAGGGCGGAGCAGCAGCTGATTGCTGCCAAGAGACGGGTGGCTCTATGCGGAGAAGGCGCTGGAGGAGGGAGAGTTAAGGAGGAAATAATCCTCCTGCTCTTGGTTATAGACTGGCTGTCGGGGGGAGGGATCTGAAAAATTCCAACTATGCTCAGCATTGCACAACTTCATACATCATGGTGGGAGGGTCCTCACAGCATGAGAGCTCTCGCTGGGCTCCCGGGAGGGAGGAGGTGCTTCCGCACTGGCTCTGGTTTTTGCTGATAAATCAGCCAAGTCTCCGCATTTCTGATCTCTCAGGAATAAGGAGAAAGCCTCCCAATGAGGATGGTTTATATACTATTTTGGGCAGGGTGGGGCCGTACCTCTCTCCCGTGGCACACACTGGCTGCAGATGAAAGTGCCTGGCGGTGCCGGCCGGGTGCTGCCACAGTAACAAAGCCTGCTTTGTTCTTTGTTTGTGCCACTGCTGTCAATACCACACAGGGTGAGAAACCAAAAACACAGCCCAAACTCAAATGGAAATCACCCAGCCAGCACCAGGCACTGCTCACAGTCCTGCCACCCCCGAGGAGCCTGCTCAAACACCAGCCTTGCGCCTGTTTCGTGGAGGTTCACCCCCAAGGAGCTCTGGGCACCTCCCAGGTCTGATGAACTCGGTCAGGGTCAGGACAAACCTGGAGGCCAGAGGGGAGGCACCTGTACTACTTTCACTGGCATGAGGGAGGAGAGCAGACCCAGCTGCAGGTGGTGTTGGCACCGAGACCCCGACTCTGGGGTGAGTGTGGGGTGCTCCTTCCCAGCCTGCAGTGCCTCCCACACTGGCCTACACTGCTGGTACCAGAGGTAGTATTACAACTAATCGATTCTGGGATCAGTTCTCATGGCCACAGGCGGAAGATCACCATGTCGTCTTGAAAACAACCTTTGTTACAGACTTGTTTTTAAAAGCTTAACCCTAGGAATGTTTGCTTTTTATGAGCTCAGCTACAGGCAAGCAAATCCCCAGAGATCTGTCACCTCCACTGATTCTTCCAAACTCAGGCCCTGGGGACAAGGGATAGGGAGTGAGGGTGTCAACTTCCTGAACAACTTTTTACTTCCAGCTTTAGACTTCCTGGAATAGTGACTTTCCTCTCAGATAAGCACCGGCCATCACTCGTCACCACCATGACCTCTCACAGTTCCTCCCCAGGGTCGGTGGCGAGGATTCAAGGCCCCACCCTGCCTGAGCGTTTCTGCGCTGCCTGCTCTAGGCACTGGCAGCGCCTACGAAACGAAACGTGGGGAAACACTGACTCGGGGGAGGGACTTGGGCTCACCCCAAAACAATCACTCATACAACGGGAGGCTTAGGGCCTCTCGGGATTTCGTGTGTAAGTCATCAAACACTTCTCAGAATTGCACTGGGAAGATTCCCACGGAACAGGAGTTTATACAAAAGGGAGCGAGAGAGGAAGAACAGGCCAGGGAAGAGAGAGTCTACGCAGGCTTCTCTCGAGTGTGTTGACCTTAGCGTTGTACATAGATGCTGCTTGGCGTCTGTGCACTTGAGTTCAAGAGCGAGTTCTATCTGATCTGTGTAGTTCAAAAGGACGAAGGGAGGAACTGCCATTACTTTTGAACAGTTGCGTTGCGTAATGGGCCATGCCGGAGACACCTCAGCAGCTGAGCATGCGTCCTCACCTCCGGGTCCCTTCGATGACTGTCCGCAGACACTGCTTGAAAACATCTTCAAAAGGGCTTGTCAGTAGGCAGTTCTGTGAGAGAAGGAGACAGACTGAGTGTGGAGGGTGGACGTGTGGCGCCTGCTCACTTACTGAGCACTTGTTAACCAACCCTTCTTGCCAGGGGCTGAAGGAGAGGCACAGGTGGGAAGATGCCATCTCTTTCTTGAGGAGCTGAGTATAGCTGGGGGCAGAAGAGATGGGGGAAGAAACAACCCTCAGGAATGTAAGCTGAGAGAAAGACTGAAGGTTGGGCCTCCCTGGTGACGAAAGGGGTTAAGACGCAACCTATGAAGCTATCTGCAGCCACTGCAGCATGATTCGATCCCCGGCCAGGGAAACACCCACACAGTGCAGCAGACCCCTCCTGTCTCCCCGCTGCTCCCCTCAGCAGTGTCTTTCAGTGGACCTGCATGTTCTGCTCCCCACCCTGTCTCCGGTGAATCCTCTCACCCCCCACACCTCTGGCTTGTACTCCAGTTCTTATGTGCATAAATAAATAAATCTTTTTTTTTTTTTTTAAAAAAAGAAGAGGGCCTCTCCGGTGGCGCAGCGGTTGAGCGCTGGGTTGTGAAGCTGCCCGCAGCCTCTGCAGTGCCGGTTCGATCGCTGGGCGAGGGTCCACATGGTGCGCAGACCTCTCCTGCCGCACCCACTGCTCCCCTCAGCAGTGTACTTCATCTGTCTGCCTGTTCTGCTCCCTGCTCTGGCTCTGGTGAATTCTCTCACCCTCTCGCACTTCTGACTGTACCCAGTGCTTGTATAAATAAATAAATCAAAAAAAAAAAAAAAAAAAAAAAAAGATTGAAGGGAAGAATACTTTGAAGTCTCTGCGGCGAGTATGGCGCAATTCCTGAGGCAAGGGGTCGGCGGCACCTGCTTGCAGCTACAGGGTGGCTGGGGAAGGGCCATTTGTAAAGCAAGCACTGAAGGACAGTGACACATGGGCTATGGAGCAGAGGGCAGCAGCCAGGTAAGGTACTCCCACCAACGGGTGACACAGGTACCCTGCCCTGTGCCCTTTTGTGCCCAGCACCAACCATCACCAAGACATCAGACTCCTAAATTTCTGTTTCCCTTCCAACTTCCAAACAGCATAGCTAGCATTCTGGTGAAACGAAGCCGTCAAATTCAATGTCTTTTATAAAAAATTGCCTGCTACGATATTTTCTGGCTAGCCCCAGGGGTTAACTGGGGCTTGTTAGGTTTGTTACAGATGCAGAAGAAACTCCAAAAGCTGAAAACCACAGGGAGGGCACATGAGGGCCCCTACACAGTGCCCCACTCCCACACCAACCCCAGTCACCTACCTCAACCTGTTCGTGCTTAGCATCCAGGAAAGGTCCGAACTGCAAGCAGGTCCAGGGAGAAGGGTGGGGAACAAAGGCACCAAAAGAACAAATCAGTCATGTGAGCCCCTGAGCACCTTCACCTCTCCCAGCACTTGTCTCCCCTGGGGCCCACCTGTCCCCCTGTGGGTGTGTGCGGAGCCTGAGGCGTTAGCAGATGGGGCAAGGGCACTGCCCACTGTCTGAGGCAGCGGATATGAACCAGGGAGGGAAGGGGCCATAGGACCCCAAGCCAGGGCATCATCTCATATAATTCTGCGTTTCTTTCTGAATTTCTCAGTCTAGCAAGGGAAATCTACTGTCACGCAGGAATACTTCCAGCTTTAAAAGGAGATCAGTTCGGAAGCTGGAGTAAGGAGCCAGAGCCAAGAATACCATGACATCAGGGAAGTCACAGAACACCAGGCATTTGAATTCGGTGAAGGCCTGTGGGTCATGCACACCTTCCCAAAATTGTAGACAAAGAATTAAGAAATATTTTTAAGAAGGAGGAATCTGACATGCTTCCTGAAAATTGAGACCCTCCTCAACCTTCCCCAAGGCTGCCGTCCCCGTCTCCCACTGGCACCTCCCCAGGGAAGCTGCCCGAGCAGGCCTCCTACCAGAATGCAGACATCTGGCCGGTCGTGGTTGATGGTGGCGATCAGGTCGAGCAGGGGCTCGTAGGTGATGCTGTCAGACGTGGTGTAAGGCCCGCAGGCCATCAGGACCATGTTTTGCTCAAAATCTGAAACAGGAAGGATTGAAAGGCATTGAGTGGCAGAGACCAGGACAGGGAGAAAAAGAAAAGGTAGGGAGAAATGCCATGGAATCCACTTGATCAAGAATCTCCTAGGTGTGCAACTCAGGGAATCCAAGACTGAAAGACGCCACCCCGACCGAAGACCACTGCAGCGGGGGCAGACAAGCAGTGCACGTGAGGGACAGGGGGAGTGGCAGCCAGGAGACGGCTGATGGAGGCAGGGTGTGCTTCCACGGCTCCCTCCCCCCAACTTCTGTCTTATTATGCTAAAATAAACAGAACATAAAATTTAACATTATGAACACGGACATTCAATGGTAGTGAAATGATTTATAGTGTTGTGGAACCCTCACTACCACCCGTCTCGAACTCATTTCCTCTTGTAAAACTGAAAGACAGGGCAGGCCGGGGTGCCAGCAGCTCTGCTTCGTGGCCTGCTTCTGGGGCTGCCCTTTCCCTCACAGCATCTGCCTCCTGCTGCGTAACCAGCCCTGTCTGCAAAAGGCAGTCCAGGTGGGACCAAGAATCGCCATCCTTCCCCGGCAAAGGGGCAGACGGGTGACCCCATTCGAGCCATTTACACTCTCCTGAGTTCTGGAACCTCGAGGTGAACCACCCAAGGCTGCAGCTGACCTACGCCAGCAGAGGTGACTGGGTGAGACAGCGGGGAAACTGCTGCTACCTGGAGGCCCTTCTCCTGGTTCAAGCCTGGTCTTCCAGCCACCTGGAGAGCCTGTGAGGCACCAGGATTTCCCCTTCCATATTCTCTTTAAGTTCACCTGTACCAGTTTCTGTGTCGTGTTGCTGTAGCAGTAACATGAAAAGATCCCTGACTTCTAAACAGCTGTATTAATTTCCAGCTGCTGCTATGATGAACCACCACCTTTATGACACTGTTGAAGGTTCGAAGTCTGAAAACCAAGTTGTTGGCAGTGCTGGCCTCCTCTGGAGCCTCTATGGGAGAGGGTGCTTCCTCGCCTTCCTAAGCTTCTCATCAGAGGCCGCCTGCAATCCCTGGCTCATGGTCCCTCCTCCATCTGGAAAGCCAGTGAGCAGCATGACAATTTCAACCTCCAGCTCTGAGCGCTGCCCTCCCTTTCACGAACTTGTCATTACACTGGGCCCACCTGGATAATCTGGGACACTGGCCCCTCTATCTCAGCCTTAACTCAATTGCACCTGCAAACTTCCTCTGCCATATAAAATAACATCCACAGGCTCAGGGGTGGGAGAGGGCATTATTCACCCACCAGAGTGCTAATACCATGAACTGAGAGAATTCAAAGGAAGGGCACGTTTTGTGGAGTGCTGAGCCAGGGGCAAAGTTAAATTAGGTTCTGAGGAGTCCACAGGCAGGAGATATAAACACAGGCGTAAGTAGAAATTGGTGGGTGGGCAAGGCCAGGGCCTGCCTGTGTCTCCTCCCATGTCGCCTCACTCAAGACCTTGAGTACAAAACGTCTGCTAACAGCCTACTCAACTGCTTCCAAAGCCCGTCCTGGCATAGTTCAGGCTCTGGGCATCTCTGCCATGTCAACTTCTCATTTCCCAAAGTCCATCTGATACCACCACCACGATTCTCGCTGCCATAAAAACATTTTCTGATTGAAAGTGCGATGTCAATTCCTAACTTCCACTGTTAGTTGGAGGTGGTGTCCAAGAATGACCTCGCGCACTATTAGTGAGATGGGGTGTAGGCAATACACAGTGCCAGCCACCTCACTGCTAATCCTTAAATGTCTTCTGACTTGCTTACAAATATACTGTGAATTATTGTGAAGCAAATTTGTTAATATTTCTTTTTGTCTTTTCCCATCTGGATTAGTTACCAAGTAACTTTAGACTTTCTTGGAAATTCATCTAAGTTTCTGCAACCTTTTTTATTCAGGAAAAAAAGCACAGCACAGAGCTCCTATGTGTGCACTGTTCACCCAGAGTTCCCATTTTTACCTAATTCTGGTACATTCATCACAACAACTTCTGTAGGTTAATTCCTGACTTTATCTGTAGGTTCCAGAATGCAGTGCAGAAAACCACACACAACACTTTAAAAATGGCTGTTTTTCCTTTTTTTCAACGTAACCTTCAAATATCTGTTAAACATTTTTCTAAACCATAGACCTGTGTACTCAGAACCCAGGTTCTGAGCAGCACTGAGCAGCTCGCAAGGCCCAGCTCCTGGCTTCCTGTCACAAGAGGCCTGTGAGTCCACCAGTCCGCCTGCTGTCAGCCTTGGTGCCCAGACAGCACCTTCTCGGGACCTGGGGAACCTCAGGCACTCCTGGGCCTAGTCCGCTTGCCCACCAGCCTCACTGCTGGCTAAACAATGTCTGAACCCAAGCTTACCTCCGTCTTCTTCGGTGGGTTGATAAAATGGAAGTGGCACACCCTTAAAAACAGAAGAGAAGCTAAACTGAGGCCTTGTCTTTGGTAAGGGAAGGGGGTGGGCACCAGAGGGATATGTTTGCAGGTGTGTGTGGGAGAGTGGTGGGTGAGGAGCCAGGTAGAGGGGAGGTAATACTTAGAGCTAAACCCCCACAGAGCTGATGGCACCTGCTGTTTCTCTACGCTGCTCAGCACAGAAAGGAAACCCAGGTAATGGAAGGTCACACATAAACTCAAGATACCCAGCAAAGAGGGAGTAAGACAGGTGCCTGAAGCCCCAGTGTTTACCCTGGCTAGGATGGGGGCAGGGTCTCTGCCACTTTTCCTTGCATCCTGTGAAAATGTGTGTGGATTACTGCCTTGCCCAGGGACAGGAAAACCATGGCTGATAGGTCAAACCTAGCCACCACCCATTTTTGTAAATGGAGCTCTACTGCAGTGCTGGCTTACGGGGTGACAGTGGCTGCTTTTGTGCCGAAGTGACAGCTGAGTCACTGTGGCAGCGACCATGTAGCTGACAATGCAGTGCCTAAAACATTTACTGTCTGGCCCTTTACAGGGACTAGCAGACCAGTCCCACTCCGTACAGAGAATTGGAACCAAACAAACAGGTTCTTTAAGAGGACAGTCTCCAGGTCAGACAGAGCTGCACGTACAGGGCCTGCAGCAAACCAGGAGGGAGCTGGGGTTGGGGGGGGGGGGTCCCTTGGTACCTCGTAGAGTTTGGTGGCAATAAACTTTCTACCAGTGGTGTTGATTCCTTCCATAATTACAACCTGAGAGACAAGAAACAAAACAAGATTGAATGCAAAACGGGAGACAAAATGAGGCTGTCATACATTCCTCTGATGTAGTTAAAAGCATTGTCCAGCTACTCTCATTTTGTAACTGCAAACTTGGGATATTTTTCTAGAAGACAAATTAAGTATTAGGAATAATAATTATGCTCCAGAAGGATGACCTAATTTTCACAATGACCCTATGAGGTAAGGACTATTATTTCCATTTTACAGATGTGGACACCCTGGCTTGGAGGGGTTAATAATATGACCATGATCAACACCTTGTGGAGTGGGGCTGGGGTTTGAATCCAGATGGCCAGATACTAGCAGAGAAGGAGAACTAGCACCCCAGTTCCCTGGACCTGGGCTCTGGTCACACCTGCATGAAGCCCAAAGCAAGGGGCAGCTGGCCAGAGACGTCGTGCTTGTTCCTGGAGCCACAGCCCACACCCACTACGGAGTAAGCAGCCTGCCTTGCCCGGCCCGGACACCTCCAATCTCACCTGCCCAGGAAACAGAGAATATTCCTTGAGCTCAGATAAATCCACTGGTATTTGAGCACCGGAGGAATGTTCCCGGTCTCCCTCAAGGATCACTGACTTGCTGTTTAGCTTCCCATTGCTGTCACAGCCGATCTGGCCCAGCAGCGTGACGGGCTCCTATGGAAGGCGAGAGAAGCAGGAGCTCCACATCTGAGGTCGAAGAGCGACTAGCTAAGTGAACCCCAAAGGACAGCCAACATTTCTTTGGTGGGACATCCTCATGACCTGGAAGTGACCACAGTACCACCACTGGTCCTCAGGGGTAGAACTCCTAACAGGCGTACATTTTGCCCACCCACCCAATGCTTGAGCTCCTCTAAGGGCCACCAAAACTTGAGCACCCTGAGTGAAGGAGAGTTTACCTCCTCACCCCTTCAACTCTGGATCACTGTAATTGTTAGCAAGAGCTCCTGGTGACTGGGCTTTTGGAAAACCAGGCACTGCTCTAAAGGCTAACCTGTACTGATTGGCTCCTTCATTCCTCTCAACGCCTGCTGGTGGATACTATTATTGTACCCAGTGTATAGATGAGAAAAACAAGCAGCAGAGAAGCTCAATTACTTAGTCAAGGTCAACAGTGGGTGAAGCCTGGGTTTGAGCTCCAGAAATTTGGCTCCAGAGCCATATTCTGAACCACATACTAGACTGTCTCTTAACAAGAAGTTCTTCATTACAGCTGAAATTCCTCTCCCTGTGCTTCCTCTGTCCTGTTCCCACTTCTGGGGGCAAACCGAGAAAGTCGAATCTTTCCCCACAAGATAGTGCATCCACTCCACTCTTCTTCCCAATTCCTCTGAAAGTTCCTTCTAGGATATGGTTCTGCATGTCTTCCCCAACTGGTCATTCGCCCCTGAATGCAAATGTATGACAGAGGTGCCTTAAAGAATCTTCTAGGGGCCTCCCCTAATGGCGTAGGCAGTTGAGCGCAGTGCTGTGAAGCTGTCCGCAGCCTCTGAAGCACCGGTTCGATCCCAACCAGCTGGGCGAGGGTCCCGCATGGTGTGGCAGACCTCTCCTGTTGCGCCCACTGCTCCCCTCAGCAGTGTATTTCATCAGTCTGCCTGTTCTGTTCCCCGCTCTGTCTCTGGTGAATCCTCTCACCCTCCCGTACATCTGGCCTATACCCTAGTTCTTGTATAAATAAATAAATCTTAAAAAAAAAAAAAAAAAAAAAAAAGAGGGGCCTCCCTTGGTGGCGCAGCGGTTGAGCACTGGGCTGCGAGGCTGCCCACAGCCTCTGCAGCGCCAGTTCGTTCCTCGGCCATGGGCGAGGGTCCCACCAAAAAAAAAAAAAAAGAATCTTCTAGAACACATCTCCCCTTAGATTAAAAAATGCTCTGGCACATATGCCAGACTAAAGCACGCTGTGAGGATACTATATGCAGTGGTTGGCCCGTAAGGGCAGAAACCACACCAGGGTGGCTGTGCATCCCTGTTTCTGGAAGTTCTATCCTTGCTTGTGCTCACATCCTGCAACTTCAATGTTTCAATTTAGAAGAAACCTCCAGAGGGCTACCTGCCTTATCACTTCAGCCTCGCTTACGTGCAAGACCCTGATGCAGGCATAAAGAAAACATGTCTCTGGTCACAAAAGCTGAAGTCTTTCTTCAGAAGAACCCATTTTGCTAAATCCCATCAAGGCAGATGTTTTAATCAGAATGTTAGAGAAGGCTGTCTTTTCACCAGCGATTAAAACACAGTATTCAGTTAGGAAGCTCTGACCTGTGCTGGGGATTGGACAGGTGTAAATGCCTCGATCTTGTAATGTTCCTTGAGGTCACTGCCAAGTTCTTCTATTTTACAGGTCAGAACTGAAATCCCAGAGAGGAAAGTGTTATGTTTAAGACATTTCATTGGACAAGAAGACAAGATACAGCACACTGTCACCTATTAAAATCAGCTGTTCTACACAAGCAGGAAAAGGGCCTTACACATCCAGCCAACTCACACTTTCTGAAGCCCCAGTAGTTTTCCCTGTTTGGTTGCTGCATCTTGCTTTCACTGGGCCCCAGGAGGTCACATGGCACAATTCCTCAGCCCCCACCTTCCTTTACTCAGCAAGGGTCAAGGGCGGCCCAGCCAACAGGGAGCCTTCCACACGTCACAAGGAAAGAGCCATAAAAGTATTTTACTTTAATTGGCTTCCTGTACTGGGAAATGGTTATGTGCTTCTTCTTTAGCAAAGCGATGACTTGGGAATGTCACCTTGTGGCCTGCACCAACAGGGGCACCCAGAGGACACCCACTAACTTATCTATTCTATGGAATCCTGGGAATTTGTTCTACCAGCCTCGCTGAGTCTTTATTACTTACACTAAACCCTTCCAGGTGGTTTTATATTCTCCAAAATTTCAAAGGGAAAAACAATCACCTTCTCGAATGTCTTGGAGCTTCTGAAACATTGATTTGTAGCTCTGAGTTAATGACTCTGGATACCCCAAGACCTTCAGGCTGATATTACCGGCACCTCCTCTCCCGGACCAAGAAACGCCCTGGGCTGAGCCAAAGGAGGTAACCACTTCTCCTCGGTTATTTCTCGAGTTGTATTTCTGAGAGGGAGTAGCACTAATTGGAAGCAAAACAGATCGACATTACAGTGTTCATATTCAACAGCAGAGCAGTAAGATGAGGACACCTTCAAGTGGGGACTGGAGATACTGTCACTGACAAAACCTCAAGCTTGACTCACATTTTATGAATCTAATCAGCTTGAGGGGTTAGACACACAGACCTATCTGGAACTCCAGGAATGAGGGGCTGAGGAATACCAAACGTGTTAGAGAAGCTTGGCGACAGAAGCATATTTTAAAAGGCTGTCATTCCGTTGGCTTAAAACTAAAAAAAGTAAAACAAATTTCCAAACTATAAATTAGTTAAAAGGCAAGCTTCAAGTCATTAATTTCCGTTTCTTTTTTTTTTTTAGTGCATTTGTTTTTTTTTTTTTTAAAGATTGATTGATTTATATAAGAACCAGGGTATAGTCCAGATGCACAGGAGGGTGAGAGAATTCACCAGAGACAGAGCAGGGAACAGAACAAGCAGACTGATGAAATACACTGCTGAGGGGAGCAGTGGATGCGATAGGAGAGGTCTGCAACGCCATGTGGGACCCTCACCGGCCGCCTGGGATTGAACCGGTGCTGCAGAGACTACAGACAGCTTCACAGCGCGGCTTTCAACCACCTGTACCACCAGGCGAGGACCTCCTTTTCTTTCTTAGCAATTTTTTTCATCGATCAGATTCCCATCAGAGCTCGGAACTAACAGCTGCTGTGCATATATGTAACATCTCACAAAAGAGTTCACAAAATAAAACGAAGTTAGGTGAGGCTAACCAGCGTCCCCCCGTGTCCACGAAGGTGGAGATGTATGTGATCAACTTGGCTTGTGGGTGGACACACATTCCAATCCTCAAGGCTCGACCAGCAAGATCTCCCATTTCCACTCACACCTTCCAGGACACACAGGGCTACCGGTCTGCTCAGATTAGAGTGGCTTTAACCCTTTTGAATTTAACCCACAGAGAGGTCTGTTTACAACAGGTTTCATTTAATGCACCGAAACTCTGCAGAAACCAGTTTTATGTGCGCACCATTGTAATTGGTGCCATCATTTCTTCTTTCCACAGAGAGAAAATGAGCTCAACTAATTATCTCGATCTCAGTGCTGTCTCTACCTGAATAATTTAGAAGTTACTTTCATATATTACAAAACCAGTTTCTGATGTCAGCTTTATTAGCGTGCATTAAAAGATGACTAGGCAGTCAGTGTATGGCTGGCTTTTCCAACTCCTCCCCGCGAAGCTGCTGGGGACAGCCACCCCAGCCCGCCTTCACTATAGCCAGATGCTCATCCAGGTCAGCCACAAACCGACTACCAGCTTTCAAAGGCTGGCTCCTGGGCCTCCACAGTTGCGCAGTAGGTTGAGCGCAGCACTGTGAAGCTGTCCGCAGCCTCTGCAGTGCCGGTTCGATTCCTGGCCAGCCAGGGAGATTTCCACATGGCGTGGCAGACCTCTCCTGTCTCGCCCGCTGCTCCCCTCAGCAGTATATTTCAGTCCATCTGCCTGTTCTGCTCCCCGCTCTGTCTTGGTGAATCCTCTCACCCTCCTGCGCCTCTGGCCTGTACCTGAGCTCTTGTATGAAAATAAACAAATCTTTAAAAAAAAAACAAAAAAACACAAAGGCTGGCTCCTCAGAGAATGCAGGTGCTGTACCAGTGCTGGCACACCCATGAGAACCATCTCCACACATCAAGTCTCAAAGACACCCTAGTAAGTTTAAAAAGCTCACTTCCAAAACAGCTCGAGAACTCCCCAAAGTGGTGGTGGGCCACCATGCGTTTAAGGGGACCCATGGACCCAAGGCCATGGCTGCAGAACTTCCACTGCCTCCCTCATAAAGTGCGAGCTGAAAGGGCTCAAGTTTGCTTGGCTCGAAGTGACCCGAAGCCGGGGAGTGACTCTGGGCAGCAGCATTTCCCACAGCGGCTGACAGGACTGCTCCTCCCCCTGATGGGGCAGCAGGTAAAAACCTTTCTTCTACTCAGCAGGGCCCTCGCCTCTGGAATTCTCTAGTAGAAGACATGTCATTTACGGATTTCAAAAAATCACATGTGATCTTTGTGGATTTATGTGCAGAGGGGGCAGCGGGAATAAAATACCAATTAAGTCTGTGTGCATTCAGTGACAACAAAATGCTTAGAAACTAGTTGTAACCTGAGTGAGGTACAATAAACAGGTTACACAACATTAGGAACAAAGATATGTGCTTTTCTTTCTAAAAAATAAGTACTTCAGATTTTAAAAAAGAAAAGAAACCCAACAACATGCAAACTAAAAGAGCAGGTGGAAACCTACTTGCCTCCACTGGCAAGTCTGTGAGACTCCCAGGCCTCTGAATAGACAGGTTGTTTGCAGTAGAAGTATCAGTTCCCGATCTAGGAAACGAGCCCCAGAAAAGTGGGTGGAAAGTGAGTTTCCTTAATTACCGTAAGAAACAGTAATTTTCCACACAGGAAGAGAAGGCAGGGAGGGCAGAGAGCAAGGGCTTTCGGCCAGTTCTCGGCAGGGCTGTGTGTCCACCCACTTTCAAAAGGCCACTTTGTCGAGTGAGCGTCCACCTGGACAACCACAGAAAGGGAGTCGGGCCTGCTTTTTGGCAGCCAAATGGATTATGGTCCCTACCTTGGAGAGAAACTTGACGGCGAGAGGAGCTGATGGGGGCTCCGAGCAGACGCTCTTCTTTTTGTCAGGGGGGTCTCTGGGGTGGCGACAGCTCGCTTTTGAGAACCCTAGAAATGAGAAAAAACAAACACATCAGAGTCTCAGTCGCCCTAGGCCCAACTTGCTGACTACATGCAGTTAGTTCCTCAGGAAGAAGGGTGTCCGGGCAGGACAGGGGCTCTCTCTTAAGGCCCATCTTCCAAGCATGAGCCGTAGAGGAATCCCCAGTGACTGGAAGCCAGTGTTCATCAGAGCACTGCCCCTATTTTGAAGGCAAGTATGAAAAAGTGCCAACATTTCCCAAAAAGGGTGGCAGGCAGCAGGCCATCATCAGTTCTGTCAAATCTTTCAGATTCACCGCTTTCTTTACCCACCTCTCTGCTCTAGAAGATGTAGTTTCGCTACATGAAGACTTGACTTGTATGGACACATTTTCCAGAGAAGAGTCAGGGCCACAGTGCTGCTTATTTCGGCAGGGTTGAGCACAGCTTGTCACAACTGAGGAGGGGGTGGCTGCAGACAGGTAACTGGGTTGCGCGCACCACTGTGGCAGTGTGCAGGACACCTCATGGGTGGTGGTGTGGCCAATTTTGTTTCTGGTTTTTGTTTATCAGTAAGAATCTGAAGCCATGCCCAGAATGGAGGCTGCAGCCCAGCCCAGAGCTCTACTGTTCCCCGAGGCCTGGGATGACTGACTGTGACAGTGAAGACAAAAGCCTGGCCAACCAAGGGTTTCCCTGCCCTTGGGCTCCTCCTGGCTGCTACTGAAGTTACATCACCCAGGAGGCCTGCCGGGGACAGCTGACTGCGGGACTGGGACAGGAGCAGACATGGGAATGGAGTCTCTACAAAGATTAAGTAGCTAGAAACTAGAATTTAATGTCACTACCCCCTTTTAGGATAACCAGTGAAAAAATATTCCTATTATTTTACTATCTTTCCAAGTAAAAAAAAAATAAATTCAAACAGTTATAATCTTAGTTTAAACATAATCCTTTAAGTACTCTGTATTTTGATTTTTTGCTTTATGTTAATTATGAGCATTTTCCTACAGAGTCTTTATCCTTTTTAGTAGCTGTGTTGACTGAAGCAATAATTCACATCATTCTTCTCTGTTGAGTTATGTTGGAGGCTTACAGCTTTTGTTGTAAATAATGCTGAGCTGCCCATCTTCATGCATTAAAGCTTTTCCCATAAATTGGATTATTTCCATGTAAGAGATTTTTTTTAAAGATTTATTTTTATCTATACAAGAGCTGGGGTACAGGCTAGAGGCGCGGGAGGGTGAGAGGATTCACCAGAGACAGAGTGGGGAGCAGAACAGGCAGACGGACCGAAATACACTGCTGAGGGGAGCAGCGGGCGAGGCAGGAGAGGTCTGCCGGGCAATGTGGGAATCTCCCTGGCCTCTGGGAATCGAGCCGGTGCTGCAGAGGCTGCGGACAGCTTCACAGCGCTTTCTCAACCCTCTGCGCCACCAGGGAGGCCCAACGGAAGAGATTCTTACTAGGGAGAATTATTGGGTCAAAGGATGGAAAAGATTTTGCTATATCTTCTCAAACTAGTTCTCCCAAACGCTCCTCTACTCTACAGTAGGCTACAGAGCTCGAGGGCCAGAGGACAGTTTCCCTAGGAAGACAGCGTCTCCCAGCACGGTGAGATGACGGTACTGGGGAACACCGGAGTCTTGGGGCACTCATCCTCAGTCTTTGTGGAGAAACCTGACCATGTCAACAAACCAGCTCCAGTTAAGGCTTCTCAGGGATCCGCTCGCTCGGACCAAGCTCCGGGACTCACTCCTACCTCTCAGTTCCTGCTCATTCGCTTGTGATGAGAACTAAATCACTGAGGGCACCTTACCCTCCTGCCCCGAAATCCAATCCCAAACAAGGATGCCAGGTTATTCATTTGCTAGAAATATAAAGCTGAGGACATGCAAACTTCAGTGCTCAGGCTACTGCCCGAGGCTGGCACTGTGTGGCACTCTGACCTGCGCCATGCCGCGCCGCTGTGTGGCCTAACCACGAGGGGCAGTCTCCACGGGATGGCGCTGCTCTGAGCATTGTACATGCAGCCCAGGCCCACCCTGGGTCTCCTCCGAGGTCAGACACATACTTCAAATAGTCTGCTTCTTTCAACTTAACTCACTACACTGTATTCCCCTAGTCAAAACTTTAATTCATAGTGCCTCCCCGGTGGCGCAGCGGTTGAGCGCTGGGTTGCGAAGCTGCCCACAGCCTCTGCAGCGCCGGTTCAATCCCCGGCTGCTCCCCGGCCACCGGAGGAGGGTCCCACATGGTGCGCAGACTTCTCCTGCCGCCTGCTGCTCCCCTCAGCAGTGTACTTCGGTCCTTCTGCCTGCTCTGCTCCCGCTCTGGCTCTGGTGAATTCTCTCACCCTCCCGTGCTTCTGACTGTACCCAGTGCTTGTGTAAATAAATAAAAAATAAATCTTAAAAAAAAAAGTCTTAAAAAAAAACAACTTTAATTCATAATTGAGCCTCCTAAAAACTTTTGTAGCAGGAATGGGGCGTCATCAACCTGGTATTTCAGTCCCTGGAAGGGTATAAACTTCAATAGTAAATTAAGTACATTTGCATTTGACGCAGGCATCTGTCTACAGAGAATTGGGTTACCATGAGTTAGTCCCCAAGAACATGATCAACTCTTGAACTACAGACAAATCTGGTTATCTCCTGGATCTGTGAAGCTGTGACTCAGGTCAATAGTGTGGTGGCCCCTGCTGTTGTATGATCCTACCTAGGGAGGCAACCAAGGCTCTTGCAGAAGGCACTGCAGTGTATGTGTATGTTTCTGTGGTCGGGGGTGCATATGGGGGGCCAGATTCCGGAAGGAGGTACTGGTGGACAAATAAGATGTGGAGAGTGAGAGAAAAGTAAGATTCAAGGAGGTCTCTAAAATTCTTGGCCTGAGCAAACAGAACGGTCCCTTTACTGAGACATGGACTCGAGGAAAGGACCATTTTTTGGTAGTGGGTTGGGGGTGGGTGAGGATATCAAATGTTGTTATAATCTCTTCAACTTCAATAAGCTAAAGAAAATCTCATGATTTCCTTAATATTATTTGCACTGGTACTGCGATAGCAACTTTACAAGTCACATTTCTAGAGTTCTTGCTTCTATAAACACACCTAAACTACTAAATTACAATGTAATTTACTTTGGAGGCTCATTCCATGACTATGGATTTCCGCAAATTTATCTTGTATGAAGAGTAGTATGATTATGGAATATACTGCATTGGGCCTGGTGCTCTCCACATTCACTTTATCTTCAAGCCCTGAGGCAGGAGATGTTATCCCTGGGCTGTGAGGCTCTGAAGCCCACCTAGTTTGTACACCCGCCGCCCTTTCCCCGGTGTCCAGTACAGTGCTTGGCACAGTGTAGCTGCTCAGTAAATGAAGTAATGAATTCTGATTTTAAAGGTAAGGAGGCTGCAGCTCAAAGAAAAGGACTCACCCGTGTCACCTAGGGCTTCTGACTCAGGCTTTGCAGGCGACGCTTTTCCACTGCTCTGTTCTACCTCTCACGGGGTAGAGCACAAGACCTGGATCGATTATTCAACTCTAGTTACCTCCACTTGATACAAAACTATGCAACCATTCAAAAGTGTAAATATGGTGAAATTATACATAAAACTTTTATCATATGCTAACTGAAAAAAGCAGGAGACCTGAATGTTCACAAGGACCCACAGGTAAAAACACCCATGAACATGTCGGGAAGGAAGATGAGTAAGTGAAAACAAAGAGGGTGATGTGAGTGGGCAATTCTCTTCCTCAGCACTTCAGATGTCATGATGTTTTGGGAAGGAAGAGAAAGTGCTACTTGCGGGATCTGTGGATCATTTCCGCAGTGTACACTCACCTTGGAGGGTGTGGCGTAAGAATTCAGAAGGGTCTCCTCTTCTTCTTCCACTTCAATTCTAAGACTTGGTTAAGAAATATCATAATAAACTTCCACCCAAAATCTTAGGCAAGGGTTGATTTAAAAAAATTCTGAATGTTAGATACTTTTACTATTTCTTTTTAAATGACACATGCAACTGTAGGCAAATTATAAAATGCAACAGGTAAAGACCCCAGCAGAAAAGGATACAGCTCTTGAATGGAAACTATGTCTCTAGCTCCAGCATGCCCACTATCCTTCCAGGCACTGTGCGAGGCTTTGGATAATCTTTTGCTCAGAAACTGAGGAATTAAAGATAATGAATATGTTATCCCATGATCAAGTAATAGAGGGGGCATTTTTCCACAGTCGTGAGGTAATAACAGGCATTTGGTGTATAATCAAAGACATACAACCCTCACAGTAGGAATTAAGAAGGTGCTTCATAGACTAAAAATGAAGATTTGTCCTGGGGTTGTTTCTCTATACCATAACAATTCTTTTTTTAAAAAGATTTATTTATTTATGCATACAAGAACTGGGGTACAGGTCAAAGGTGTGGGTGGTGAGAGGATTCACCGGAGACAGAGTGGAAAACAGAACAGGCAGATTGACCGAAGTACACTGCTGAAGGGAGCAGCGGGCAAGTCGGGAGAGGTCTGCAGTGCCATATGGGTTGCTCCCTGGCGGGCCCTGGGCAGAGGCTGCGGTGCGGACAGCTTCATAGATTGAATCTTAACCCCTTGCGCCACCAGGGAGGCCCTACACCATAACAATTCTAATAACACCAATTATTTATTAAGACCTACCGCCTGCTGGGCATAGTTTTAGGTGACTAATATCTATTCTCATTTAATTCTTACAACAACCATTAAAAAAATAAAGATTGGGCCTCCCTGGTGGTGCTAGGGGTTAAGTACTGCACTACGAAGCAATCTGCAGCCTATGCAGTACGAGTTAGATCCCCGGCCAGCCAGGGAGAAACCCACATGGCGCAGCAGACCTCTCCTGTCTTGCCTGCTGCTCCCCTCAGCAGTGTATTTCGGCCAGTCTGCCTGTTCTGCTCCCCACTCTGTCTCTGGTGGATCCTCTCACCCCCCCACATCTCTGGCCTGTGCCCCCCTCCCCCAGCTCTTGTGTGCATAAATAAATAAATCTTTAAAAAAAAAAAAGATTATTAGAATCACCAATAGAGGAGTAAAACAAGACTCAAGAGACACTAAATGTTTGCCCACGCTCACAATGGGACTGGAATCCAAATCCAATTCCAAAGACCATACTCTGCAATATACCACGTGTCCCTACAGAGCAGAAGTGGAAATTACATTATTAGTTTCCTCATATTTTGTTCTTACCTCATGCTCAAAAGAGTTCAGGGTGTCTGAGGTAAGACAAGCTTTATTTTTGCGGGTGCAGAAGGCTATAAGTTCGCCTACCATTCCCTCCTCATTCTGTCCATACAGAACACACAGCTCTACCACTGCAGGAAGGAAAATTGGACAAGTGAGCACTTTATTTCTTGCAGCTTTCATGTTGAAAGTAAAAATAATCCTCTACTTAGTCCACTAATATTTACTCAGTGCCTACTAAGGCCAGGCTTGGTTCTAGAAGCCAGCACAACAGAGAAGAAACACAACAGAGAAGAATCCTTGTCTCCACAAAGTTCACTATTAAGGGGAGACAGAAAATAAGTAAATCAAATATGTAATAGATTATGTTACAGTATGCTCTGTAGAAAAACAAGGCCAAGAGAGGGATCAGGGGCTTGGGGGTAGGGGAAGTTGGTGGTTCTAAGCAGGCGAGCATTCAGGCAAAGATCCTGAGGTAGAAGCAAGATCAGCCAGCCCCTGGGCTGGAGTGCAGGGAGGAAGGAGACAGGGGGGCGGCGCAAGTTGCTGGCCACTGCAACTCCCTCAGCAGTACTCTGGGTTGGCACGTCACTAGAGGGTCTGAGCAGAACAGTAACCTGAGGAGAGACCCATGACCATGAGGACTGCGGCAACATCTAGGTGACAGGAGGTGGTGGCTTGGGACAAGGTGGTGGCAGTGGGGCAGGTGAACAGTGGTTGGGCTCTGGATATACCCTGAAGGTGAGGTCAGTGGGATTTGCTGACTGGATGTGGGGTGTGGAGAAAGGTGTCAAGGATGATGTTGTTAGCCCAAACACCTGGGAGGGGATCCCTGCAGGTCAGCCTGGGGATTGGAAATTTGGAAATGCCAGTGAGAGATCTAATTAGAGATGTCAAGCAGGCAGCTGGACAGGCCAGCCTGCAGTTCAGCTCAGAGGTCTGGCCTAAGATACACATTTGGGGATCATCAGAAATAAGGGGGCTGTAAAGCCACAAGGCCACCAGGACTCAGGACAAGTATGAATCTGCAAAGTCTGAGAAGGGGTGACAAGGGAGGCAGAACAACTAAGAGTCTTGTCTACGAAGCTGAGAGAAAAACATGTTTTAAAGAGGCCACGATGAACGACGCCAATTGCTGTTGCTAATTCAGACAAGGACTGAGAACTTTCCACCGGATGTAGCCAGATAAACGATGTTAATGACCAGAAGAGCAGTTTCCCGGGGGAGGTGGGAGGGGGACGTGGGGATGAAAAAACTTACTGAAATGGGTCTAAGGAGGAGAAATGTGAAGAAAGCAGATACAGACGCGGCGTCACGGCGCTTTGCTGCACTTGGGAAGGAGAGAAGTGAAGTGGGACGTGGCGCTGACAGGGCATTTTAAAGGTGAGAATAAGAACCACACTTGATGCTGTTAAGGGAAAAATCTTACGAAAAGAAAAATAAAAAAAAAAACATAAGAGGCGAGAATGACTGCAGTGACGAGCTCAGGCAGGAAAGGAGACTGTAGGGGAGAGCCTGCTCTTGCTAAGAATGTGGGAAACCGAATCATCGCCACAGGCGAGAAGGCGGGGGCCACGGCAGCCCCCCGCAGGCGTAACGGCGGTGACAGCTTCTACTCTCCTTGCTGAGCGGGGATCCAAGCGGCACCCTGTGCGCATTTCGAAGCCCGGACAACCCGAACCCTAAGTCTGACTCCTCATCTCACAAGCTCCGAGACCCCGAGCACCAGGCTGGGGAAACCCGGCCGCGCGCGGGCCGGTGCTGGGGGGCCGGGGGCGCGGGCCGGAGCTGGGGCGGGGGGCGCGGGCCGGTGCTGGGGGCGGGGGGCGCGGGCCGGAGCTGGGGGGCGGGGGCGCGGGCCGGAGCTGGGGGGCGGGGGCGCGGGCCGGTGCTGGGGGGCCGGGGGCGCGGGCCGGTGCTGGGGGCGGGGGGCGCGGGCCGGTGCTGGGGGGCGCGGGCCGCGACTGGGGGGCGCGGGACTCACATTTCTCAACCAGCGCCTCCTCGCAGTCTAGGCCGAAGATCTGCAGCTCCTCCAGCAGGAGCTGGGCGGACGCGCTCATGGTGACCGGGGCGGGGGTCGGGGCCGCGGCCGGGCCCACCCAGCTCCGCCCTGAGCCCGGGAGCCCCACGGGCGCGAGCGCGGGGAGCAGGAGCTTCCTCGGACGCTCTCCCCGGCCGGGCCGGGGCGGGGAGCGGCCGAAAGGCCCAGGGCCTCCGGGGTCAGCAGGCCCCTGCCGTCAGTCACGAGAAACACCTCTAAAAACGTGCCGGAGGACCCGCTCCACGACCGCCGGGGCAGAAATCCCAAGAAGTGGCTCTCGGGAGCGCCCCGCTTCCCGAACGCCACCACAGGCTCCGGAGGGGCCGGCGTAGGCGCCCACAACCGGGGAAAAACCCGCCAAAAGGTTTGTGCGCGGCGCGCACGCGCGAGACCCGGGTTGACCCCGCCCCTTCCCGGCGGCTTCCTCCCCGTGTTCCCGTCCTCCCCGCGCGCCCCGGCGCGCATGCGCACAGGCAGCCACCCGCCCGCCCGCGCGCCCGCGCCTGGCGCTCGGCTCGACGGCGGCTGCGCGGTGCCCCGAGGCGCGACGTCCTCGCCCGGGCGCGCTGTGCCCGGTTCCCCCGCGGACGCCGCGTCCGCCTGGCCGTCCGGGCACCTGTTTTCGGGCAGCGCCTGCTCGCGAAGCTCCGTGACCCTTGTTCGTCACCCCTTTTGTCCCTTGCCTTGGTGCGCAGGCGCTGTCGTGTACCTGTGCTCGAAAACCCCAAATCTTCAGTGCCCAGCTGGGGACGGGAAGACCGTGTTGTCCCTATTCTGTCCCTTTCGTCTCGGCCCTCGAGGTGCCCTCGTTCCTCTTAAAGGGTGACTTAGGGAACCTGGTTGTCATGGTTATTTATCATGGTCAAAAGGCTTAAGACCAGGCCGGGGGTGTGTACTGTTGGCACAGGCAGGCTGGATGGGTCGCATGCGGTCTGTAGCCTGGCGGGAGCAGATGCAGGATGCGGATGGCATGGGGAGCTGAGAATTTATGTTTGGAAACCACCAACTTAAAAGGGTGACTTTGAGAGAACAGTATATATGTTAGATAACATATTTGATAATATAGAAAAGTTTTAAAGTGTCTGCAGGGGAGTGTACAGATAGGACAAATACTTCCAACAAATGGCCTGTGGGAAGTAGAATTTGAGGAGATTACAAAATAATCCCAAGATAAGTATTTCATCCTGTTAGAAGACAAAAAAGATTTATGCTTTTAATTTTATTTTATACTGTATTATCTGTTTTACTATACTGAAAGTATACAACATAAAACTTACCAGCTTAATAATTTTTTAAGTATACAATCACTAGTATCTTTGTTTTTGACAGAGATGCTTCCTGGGAGGCACTGCTCTGTGCTGTGGGCATGTTGTCACCAGGTGGCGGCATCGTGGTACAGTACCAGGGACTGAGCTTCTCCAGTATTGTAATTTTAACTCCATCCTTCCCTCCCAGATTCCTCACATGTACTATGTGCAACTAAGGCTTTCTGGATAGTGGGAGGCAAGATTAAACAGAAGAAGAAAAAGCTATGAACATAAACCAATAACCACTATTTATTAACTTTTTTTTTTAAAGATTATTTATTTATACAAGCACTGGGTACAGTCAGAAGTGCCTGAGGGTGAGAGGATTCACCAGAGCCAGAGTGGGGAGCAGAGCAGGCAGAAGGACCGAAGTACACTGCTGAGGGGAGCAGCGGGCGGCAGGAGAGGTCTGCGTGCCATGTGGGACCCTCCTCCGGTGGCCGGGGAGCAGCCAGGGATGGAACCGGCGCTGCAACCCAGCGCTCAACCGCTGCGCCACCGGGGAGGCCCTTGAGTAACTATTTTGACTGAACCACTGGATTGCATCTGCGCTAGAGAGATGGTGGTGGCCGAGGGTGCTACACAGACAGTAAACCCTGGGAACATGTAGGATCCACTGCACTCACCAGGCTAGGAGCCTCTCCCCTTTTATCCTCACAGAAGACTGAAGCCACCCTCTATGGCATTACTACTGCCCTCCTCTATTTGCCATATTGTCCCAATTGTCACCACAGTGAGTCATTTGAAATTCAAATGTGATTATGTCAACTCCACCCCCTGCTTAAACCCTTTCAGTGGATTCTTACTCTAGGGTGAAGATCTAGCCTCTCTACCTGACCCCAGGGGCCCCTTTACTATTCTTTTGTTCTCCTTTCTGCAGCTAGCCTGGTCCATCTGCCACAGAGCTTTTGTCGTGGCTTTGACCTCCCCGCCCCTCCTCCCCACTCCTGCCTGAAGTGTTCTTGCTTCCCCAGTCACCCCCACTGCTTTTTGACATTTCATCTCACCTGTACCCCAGGGGCAATGGCCCTTTCCCCAGCTTTCATTTCACATGCAGTTCTGTTTGTTGGGTCCTGATTTGTTAAGATTTCAAATCCATGTTTCGAAAGTTTGATTCAGAGAAAAGTAAAACTTTACTTGCTTTAATGAAATTGTTTCAAAGTTGGTCATTAAGGCTGTCATCACGACGAGCATGCGCAGCCTAGTGCCAGCGAGTGTGTCCTGCTGCAAACCTGAGGGACAATGTCAGCTGCATCTGGGCACCCCCCACCACCACCAGTGTTTGTCAGCGTGAACACACACTCACTCACACCCCAGCCACTGCCGCGCTCCATACCTAATGGGCAATTTTAACACAAAACACCAAAAGTTTACGAAGATTTATTGAGAATGTTCTATTTGGGCTAGGCAACTCTTGGCTGATCTAATAGGTCTCCAAAGACCTTGAGATGTGTTTCTGGAGCTGCAAGGTGACTCCTTGCCCGCAGTGGTGCTGAGCCACAGAGCCGCTCGCTGGAGGATAAGGGACATCTGTTTCCTGACCCAGCGAGGTCTCTCTTCTCAGGCGGAGGCTCAGGCCATTAAGCAACCGCTTTCTGGGCAACCGCCTTGCCTGCCAGCACCGCTACCTGCTCTCCGCTGCAGCCCGACAGGGAGGTGGCTTCATGGGCAGCTGGGCCCAGCCCCTGCTGGACTAAACCGGCTTTCCCCGGCACCAGCGCATGGGGAGGTCCACCACAGCTAAGCCTGAACTTTCTTTCATCTCCCCGCTGCCTGCAATAGGGGTGGTGGTAACTGAAATAAAGTCACAGAGTCTAACATGGAGTCTGTTCCATAAAGTGCAGCTCCCCGACTCCAGAGCACCTGAGACTGAGAAAATTCATGCCCTTCTTCTTAAACTGCTAAATTGTAGACTAATTGGCTACAATGAAGAAGGCATTCAGGTCCCCGGAGATTGTGCTCCCGGGAGGCCCGAGGGCAGGCGCAACTGCTTTCTTGGTGTCTCTTTGGAGAGGAAGCATCTCACATTCTGTATTCCCTAACTGAAACTGGGATCCCCTAAACTGAGTCTCACTGGCTAATCTAAAGAGTTGGGTTTTTCACCATTAAAAAAAATTCTCTGTAAATTGCACAATAGGTGCGAGGCCAGATGCTTTGCTTTCCTCTCATTGTACGGCAGCCTCATGGCAGCCTCATTGTACAGGACCTCTGAGTGAAGGGATGCAGTTTGCTCATGGATTAAGGACGTCTGCCTGCTCATGAAGGTGGGGATGGTGCTGAAATCAAGGCCATGCTTTGCTGGACAAGCTGTGCACTCTGCTGTGAAGCCACATCTCCCAGGGGCAGGGGTGACTCCTTCACTTGCACTGAGGCACAGAGCTGGGTCCCAGGCGCGCTGCCTCAGAGCTCTCTCTCGAGGGTGGCATGCTGACTTGCATATTTTAATTCCTGTACAAATTGAGGAAGAGAAGGGAACTTGTTTGTTTGTTTGGGAAGTATCAGGTACAAAAGGGGAGAGATGGAAATGACCTTGGCCGTTCTAGCCCTCACTTTCCCAGCCCTGCTCCGAGGGGTCCATTCTTGGTGTCCAGAGACTCTTCCTGAGGATGTCCAGGCTTAGGCTGAGCTGAAATCACCCATTTTGAGTTGTTTATCAGGTCCTCCCGTGACATTTGGGAGTTGTGTTGGATCTCCAAGGATCATGTGAATATGGGGGATGAACTCTGCTTCTGTCTTTAGCTAACACTCACCCAAAGGTCCCGAAGGGACTTGTCTCATGTTCTTGGCTGCCCTGTTCCTGCTGAATGGTGCCTGTAAGCCTCACCGAGTCCTTCTAGAGATGTGCTGCTGGCCTTGGAGAAGGGAGGGCTGGGCTGGGAACAGCCCTGGCTGGGGACCCAGGAGACAGGCTGGGTATAGGCTAGGATTACCAACACCTGGCCTTGGTTTGCCCTTGAGTGAGTCCTCCAAAATGAGAAGTAGCCTTGGAGTCTGGGAACCCATGAAAGCCTGCCCTAAAGAGATAACAATGGTAGCTTTATTTAAGTGACTTCTATTTTGCATAGTCATCCTCTCTTACCCATAACTGCTCTGGAAACCTCCATCTAGAAGTATCAGGAAATTGCGAAGTCATAGTCTTCCCATGTTATGATTTGTTAAGAGGAATCAAGACTCTTTAGAAGAGGCGACCCTCGCTATTGGAGGAGGCTTTATGCCCAGTGCCTCTCAAAGGTGGATTTCAACATCCCACAGTGCAGACCACACGCTCGGGGAGCTGAGGAGGACGCACGCAGGCCATGGAATGGAAAAGTTCTGGCACTGGACTGTCCCCTCAACAGCTGCTGACTAGGGCTGTGTCTGTGGCACCAAGGATGAGACTTTACGTTCTACCCAATTTTCATCAATTTCAATTTCAATCTGAAACTGCAGCCACGTTGGATGGCACAGATTCCATTTAGTGTCTAGATTCAGGACGTTGTAACCTCAAACAACTTTAAAGTATCTGTAAAATCCCAAATAATATCAACAGTGGTTATACTGAATGTCCTCACAGACAAGGTTCCGTGCACAGGATCTACCTGTTTCTGCTTCTGGAAGCTCTGTGAAGCAAGAGACAGTATGCGGAACCTTAGGTGTGAGAATTCCTGAAGCCGTGGGCTGAGGAGACTAACTTTGTTCAATCTTTTTTTTTTTTTAAAGATTTATTTATTTACGCATACAAGAACTGGGGTACAGGCCAGTGGTGGGGGGTGTGTGTGAGAGGATCCACCAGAGGCAGAGTGGGGAGCAGAACAGGCAGACTGGCTGAAATACACTGCTGAGGGGAGCAGCGGGCGAGTCAGGAGAGGTCTGCTGCGCCATGTGGGTTTCTCCCTGGCCGGCCGGGGATCAAACTCATGCTGCAGAGGCTTCGGATTTCTTCATGGTGCAGTGCTTCATTGCGCCACCAGGGAGGCCCCGTTCAATCTTTTCTGAAGTGCTATTAGACTCTGTTGTGGAAACAACCCTGATGCACTGAGGTGGCTGGGCAGAGAGTCCCCAGGTGAACAATATGACGAGCAGGTGGGATGAGTTTCCCAACATCCTGTTTGAGCAGATGGGCTGCGTCACGGTTGCTGGCCAGTAGCAACCAAATATCTTGTTTAAACAACCTGGCCCAGACAAAAGGTACTAATGATTGTTTCCCTGGCTAATGATTGTTTCACCATTGCCTGGAAGGGGCTGGCCATGTACAATTAGTCAAAACTAAGACTGGAGTCCGAGGACACTGAACACACACCACTGGGCATAGGTTTCAGATGCTCGTGAGACGCTTGACCTGCCTGCCCAAGCCCAGGGTCACCCGACCCAGCATAGCGCTGACCCTGCTTCCCGCAGCCCGCACCAGCCTGCCCCTCAGGAACCCCAGGATGATGGAAGTGCCACCAGTGTCCCCACCAAGAAGTCCGCAAGGACAGAGGCACTCTGGGAATGGCGGGGTGAGGGCCTCCAAAACGCCTCCCTGTAAAAACGATATGGACACTTGTCTGAGACGTTAACATCTACTTTTTCGGAACTGCAAATTCAGCACAACTCATCAAAGGCTGGCAACAGGCATTCAACAGATGGGTCATGGAGAAAACAAAAATCCGAAGCACAGTGAGATGCTGCGCCAACCCCGCCCCGGCCGACTGTAAATAAAAGACGGACAATGGCAAGGGCTGGCCGGGATGTGGAGAAATCGGAGCTCTCATTGCGGGGCTGGCGGGAAGACACGTGAAGTGGTGCCGCTGCCGTGGGCTCAGCCCCATGCTGGCCCTTTCACCTCAGCAGCGCTGGGCACTGTCCCTGGCAATTTGTCTTCTCATCTGATTCTAGCGAGCAGCCTGAGGCGGTCGTGGCTGCGGTGAGTCCCACTCCACAGGCGGGGAATGGAAGCCACTGGAGCTGGGAACCTGACCGCCTACCTTAGAACAGCTGGAGTCATGAGGGCTTCTGGTGAACCAGGCCTTGTTCCAGCACTACACAGGATATGAGGAAGGCACCATGGTTATCACCCCTCTTTACAGATGAGGAAACTGAGACCCAGAAAGGTTAATGGACTTGGCCCCGGTCGCAGAGCTGCCTAATGCATGAGGCAGGCCTTGAACTGGGGTGTGGGACCATGGCTGCCCTGGGGTACCCCTGAGGTGGAGGCTGGTGAGGACGCCACTGGTGAGCCAAGTCCTGCACCCACACCCGCTACCTAGGCTAGGAGAGGCTGTGCTGGGCTGGGGGTGAGACCCCAATGGAACCTGGGGCTCTTCCTGGGGTCACTGTGAATGTGAAGTGGTCACGGTGGGGCAGAGGGTCAAAGGGCCAGAGGTCCTCCCGCCAAGAGCGGAGACAAAGAGCCTGCACCGTGACTGCCTGGGTGCTGGTGTTCACGTCCTCCTCAGCCCTGCGGCCCCCGTGTCCAGTCCCGGCAGGAATCTCAGTCCCTCTCCAGTCTCCCTTCTTACCTTTTCCTGGCTTGGGTGCTCGAGCTCAGCAGTCCCTTCTGTGTACACCTGGCGCCTCCTGAGAGCTCCTCCACCACCTTGCCAGGACCTTCGTGGGAGTGGTCATCTCTCAGTCACGGTTGTGGTCAGTATCCACAACTGCCAAATCCAGCAAGTGCAGCAATTGCCAAAGCAGCGCTGCTGCTTGTCCCCCACCCCTTGTCTTTGCTGCCTGCAAATTCCAGCGGGCTGGTCTTCTCGAGAAAGGTGTGGGAAGGAAACACTGAGGGAGACGGGCTGCTCAGCTGTGTCCTCCAGCTGACCTGGGCCTCCTTATCCCACCCCAGCCTCATCATGAAGCATTTTATTTAAGTGGGGATACTGCTTGGGGGACTGTGCATGTGAGCGAGCGTGTGCTGGTGGCCTGTGTTGCAGGAGGCGGGGGGCCCCTTCCTTTGATCCACCTTTCATGGCCCCCGCTGCCTGGCACACCAGCCTGCCGGGCACACTGATGCTGCTCAGGGCCATGAATAGGGTCTGACTCTTGCAACCTTCCAGTTCTCCCACCGCTGCTGCGCGCCAGGACACTCTGCCCGGGGTCAGTGAAAACGTAACCAGGTACATTCTCAGGGCTGCTCCCAGGGCCAGCTCACTGCTCACAGCTCTGCCTCTAAGCAGAGATCTCCTTCTGGGCACAAAGATCCCGGGCACCATCGGCTTTTACCTTAGTGGAACTGCCGGCACCTGCTCCTACCTGATCTCACCTGGTCCAAGTGAGATCCTCAACATAAGGGAGCTCCTGGGTGCCTGGTGATCTAGGGACACCAGGAGATTGTTGTTGAAGGCTCTGAAAAACGAGCACCCTGGCTGGCCAGTGCCTGAGGTGGATGTGAGACCATCTGGAGGCTGTTTGCCAATACCGTAGAGATCATTAAAAGGAACATCAGCCACGCGAGTCCAGTCTGCACAGCCGAGTCTGTGGACCGTCACCAGGAGGGTGTCTTCATCTAATAGTTTCTGGCCGGTGTTCTCAGGACAAGCATAGCCAAAGACTTGATTGTTTATATCCCTTGGACTCTGTCCTGTCACCTCAAGGTTAACTTTACATGTAGGAAACTCCATCCCCAGAATGTTACAGAAAATCGGTTTGTTTACTGAAAGGCATGTGTTACCTTTGTCCTGGGACATCAGATCAGTTTACTAAGCTCCTGATAGGGACCCACGAACTACGGATTTATAGTACAGTTAGGGTTACCTATCTATCAGGAAACTATTTCTCAACCCCAACTAACGACATCAGGACCCCCGGGAGTAGACACCAGCACAGGCATTTTTTATTAAACCTCACAGGTGATACTGGGATTGAGATTCAATAGTCTAAATTTTCTTCCCCCGCAAAATAGTGTTTATAACAGATTTGTTTTCAAAACACATTCAAAATCTTGTTCTTCTACCTGGACCTCCCATTGAGTTCTTCTGCCTCCTCCCCCAGCGCTCGGCAATGACAGCTCACTTATTTCTTCAGACTTGTGACTATTTCATTCTCTCCAGCAACATGAACGGATCAGCTACTGTGTGTGGGGGCCATGGAACCATGCCAAGATGCCTTCTAGGAGCCACTAGGAGAGGCCAGCAAGTCATGGGTCCTTTGCAACCCAACCCAGTGAGAAGGATGTGTAGGAGCCCAGGAGGCAAGCAGGGGAGATCAGGGAGAGCTGCCTGGAAGAGGTGACTTCCTAGATGAATCTTAAAACATGACCAGGAGGGCCTCCCCGGTGGTGCAGTGGTTGAGCGCTGGGTTGTGAAGCCGCCCGCAGCCTCTGCAGCGCCGGTTCGATCCCCGGCTGCTCCCCGGCCACCAGAGGAGGGTCCCACACGGCGCGCAGACCTCTCCTGCTGCCCACTGCTCTCCTCAGCAGTGTACTTCGGTCCTTCTGCCTGCTCTGCTCCCCGCTCTGGCTCTGGTGAATTCTCTCACCCTCCCACACTTCTGACTGTACCCAGTGCTTGTATAAATAAATTAAATAAATAAATAAATAAAAATTAAAAAAAAAAACCCCAAACATGACCAGGAGTAGCCCTCTGTCTTTAAATTTACCCATCAGCTGAGGGTGTGGCTTGAGAACAACTCAAATAGGAAAGCTTGTGTAACAACATGGCAGCGAGAGGGCTTTGACCTGTCGAAAGCACTGAGGCTTTGGTGCACTGACACCAGGGCTTGTGGAGTGGCCTTGTTCAAGCTCTGTCCAAGCTAAGCTGCTGAAAGACTGACTTGGTGAAGAGGGAAGTGGTGTGGTTCCTGCCCAAACACTGATAGTCTTTCTGTCTTCTGCTTTTCCTTGGATGGTAGGGGACTGAGCACCCGTCCCATTTGATTCTCTGGTAACCCCAGGAGGAAGGGTTTAGACAAGGAAACTTGCCCAAGGCCACCCGATGAGCCAAGATTTCAAACCTTCATGAGCCTAATCTGAATTCCGGTGACGGTCAAGGTCAGGGGGCCGGGCATTTGTCCAGATGTTGGGCTGGAATAGGTCTGAGGTCAGAGGGATGCTGTCAGGCCAGGGAGTTAGCCTTGGGGGAGAGGGACAGGGGACGGGCCACATCCCATCACTTACTCATCACTGTTTATTGAGTGTGCACCATTTGTGAGGCCCACAGAGGGGGCAGCTGCCGGAAGAGGGAAACCACACAGACAGGGGTGTGAGCTTTAATGGTCCAAAGTGGGAGAGAGCAGATGCCCAGTGAGGGGAGCGGGATGAGCTCTGGGTGTTCCTCGGGGACGCCCAAGGCGGGGCTGTTCCAAGGACAACCAACCGGGTGGAAATGTGGCTGACCCGGCCGAGACCTAGTGTTATGAGAACAGGAATGAGCAGAGTGGTTTCATGAGGCCGATCCTGGGATGGGAGAGGAGAGCAGCCCCCCGTTAGTCCCTGGGTATATTTCTCCTGGTGATCACACGTGCTCGTGCCGATTGGCCACTGCGGGTCAGCACCCCGGGCAGGCCTGGCCTGGCAGGTGGGCAGCTCGCTGGCCTGAGCTTGTAGAACCACTGCAGTCCTGGGCCACGCCTGACCCGGCCCATGCTGGGAGAAGCCCTGGGTGCTGTCTGGACACAGTGAGGCTCTGGGCAGCCTAGATGGTCTCCTTGAGGGGAGACGCACCCAGCTGCTGAAGGGAAATTTCTTCACTCTTTTCCTCCGCCTCCTTCTTGGAGGAGCCGTCTTTGACTCTGTGGAAATGAAAAGTCATTGGAAAAATAACATGAAAAAGTAGAAGGGGGGGCAGGCGGTGTGTGCGGCAGTCACGGGCGTGTTGGTACCACCAGGAAGACAAGTCTCCGTTGTCCCCAAGTCCCCAAGGACGGTGGAAGCCGAGCAGACCTTCTCTCGGCACTGTGGGGCAGCTCAGGTGGTGGCCTCTCTTTCTGGCCTCCCACCATCTTGACAGGCTCTGGGGAACACTAGCAGCTCCCCAGCTCGCCCTGTGTCTGGAAATGATCTAGTTGAATTTTATCATTTTTTTCATCGTGTGCCTTCTCCCCCGATTACCAAAGAAAACTTACCCACTATGATAATTTGGACATAATTTTTAAAATGTAAAGAAGACTGGAAAAGAAACCCCAAAATATCACCCATACTTTGAGGCAACACCCGTCATTATTTTAAGAAATTTCTTTCTTGGGCCTCCCTGGTGGCGCAGGGGTTAAGACGCAACCTATGAAGCAATCCGCAGCCACTGCAGCACAAGTTCGATTCCCTGCCGGCCAGGGAGAAACCCACATGGTGGGACAGACCTCTCCTGTCTCGCCCGCTGCTCCCCTCAGCAGTGTACTTTGGTCTGTCTGCCTGTTCTATTCCCCACTCTGTCTCTGGTGAATCCTCTCACCCCCCTGTGCATCTCTGGCCTGTACCCCAATTCTTGTATAAAAATAAATAAATCTTAAAAAAAAAAAGAAATTTCTTTTAAGTGTCTATTTCTTGACATAACTAAGAAAATATCATTAACTTAATTCACTATTTAACAGTATATCGTAAACATTCTCCACGCCATGAAAACTCTTCAGCATAACTTTTAACTATTGCACAATGTATCATAATTTAGCTAAATTTCAGATATTGGGAGAGTTTACATTTTTTCTAGACTATTAAACATGTTTGTGAATGTCTTTGTAAATGAACTTTGTCCACATTTCTACTTATCTTCCTTGGGTAAATTCCTGGAAATTTCATTGTTGCTTAGAAAATATGAAAATTTTTACAACTCAGGGTCAGTAATACCAAAGAAACTTCCAGAAAGGTTGCAGGAATTTCCTCCCCTTTACAGACACATCTCCTACAGTAACTCTTACTGTGCTTTAAAATCTTTCCTTTTTGGGTATTTTTGCATGATGTCTCCCTGTTTTGATGTACATTTCCTTCATGAACATGTAATGTACATGACCGAGGAGGCTACTTTGCTTTACTTTCCTTTGGCATTTCCTCCTTGCTGTATGTTCTATTCTTTTTTTTTTTTTAATAGAGGCATGTTTTATTTATTTATTTGTTTGTTTGTTTGCTTTGTTTATACAAGCACTGGGTTCAGTCAGAAGTGCGGGAGGATGAGCGAATCCACCAGAGCCAGAGCAGGGAGCAGAGCAGGCAGAAGGACCGAAGTACACTGCTGAGGGGAGCAGCGGGCGGCAGGAGAGGTCTGCGCGCCATGTGGGACCCTCCTCCGGTGGCCGGGGAGCAGCCGGGGATCGAACCGGTGGCACAGAACCTGCGGGCAGCCTTGCAACCCAGCGCCCAACAGCTGCGCCACCAGGGAGGCCCTGTATGTTCTATTCTTATATAAAGGGGCTTGAACAGGGCTAATCAACTGTTCATTTGCTGTGTTACGCCGACAAACTGGGACATAAACCTAATTGGGTAACTGGGCCAACTCCAGTGAAGAAACAGTATCTGGCCTTGTGATTAATGAAGGATCTGGCAATAGAAAGAGGTGATTTACAACTGGGCTTTTGTTGGCCTATGAAAGAAATCTAAGGTTAGCCCACTGATAACCAGTTCCTCAGAAATCAGCGGGTACATTAGCTTTAATCCCGGTTGGCCATCTGCCATCTTGCAGATGGATATCTTGAACCTTAGAAAAGGCTGGTTTTCTCCTCATCCTAGTCTTTGGTATCCAGGCCTGGACTGGCACTCATAATTGTTTGATGAGATTAGAATTGAGAAAAAGGAGATGGGCTGAAGAAGTCTTGAACTCTTGTCCAAATCTCTGAAACTATTTGACATGCTCATAAGAAAGGCCCTAGCCTCCCCTCCCCCCACCCACGGCCATTTCGTACTGACCAAATTGTTCCTGTCTGATATTAGTTGAACATGAACAGTCAAGAATCTGAAAAAGGTTATTAAAGATCAGAACACCGAGGGCCTCCCTGGTGGCGTAGCGGTTGAGCACTGGGTTACGAAGCTGCCCACAGCCTCTGCAGCGCCGGTTCAATCCCCGGCTGCTCCCAAGCCACTGGAGGAGGGTCCCACACGGTGAGCAAACCTCTCCTGCTGCCCACTGCTCCCCTCAGCAGTGCACTTCGGTCCTTCTGCCTGCTCTGCTCCCCGCTCTGGTTCTGGTGAATTCTCTCACCCTCAGGTGCTTCTGACTGTACCCAGTGCATGTATAAATAAATAAATAAATCTTAAAAAAATTAATGTGTCTTAATAAGTAATGAGTCTTAATGAGATTTAATAAGCCACGGAGCCCAAAAGATCATTAAAAAATATAAACCAGACCACATCAATCCCTTCCTCACATCCTGCAATGGTTTCTCTGTTGATTGAAAATGAAAGCCTAGTGCTGTGGTGGATAGGGCTGCCCTGTCCTCTCTGCAGCCCCACTGCTCAGTGCCTGCAGCTTTCTGGGGCCTCCAGAGCCTTGCATAGGCTGTTCCCTCCTTTAGGGAGACACTTGTCCTCTTCTCAGTCTGCTTAACTCCTTGCCCTCCTTTGAGTCTAGACTCAAATCTAGAGACATCTGAAAATGCCAGTTTATTCTCTTAAAGACTCATTCATCTGTGTGCATTGGTTCTCAGTGGGTCTCTCTTAGCCCCTAAATCCATGAGGGCAGAGATCACGTGTGCTACACCCCACACTTAGCACTCTGTCAGAGTCATAGTAAAAACTCAGTGACAAATAACTAAATACAGGAATGAGATTTCAAAAAGCCTCAATTAAATGCCAGGTAAAATCCCTGGCCTCCAGAACTCTGCAAAATCTCCCTGATCTTAGCCACTCTCTCATGGCACAACTCCATCTGGACGTGCTCCTGGCGGCACCTACTCAAGAACAGGCTTTGTTTTCCAGCCCATTCTGCTCTCTAAACAAGCACTGTGTCTGTTTCCTCCTTAATAAACCACATGTTTAAATTTCTTATGCAAAATCTCACATGAGATGCCAAGTAGCTGTGGTCGTGGCTACCTGCCCTTCTGAATTGTCACACGTGTTTGAATCCCAGGGGAAACCTGTGAGGTTGGGCCATGAAGGTGGTGGAGGAGGGAGGTCAAGGGATTGTTCTTTATCTGCTTATAAGAATTACAACCTGTACCATCAAAAATATATGAAGAAAGGAAGCGCTTGCTGTATCTGGATGGAATGCTGCCTGGCTTATGAATCACTGAAGAAAGCCAGCTAGAGCACTGCTGTGCCCTTTGTCTTATGAAAGTCTGTGTCTGTGTCCTTCCAGTTATAAAACTGTGCAATTATTTGGAGTCATGAAGTCAAAGACCATCTGAGAACCAACTCCAGTCTGAAGGAGATGCCACAATTAAATCTACTTATGATCCAGAACCAGGTCCTCTGGTTTTGGAGGTCTCGAATGAGGTCTGAGGATGAGAGGTCATCTGTCAGCACTAACTTCCTGATGGTGGTGGTTATATTGTGGTTATGTAGCGGACTGTCCTTGTTTGGAGAGAAGACATGGAAACATTTGGAAGAGAGACCACTTTCTCCACGTGGTTCAGGAAGAAAATACTTTGCCTAGCACTTGTACTGCTTTTGTAAATTTGAGATTGTTCTACCTCTCTCTCTTTCTCATAGACACACACCTATACAATGAAAAAAACCATAGTCCCCACCAGGGGACTCCCTGGTGGCGCAGGGGTAAAAAGTCTCCGTGCCATCAAGCTATCCGCAGCCACTGTGGCATGAGTTTGATCCCAGGCCAGGGAGCTGACCCACACGGCTGACTCTCCTGTCTCCCCGCCGCTCCCCTCAGCAGTATATTTCAGTAAATCTACCTGTTCTGCTCCCCACTGTGTCTCTAATGAATCCTCTCACCCCCCTGCACCTCTTGCCTACCCCCCAGTTCTTCCATGCACAAATAAAAAAAAATCTTTTAAAAAAACTATTAAATAATACAAAATATGGGGTGACTTTGCAACATTTAAGGAGCTTAAGTGCGCCCTCTGCATTCCTGCACTGTGGGCAGCAATTGTTTTTCAGCCTGTACAAGCTTGTCCTCCGCCATGGGACGCACGGCCTGCAACTGGACCAGCGAGATCCAATTAGCAAATTGCTGTGAGAAAGAACGGCTTGTTTCCCACTGCTGTAAAAATTAAAATAACTTTTGGTCTCCACAGCTTAGTGGACTCATATGCAAAACAACATAGTTTTAGAATAAATTGCTCCTGGCAGGGTCAGAGGAAGCTCTGTTATTTAAAACTAGAATTTCATTTGGTATTGCTGGGATTTTTCGACAGCCAGAAAATCTGATTTTAAGAGTGCCCCAGCCAGAACCGCGACAGGGGTCTCTGTGATCCTGTGCGGACAAGAATGAGGGGGGCTGGAGCTAGGGGCGGGGGGAGATGCTCAGATTCAAAATATATTTGGGAGGCAGAATTGACCAAGAATGTGTGCTGGACCCAGTTGGGGCGCCGTGTCCGTGGCTCGGGGGAGACCCGGTGCTCGGAGGCCAGAAGGGGTGCAAACTCAGCCACCCCAGCCCTGGGTGGAGATGGTTCAGCGGGGAGACCACACTGGACCTGCAGGGAAAGCTGCAGGCCTGGGCCCTTTACCTTCCTGCCCCTTTTTGTCCAGAGGAGGGTCTTCACTGAGCCACTTCCAGAGGCCCCATCAAAGCCCCTGGGGGGCTGGATCAAGGACAGGCCTGACTCAGCCTCCTCCCTGAGGAGCCCCGGAGGAGTGGCTCCTGCGGTGATTGCTAAAGCTGGTGTCCCCTGCCTGAGGAGCTGGTATTCTTTCTCCGCTCTGATAGGAAGAAGAGCATGCGTGGGGTCATCCTCCCTGTCACCAGGAGGCTGTGAGATGTATTCGAAGCCCCCCTGTAACCACAGGGACCGCGCCTCTCCCCACTTCTTCCTCGCCTCTCTTGCCCGCCTTCCTCCCCATGCTGTCCTCCACGCTGCTCCGTGGGGCTGCCCTTGAGCTCTTAGTTCTCTGCTTGCTGGTCTCCCTGCACTGATTTCTCCCTCACCATTCTCTCCAGGGTCTGCTCTTGCTGGAAGCTCGGCCTCTGCAGACAGCGGTGCGTGGCCGTGGCTGCTGTGTCCACCTGGCTCTGGCTCTTGTTTCAGCTGCAGCTGGAGGATGGATACTTGCCCCCCGCTTGCCTCATGAGCACCCCCTCCTCTGTGGCCAGGGCCCTCACCTCCTCTCCATCGCCTCGATGGTCTCCAGCAGGGGCATGTTGCGGGTCTCAGCCAGGAGGCAGATGGCCAGCCCAGCCAGGATGGCGGTGGCCCCGAAGCCCACGGGCGGGAGGACAGCGCTGAACTCCCCAAGAGTGGTGACCAGGGGTGCTGCCAGGCCCCCAAGGCGGGCGCTGACCGAGACGAAGCCCATCCCCATCTGCCTGTGGGAGGAGGGTGGACAGGTCAACACCAGGATCTGGAAAGAGAGAGCCGGGGGCTCCCGGCCCTGGTGTCGGGCAGAGCAAGAGGGGCCCTGAGTGAGCAAGGCCAGCCGCTGTCAGTCTGGGCGCCAGGGCCTCCCGGTCTGGGGTAGGCACCCCTTGCCTCGCCCAGGCACCCACCTGATCTCTGTGGGGTACAGCTCTCCCGTGAACAGGTACACGCAGATGAAGGAGCTGGCCAGGCAGCCTTTGCCCAGTGCAGCCTGGGCCGTGCGTAGCATCTGCATATCTGTGGGGGGAGGCAGAGCTGTGGGGGAGGCAGAGCAGAACCTGGAGGGGAAAATCAGGATTTCTACCACCTCAAGTTCCTAGCTGGGACCCAGCTGCCCTGTGACTTCCGCCTCTTTCCCGCCTCATTTCTGTGTCACCAAGCCCTGTGGGAGGCAGGACGACCAGCTCGGGCCCAGCTGGGTGACGTCACTTCACTTGTCCTCATCTGTGAAATGAGGAGAATGGCACGTTTCGTGGGGCTGCCATAAGGCCGATGTGACGTCACGAGGGCCAAGCCTCATCACTCAGATGCTTGTGAGGCTGTGGGTGAGGAGCGGCAAAGCCAGAGGCAAAGTCCAACTTTGCTGCAACCGGCAGGGCTCACCCCCATCCTCCGGATTTGGCGACACCCAGCTGCCCGCAGCAGTCAGGAAGCGGGGATTGTGTGACCCCTTCCTGTGCCCAACCCCATTTTGCAAAGTCTCTGGGGGATGTGCTCAAGGCTGGGTATTTTGGGAGCTTTCCTGCCCACCTCCCACCTGTGACTCTGCAGGAGTCTCTTTCTCCTTTTCCTAATAAACCTGACCTTTTAAAATGTAAAAAAAAAAAAAAAAAAAAAGGTACAATTTTTTAAGTGTTCCAAGAGATTCTAACAGGCAGGTGGAATTGAAGAACACCAACCTAGCTGAAATATTATATAGTAAGAAAAAATTAGGGTCACAAAACATTTGAACTAACATGGAAAAGTGTATTTATGTTCCAACATCCAGTGGAAAATAATACATTATATATGCACATACGTATGTATGCACACACGTATATATGCACATATGTATATATGCACATACATATATATGCACATACGTAAAAATAGCCCTACTTATATCACTGTGTGTGTGTATATGTTATATTATCTCATCATGTCAAATTCCAAATCTATCTACAGGAAAGAGGTTGGGAGAAAGTATATCAAAATACACAAGCAACCATATCCCTTTTACAGGTAAGACGCTGAAGCAGAGGACACCCTGGCGGCAAGCTGGGCCTGGGCTATGATTCCCCCTGCCTGAGGACCCTGACAGTCAACCCCAGCTTCTTGCTGCAATTGCATGTTTTCAAATCCAAGCTTGGGTCCTAGTCCTGAGACTCTAACTGCATTGGCCTGGAGCACCTGGGCACTGGGAGTGTTCAGAGGTGTCCAGGAGGTGCTCATCACAGCCAGGTGTGCAAACCACTCGTCCAGGGCCAGCGGGCCGGGGTTGGGTCTGCTGCACCCCTGATTGCCGCCTGGCCAAGCTCCAGGCTGGCGCACCCAACCAGCACTTTGTCTTACCCGCTGCTTTGATCGCATCCGCCTGGTTGCCTGGACAAGGTGGCAAAGCTCCAAGGTCAAAGACTCATGTCCTTGGAGAATTCTCCACCATGACGCTGATGTAGGCACTGGGTGCTGATTAAAACTCTACTCATTGATAGTAATTTTCCTGCCAGGTCCAGAAGACCCTCCCTCGGCCTCGTTGCCTTTGTGTGGCGCCCACTAGCGCCAGCCCCCCGAGGTTCCTGCTGGTGAGGGCAGAAGTAGATGACTCACCTTCTGGCACAAACATGTTGGAGATCACCATGAGCCCGGCCAGGATGAGGAAGGAGGCCACGGTGGCCCGGCGGCCCACGTAAATCATGGTGGTGGTGGCCACTAGCATGGCTGGGATGTCTATGACCCCGAACAGGACCTGCACCAGGTAGACACTGAGCCCAAACTTCTGCAGGTCCATGGCCAGGCCGTAGTAAGCCATGGAGTTGGAGAACCTGGGAGAGGCAGCAGAGGGCTGTTTCATCCTGGCGTCGCTGTCCTGGACAGGGTGAGGGTGGGGAGGACATGCACGGAGGAGCAATACCGGCTTCTCCTGGGGAGTTAAAGTCCCCTGACTTGCACAAGTCCCTCCCCGTCTCCCCAGTCTCTGACTTTGGCCTGGAGCTGGCCTCTACCTCCACGCCCCTTTCCCCCGAGTCCACTCTCTGGGCCCAAGCATGTGTAATGTTTCCTCTTAGCACCAGGCCAGGCCCTCCTCCCAGCCTCCAGCATGGGACCTGAGCATCACACCTGAGAGTGAGAGGGAAGAAACGAGGGACCTCTGGCAAGACCACGGCGGCAGCGTGTCTCCCAGTGTTTACTGAGAAATCTGCCTCGCAAATGGCTGCGTCTGCCGGGGTGGGTGGCTTATGGCCAAGCTGACTGCAGAGGCCTGGGATTCATTCTCGCATCTGGGGTTTCCCTGGATATGTCAATGTTCCCGGGGCAGAGTCTCAAAGACCTGTTCGTACATCCACGCCCACAGCGTTATTCACAGTAGCCAAAATGTGGACACGGCGCGTCCAAGTGCGTGTCGACAGATGGATGGACAAACAAAACGAGGGATACGCTTGGGCCTCAGAAGGAAGGCCTTCTGCAGCAGTCGCTCTATGCGCCAGACTTGAAGCCATCACGCTCAGTGAAGCAAGCTCAGTCACTCAGTGCTGTGGGGTGCTGCTTATAGGGAGTCCCTCAGGAGTCTGGTTCAGAGAGGAGATGTGTTCATATTTCCCTGTGTCCCCTTCTGGCCCCTCAAATGTTTTTCCAGAGAGGGACTCTTCCCAGTACCCCCTGGGGTTCTGGGCATATCAGAATGAGCAGGTGCATTTTGGAAAAGATTCCAATAGGGGTTCCCACCCAGGTGAGACCCCCTGCAGAAGAGAGGTCCCCACATCCGCCTGGAAGTCTCGTCCAAGGCTGCATCTCAGCACCGAGTAGTGGGGGCACCCTGGAGATGGTACACAGACCAGGCTGCATTCATAAGGCTTCCCTGCTCGTTGCATGGAGAGTATTTAAGAACAGAGGGGGGCCTCCCTGGTGGCGCAAGGGGTTAAGTTTCAGCACTATGAAGCTATTGGCAGCCACTGCAGCATGAGTTTGATCCCTGGCCAGGGAGGTGACCCATGTGGCACAGCAGACCTCTCCTGTCTCTCCCGCTGCTCCCCTCAGCTGCGTATTTCAGTAGACCCACCTGTTGTGCTCCCCACTCTGTCTCTGGTGAATCCTCTCACCCCCCCACACCTATGGCCTATACCCCAGCTCTTGTATGCATAGATAAATCTTTAAAAAAAAAAAAAAAAAAGAGCAGAGCTTGTTGGTGGGGTGAAGGGCATGTCCCCTGCCTCAGCAACGAGACGTGGTCCGTCACCTACCAGACCATCATCAGGCAGCATGAGACTTTGCGGATGGCTGGGGTTCGAAAGAGGTCCAAGAATGAGTTGGAGGTGCGGACGCTTGCAAATTCACTCTGGATGTAGGAGCTCACCACCTGGATCAGGAGAGTTTGATCAAGGAGAAGGCAGGGCCTGGGGCACTGTCTCCTTGCTAGAAATTCCTCCACCCTTGGGAGAGCCAAGGTCAAGTTCCCTGGCAAGATGGTCGGCCCTTGTTTCCGCTCCATCCTGGGGCTGATGGGCCTACAGGACTGAGATGAAGCAGAGGCTCCAATGGGAGCCCCAGGGCTCTGAGCTGCCTGCTGGTTAGACTGAAACAGCCACCTGTGGGCCCAGGGCCCTCACACCCCTCTCCTGGTCCCAGGACTCTGGATGGCCTTGGCCATGGTTAAGAGCAGGTTCTGAACAGTTCTTCTACTTCAGGCAGTGTGTTCTTGGGCAGATTATATGATGCAGCCCAAACTTCAGTTTCTTCGTTGACAAAAAAGTGAGGCATTAAATGACATGATGGGGCCTCCCTGGTAGTGCAAGGGATTAAGTCTCAGCACTATGAAGTCACTTGTCCGGAGCCGCCTGGAGCATGCGCCGTGTTGCGCAACACACGTGCCATTAATTAGTTTTCGCTTTACCGTTTTTGCCTGCTGAGAAACCACAGGTGTTTCCTATTAATCAAATGAGACTGGGAGGTACGATGGGAGGAGCTACCAGGAGATAAGAAGAGAACCACGAGAAGGTCGAGAAGGTCGGGGATTATTGCGAGAGGTCATTGAGAGAGGTTATTGCGAGAGGAGCAGAGAGAAGGTCAGGGAAGTAAGAAAGTCAGGGAAAAGAAAGTTATGTAAAAGTAGTAAAAGGAAAAATAAAGAAGTAAACGCTAGCGTCAAGTCGTCAAGCCCCTCATTTCAATCCTCAGCCCTTCTCTTCCCGTGCCTCTGAACCCCGCGGGTCGGGACAGTCACTGCAGCACGAGTTCGATCCCCGGCCAGGGAGCCACCCACATGGTGCAACAGACCTCTCCTGTCTCCCCGCTGCACCCCTCAGCAGTGTATTTCAGTGGATCTGCCTGTTCTGCTCCCCACTCTGTCTCTGGTGAATCCTCTCACCCTCTACACCTCTGGCCTACACCCCAGCTCTTGTTTGCATGAGTAAATAAATATTAAAAAAAAAAAAAACACAGGTGGGGCCTCCCCTGGTGGCGCAGGCAGTTGAGCACAGCGCTGTGAAGCTGTCCAACGCCTCTGCAGCACAGGTTCAATCCCGGCCAGCCGGTGAGAATCGCACATGGCGCAGCAGACCTCTCCTGTCTCACCTGCTGCTCCCCTCAGCAGTGTATTTTGGTCAGTCTGCCTGTTGTGTTCCCTGCTCTGTCTCTGGTGAATCCTCTCACCCTCCCGCGTACCTGGCCTGTACCCCAGTTCTTGTATGCATGAATGAATAAATCTTTAAAAAAATATTAAAAAAAAATGACATTATGGACATACAGCTCTTAGCATCATGCCTAGCATGGGGATCAATAAATGGTACTTCTTTATAATAAATGATAAATAACCTATAAAATAGTATTTATAGGGCCTCCCTGGTGGTACAGGGAATAAGACGCAACCTACGAACCTATCTGCAGCCACTGCAGCATGAGTTTGATTCCCAGCCAGGGAGCAACCCACTTGGCGCAGCAGACCTCTGGTGGCTGAACATCTTTCCTACTTCTGTTTACTCCCAGTTTCCTTGCCTGGATGGTGGGCGAGGACTGGAAGCGACTAAATCCCAGCACAGCTCAAGGCTGACAGCAAGACCCAAGACTCTTCACCCTCCCAGCCACCACCGCCTACCTCCTTGGTCAGCCGCTCCCCTTCCTCCTTCCTCCCGTTTATGGCCGCCACCTTCCGCAGGTTCTGCACCGCCAGCTGGGACTTGCCCTGCAGGAGGAGCCACCGGGACGACTCTGGAAGCCACCTGGGACCCAGAGAAGGAGATGCGTGACCCGGAGCTGAGTAGAGCCCATTCCATGCTCCAAATCCAAGTCTTTCTTCACCTTCTTTCAGACCCTAAAAATAGTGGAGTATCCTGCTGTCTGCAGAAATGGGGTGATGGGAACCTGCCAACAATCCTCCCGGGAATCCTGGAGGGTGATCAGAGGCTTCATGGCATCAGGGCGTCCACGGGCCCAGTTCTGAGCTGGTTCTGACCCTGGCCGGTGGCCACGAACAAGGTGACCACTCCCTGGGCTGGGTCCGTGCCCTCCTAAAGTGCCCTGGGGCTGTTGTGAGGTGCGTTGATGGAGGGAAAGCACTCGGTGTGTCCTGGAACCCCACACTGACGGAAGGGAGTCTGCTAGATTGTCCCGATAGCCACGAAGGATGCCTGAGCCCCGGGGCCCTGGAACACCTGCCCTCCTTGCACCCCCACCACGCCCCGTGGGCCCAGCCATTGCGCACTTCAAGCAGGTGAGGGAGAGGGGAGGGCTGGGCCACACGGGTGCACCCCCCCACGCACCCCCACTTCACTTAGGACATACCAAGAATAGAGGAAAAAGACGAGGAATGGAAGAGAGACGGCAAACTGCAGCCAGCGCCAGGGGCGGATGAGGTAGGCCACCCCGGCCAGGATGAGCTGGCCCAGCGTGAAGGAGTAGCCTAGCAGGATCCCCGCCACCGTGCGGCCCCGCGTGGGCATCCACTCCACAACTGCGGAAAAACACACCCCACCGTGGGACTCATCGCCCGGTGTTTCCCCACCTGCCCCTTTGATGATGCTGCTGAGGCAACTGGAAATCACCCCCAAAGGACCACCAAGTCCTTGCAGAGGCGTCCCCACGGCCCCAAACCCCACACCCCGGCCAGTGCGGGTGGACCACAGAGCCCCACGTACCCAACAAAACTGCTAAAGTGATAGAAGAAAACTTGACTATTTTTTTCAGTTTTTGCATAAGGGAAGGTTTTTCCTAAAATGTCATAAACCCACCAGTGATAAAAGGAAAGTCAACAAACTTGACTTTATAGAAATAAACATCTGAAAAAAACAAAAGCAACCCACTGTAGACAAAGTCATGTCATTAAAAAAAGCCCCCCCAAAAAAATGTGCCGCTCAAATACATAGACAAAGGGCCAGTCTCCCTAGTATTGATGTTTTCTCACAAATCCACAGGCAGAGCACCGAAAGGATGAAATCGGTTGATAGCAAAGGAAATATAATGACTTAATTATATGATACTTCTGTAAATTGTAGCCAGATCCCCTCCATTTCTGCAACAAAAATCTCCCCTAGACTAAAAATTAGAAATAATTAATCACTGAGCACCTTTTGCTCTCTCCTCCCCCAGCCCTTTCTCCTGTTAACTCCACCTGCATTGGGGGGGGCCTTGGAAAGTTGAGGTGTCACATCCCTAGTAGGATCCTTTGTGTGTCTCTGAGCTGACAGCAGCCTCAGAAACAAACGCCCCAGATGGCTGAGGAAACCTCCCGCTGGGAAAGTCAACTGCTCCTGCGGCCTACCTGCCCACCTGCTGGGACCTGGGAATGGGACGCCCCCACCCCCATTCCTTCACCTCCCCCCTTCTCTGAGGTGCTGACCTGATGTCTGACTCCCGCGGAGGCCACCTCGGACAATAAACTCCGTGTCAATGCATTTCTCCTGGTTCAGAGTTTGGCTGTCTGGGCTCGAGCCGAAGACCCAGTCTGGCCATTTATAAAATCACAGAACTTGGAAAAATTGTGAAAGTTCACCCCCAGGAATGGTCAAATGACCCCGACTGGCTCTTTCCAGCCAGTTCGTTGCCGTCTCCGGCGTCCCGTCCACCTGCAGATCCGTCTCTGCCCCGGAATCAACCCGGATGGGAGCCCTTCCCGCGGCCAGCTGCTGCCCCTGCCCCGAGCTGGCTTCACGCCTGCGGGGTCACCCGGCAGCCTCGCTGGGAAACCGCCTCCCTGCCGCTGTCCAGGTGCCGCGCGCAGCAGGGACCCCGGCCAACTCTGAGTCACATCAGCTCTGGCCCCCCTGAGCTCCTCCACCCACAAAGTGTCCTCCTGCCCACAGGCTCCGCCCCCTTATCAGTACCTCAGCCTGCGCCAGCCCAGCTCTGCCCCAGCTCCCTCCTCTGAGCCCACTGCACGCTCCCCCAGGGCCTGGGCCTGGAATATTCTTCCCCAGAGAGCCACAGGGCGAGCTCCCTCACCTCCACCAAGCTTTGCTCAGTGAACCCTCCTGGGGGTCCCGCCCTGCACACTCCAGAGACCGCTCCTGTCTGTCTCCCACCATCCGAGTCTCCTTTCTGACCTGTCACCTTCCGACACCCCATGGGCTTGTTTATTCGTGCATTTATTATCGAGCCTCTGGTGGGGAACACGGATGCGCCGTGTCCGTTGGTGCGAGTGTTGTGTGCATGTCTGTGTCTGCAGAAAACCACCCAGCGTCTGCTGAGGACACCACGCGCAGAGGGACGGGCCGGAGCAAGGACAGTTTTTAATCTGGAATCTACTTTGGAATCTTCGGCATGTGGAACCCTGGGAATGTATTATCCCGGATGATAAACAAGGACATCTGTGGGAGAAAGAACCGGTGTGGGAGGAAGGACGCTTCAGAAAGCAGCCAGGACTGAGGGTCCATGACAAACGTGATGGCTGAATGGAGACCAGGAGGCTCGAGGCCTAAACTGTCATGAGCCACAAACATGGAGGGTGGTCACCTCCTGCGATGTGACCAGGGAAAGGTGTGGCCACGAGTCTCCTCAGAGACCTCTTTAGAGGCCACGCTGCCCTGTGGGGTGTTGCAGGGCTGGGCAGTGTCTGGTGTGTGTTTGCAGAGGTGTGTGTGCCGGGGTGTGTGAGAGTGTGGGTGCAGTAGTGGGGTGTGTACAGGTGTGTAGGGTTGTGTGTAGGTGTGCACGTGGGGGTGTGTGTAGCTGTCTTTATTTAGCACAGACGTGGCTGTTCCCTCATCCCAGCCACGGCTGGGTGTCTGCCCGGAAGGATGAGGCGGGTGGGCTGGGATTTTGAGACCAGATAGTGCTCCATGCCCTTTGAAGTCCTGATGCAGGGGGGGTGCAGGGAGGGTGGGGCAGGTGCACCTGCCCCAGGCTTTCTTCCCACCCCGTTCCTCTCTGGCAGCAGTTTCTGAGCCCTTCACGCCCGCCCTGACATCAAGGGGCCTCCCCGGGAGCACGAAGCAGCTGGAATAGGTGCCTGCAGCCAGCAGGCCTGTGTCCAGGGTGCTCACTACCCACTGTTTTCCTCGCTCGAGCCACCAGGGCTGCCTGGAACAGCCTGGAATGAGGCCTGACCTGTCCCCTTAGGTGGGACAGGACATCCTCACAGGGCCCCCGGGAGCTGGGTCTCCACTCTGGTGCAATGGACCACCTTTACCACCCGGTGAACCCCATCTTTTAAAACCACATCATGCAGCCCCGGGGACTGCTATGTCGCATATCTATGTCCCCATAGGGAGCCCCACACTGAGCCTGGCACAAGTAGGTGCTTAGCAAGCGGTGATGGTTGATTAATTCATGCGGGAAACGAGCCCTCTCCGCTTGTGCATCGATAAACCACAAGCTGGGGGCCAGGGCCCTCTGCGGGCTGGGCCGCCACCTGAGAGCTGGGAATCCAGGACCCGGCCGGTGGGAGTTCCAGTTGAACCTGCTCCATGAGACTCCGCCAGGGGTTGCTAGCCCTCTTCCTTGCCCAGGCCCCACCAGATGGACTCACCTAGGGAGAGGGAGTTGAGGATGATGCCGGAGAAGGTCATGCCCATCAGGAACCGGAAGGCACAGTAGGCGCCAAAGGAGCTGAAATAGGCCGTGGCGGCCCCGGACGCTGCCAGCTGCAAATATGACCAGACCAGGGGGGCCTTGCGGCCCAGCCTGAGCCGTGGACACGGAGTCAGGGGCTGGGGCGGCAGCAGCATCCCCACGTGAGGGGAGCAACCAAGTGCTGCCCAGCCTGCTCAGGAGGTGTTGGGGTACAGGAGGGCCAACTGGGGTACAGGAGGGCCAACTGCTCAGGAGGTGTTGGGGTACAGGAGGGTGTTGGGGTATAGGAGGCTCGCTGAAGTGCTGGCATGGCTCAGCTCAGGCTGAGAAGAGGAAGTCATTCCACGATACCCTCATTGCTCAGTCATCTGCCCTGCTACACACTGAGCCAGACGCTGGGCAAGATAAACATTTGTCCAGAGAAGGCTGAAGCATGATGAGAGAGGGTGCCCCGGGCTGCGGCTCAGCCACCACGGGGTCTGAGCTGTGCCCTCGGGAAGCAGTTGGGGCTAGGGGTCTGGAGCCGGGTAGGGCCCCCAAGAACCTGAACTGACTACAGTGAGAGAAGGGGCGGTAGGGAGGAGCGAGGGGAAGAGAGAGACAGGAAAGAAGGGAAAAGAGGACAGAGGAGGCGCTGGAGGGATGGCATCAGAGCCAGCACCATCTTGTGTTGCCCGGGCACCTGTCTGGAAGGACCTTTGTCCAGTATTCAGGTGTTTCTGGCTAATTCTGGCCCATCTTTACAGCGTGCTGCAGCGGACATTGGGGAGGATAAGAAAGTTCTTTCCAAAGGGACATGCAGAGGCCTCAGAGTGGAGAAAAAACAGGTGGAGAGGGCCTCCCTGGTGGCGCAAAGGGTGAAGCACAGAGCTGTGAAGCTGTCCGCAGCCTCTGCAGTCTGAGTTCCATCCCCGGCCAGGGAGCTACCCACATGGCGCAGCAGACCTCTCCTGACTCTCCCGCCGCTCCCCTCAGCAGTGTGTTTCAGTCAATCTGCCTGTTCTGTTCCCTGCTCGGTCTCTAGTGACTCCTCTCACCCCTTTCACCTCTGGCCTGTACCCCAGCTCTTGTATGCATAGATAAATAAATCTTAAAAAACAACAACAACAGATGGACAACAGCGCATTTGGGGTGTCAACATTTGCATAGAAAGGGGTTTGGAGCATTGCACACATTTGCTGGGGTTGCTTCAAATCATAAATGTCTCTGGAGAGACACACAGACACCAGGTGGCCCCCCAGAAATTACTGGGTAGGGGTGGGATGGAATGGGAGAGGGACACTTCTCTGCCTATTTTGTGCTTTCTGAAATTTTTGAACCTGCTGAATGTATGTATTTAAAATGTATTTATTTGAAAACACATGCATGGCCTCCCCCGCGGCACAGGTGGTTGAGCGCAGCGCTGTGAAACTGTCCGCAGCCTCTGCAGCACGGGTTTGATTCCAGGCCAGCCGGCCAGGGAGATTCCCACATGGCACGGCAGACCTCTCCTTTCTCGCCCGCTGCTCCCCTCAGTAGTGCTTTCAGTCTGTCTGCCTGTTCTGCTCCCCACTCTGTCTCTGGTGAATCCTCTCACCCTCCCCTGTCTCTGGCCTGTACCCCAGCTAGTATATAAATACAAAACAAATATTTATAAATAAATAGATAAATAAATAAATAAACAAAAACACATGCATACAATTTAGTAAAGAAAAATGAGGACCCCCCCCCAAAGACTTTCTGACAAACACTGGGGTCAGTGGGACCCTCACCCCCAAAGGCTCACCTGTCTGCAAGGCTGCCAAACACAGCGGCGCCCACCAACACCCCAGCCATGTAGATGGACTGGGCCAGGTCTCGGAGGGTTCGGGCCTCACACACCAGATCCCACTGCAGGGGAAACGGGCTGTCCAGTCTCGGCCTCAGGCAGCAGCCCCCCCCATGCCGCCCTGGCCCCCGCTGACCTCCATCACGATGGTGGACGGGAAAATGCTGCGGTCATAGACCCAGCCATCCTTGCAGCCCTCCGTGGCTGCCCCAGGAACGGAGGTGTTGGGGTTCAGGAGGGCCCACTGAGGCTCGGTGAAGCGCTGGCATGGCTCAGGGACTCCAAATCGGTCCAGGGGTATGGTGGCCCTCAGCCAGGCCCCAGAGTCATTGGTGGTGGCTGTGGTGTGGTTGGGGGCGCTCTGGCAGTGGTGGGGGGGCACAGCAGCTGTGAAGTTCTGCAGGAAGTTGTGGCAGGCCAGCAGGCTGCAGGGCAGCAGCAGCAGGGCCGTGTAGACCAGTTGGAAGCGGCCCACACCACCCAGGGTGTCCAGCAGGTCTGTGAAGGCCATGGCCGTGGGCCTGACCCAGACCAGCCTGCCTACTTATGTAAAGGGGCTGGGAGGGCCCTTGGGAGGTGGAGGATCGGGCTGGGGTTAGGACCACAGATGCACCACTGGCAGCTCAGAGGGGTCCAGTTACACCTCACAGGAGGCCTCGGGTGTCCCCAAGTCGGCAGGGCTCCCCCGCCTTCCAAGCCCTTCCTCTTCATAGCTCTCAATCTCAAGGCAGAAAAGGGAGGCGCGGGCCTCCCCGGTGGCGCAGCGGTTGAGCGCTGGGTTGCGAAGCTACCCACGGCCTCTGCGGCACCGGTTCGATCCCCGGCTGCTTCCCAGCCACCGGAGGAGGGTCTCCCATGGCGCGCAGACCTCTCCTGCCGCCCGCTGCTCCCCTCAGCAGTGTCCTTCGGTCCTTCTGCCTGCTCTGCTCCCCGCTCTGGCTCTGGTGAATTCTCTCACCCTCCCGCGCTTCTGACTGTACCCAGTGCTTGTATAAACAAACAAACAAACAAATAAATAAATAAAAACATGCCTCTATTAAAAAAAAGAAGAAGAAAAAAGAAAACGGAGGCGCTCCAGAGCCCCTCACAGCCCACTACCCGGCTCTGCAGGCCCAGCCACCCTGCCCACGGTCTCCCACAGGGACCCCACCGGAAGCGGCACCTTCACCCGGCCCCTGCCCGGGGCTGAGACCGCGAGGCAGCCCAGCGCGCGGGCCGCCGTCCCCAGCACCAGGCCCTAAATCTAGTCTGGAGCCTAAAATGATGTGAGGACAGATAGATGAGGGGGTGCTGGTGATGACGGCTGCTTGCCCCTACTCCCCCCGCAAATAACAGACTTCTCAGGAGACACCCGGAAAAAGTCCTTTAAAAATGCCCACCTAGGAGGAAGGCGGCTCTCCCCTGCCCCTCTGCCCCAGCGCTCGGCCTCAGAGTCGGGGGTGGTGGGGTCCCCAGACCATTTATATTCAGGTCCATGCCGACCTCTTGTCCAACAAAACCCAACACAAAGAAGGCTGAAGTCCCCACACTCACCCACCCGCCCCAGCCGCACAAAAGGGTCCAGCTCCCTGATGTGAGGTTGCTCCTATTACTATGTTCCCCCCACCCCCGCCGACCCCCAGGCCCAGCAGGCCCTGCCTCCTGAAGGCAAATGCAGGCCCAGCACGGCCCGACCCAGACCGCATGGCAGGCAGCGTCCAGACAGTTGCACTAGGGGCTCCCCTAGCACCCCCACCCACACCCCCACCTGGGCTTCTGCAATCTTTGCTCTGAAGGTGCTGCCTCAGTTTGGGCTCCCCTCCCCCATCATGTCCTCTCTCCCCTCCCCTCCCCTCAGTCCTATCTCTGGTAAGAAAAGGCCGGCTCCAGGGCTGGAGACACTTACATAAGCTGCAGGTGTGTGGGTCACAGAACAGCCCCCCACCCCCACCCCGGGGACCTGAGGAGACTCTGCTGTGGGGAACTTCCTGGGGGGTCTGGTTTGTGTAAGTAGAGGTTTGGGTTTCAGTGGGAGTGTGCAAGAAGCCAGAGGTCACGCCTCTGGGCCGCAAGGCGGGGTGCAGGGGTGGCAGGGCCACGTGGCCTCAGCAGCGCAGTCCAGTCCCTGCAGCCGGGCCCAGAGCCCATTGTCCCTGACCTCCCAGAGCCACTTCCCAGCACATCGCCCCAGGGTGATGAGGACGGAGGGGGTTGGCGGGCAGGGGAGGCTGAGCTGCTGGTGTCTACCGGGGCAGCAGGTTTGGGGAGAAGCACACACCAGAAACAGAAGTGTGGTCTTTCCCTTTATTATTTGGGGTTTCTCTGAATGCCACAACCAGGTGCTTCTTGCACCCCCATAACTGGTGCACCAGTCCCTGAAGAGTCCCTTTTAATATCACCAATATAAAAAAGGAAGGAAGTGGACAAGAGGGAAGGCCTGGCCCTGGCCCTGCTTCTTGGTCGGCAGCCGGGCAAGATGGGGAGGCAGGCCGTGGGCAGACGGGCACTGGCTTCCGCAAGAGAAGGGGCAGGCGTTTGGAACCTGGGAGGGCATAGGAGAGGGGGCTCGGCACATCCAGGTGGTAGACGCTGCAGAGCTAGTGGTTATGGTTGACAGTCAGCAGGTGAGGCCAGGAGAGTGGCCGCTGGAGTGAGGACAGGTGACACATCGAGATGCCAGTGCCCGGGGCTCTCAGCTCTATCGGGAGCCCCATCCTGAGGCAAGAACAGGCAAAAGCTGCCTCCCCAGCATGGTAATGGCTGGGCCAGGGAGTCCATCTGAGCCCATGGACTTAGTCCCTCTGAGTCCATCTCTGTCCAGAGCTGATGACTGTGGCAGCAGGGAGGGGAGGGGACAGGAGGACGAGGCTGCCTCCCACTCGGAGGAAGGCACTTGCAGCTGGCGTGGCCTGCTGTGGCTGGGCAAAGGCATGGCGTGGCAGACGAGGAGAGGGCCAGGAGACAGCCGGGGGGACCGAGCTCCCTCATGCAAACATGGTCAGCTGTAACCACTGCCAAGTGGAGAGAGGGATCAGCAGGGGCAACAGAACCCCAAGCCCGTCCTTGCCCCCTTAGAACAGGTGGGAGAGGGACCTTCTTGTTCTGGGAGCACCTTGACCCGCTGCCCTCCCTTCCCAGGACCCTGCCATCCCCACCAGTCCTGCCAGGGTTCAGGCGGCCCGGCCATCTGGAGTGGATCCCCCAGGAGGCTCAGAAAGCTCCTGCCCCTGCCCAGGGCAGTTCCTACCTTAAACAAGTCAAAGGTCACCACTCCATCCAGATCTGTGTCCAGAGCTTTGAAAAACCCTGTGTGTTAAAAAGGACCCCATGATGGGAGAGCTGTGGGGTGTGCACACATGGCCGGCGCTGGCCCACTACCTACCACCTCCCCCTTCCTTCCCACAGCACCCCAAGCCACAGCAGCCTGGAGGTGGCACCCCTGCTGACTGAGAGCGCCCACCCTCCATCCCTGGGTCCTGGCCCTCAGTCTTCCGTGCCAGGCAGAGGCGCCCATCCCCAGTCTCTGGACGTGGCCCAGGGATGTGGGTGGCTGACGAGGGACGCGGCGCAGGCACAGCTGCAGGGAGAGGGGACACTCACGGAACATGGTCTCCAGCCGCACAAGGCAGCACACGAAGTTGTCAAAGTCCACGGCCAGGTCAGGCTCCGAATAGCGTGTGATGATGAGCTCATACAGCTTCTTGTTGAGCTTGAAGCCTGGCCAGGGAGTAAGTGAGGACTGGGGAGGTGCGGCCCGGCCCAGGGGACGGGGTGGGCCTGTGGCTCAGGCCCTGCAGACTCCTGGGAGGGTCAGCCACTTGGGGGGCAGGACTGGGCCAGCAAGGGCAGGGCCCACCGGGCCTGCAGGCCCCGACTGTCCAGGGAAGTGGGAGCAGCAGTGGGGTCCAGTGCCATTTGTTGTGAACACTGGTTCTACTGTGACGTAGGACTGTGGGGGTGAGCCCAGCCCTCCCTCGTAAGGCTGTGGAGTCTGGCTGTGCCCCTCCCTGGCTGTGTGACCTGAAACCACTCACTTTCCCTCTGAGCCACACAGGGATAGGCCCTGTCCTTGCTAGGTGGCAGGAAGGACAAAGGAAAAAGCTGAGAAATCACTTAGCTCAGGAACCACTGGGGAAATGCAATGTGGCTGTCACCCCATCCCCCCCACGGCCCTCATCAGCCCAGGGACCAGGGTGGGGGGTGGGGAGTGGTCACTGGCAGCCTTCAGCCTCACCTGCGGCCTCGATGGCCATCCGCATCTCGTAGGCACTCATGCTGCCCGACTTGTCCAGGTCAAACTGCCTGAAGATGGCCTGGGAGGTGCAGAGCGTAAGGGCTAGAGAGGGGTATCCAGCCCTCCCTGTGCCCCCAGGGGGAGGGTTGTTGAGGGGGTTAGGGAGAAGCGGAAAAGGTGGGTTGGTGGCCAGAATAGGTGACGGGTAGATGGGGGGGGGCTGGTCCACACCGCTGGCCTGAGAGCCCACGGTACAGGCCCACGGGACCCCGGAGGAGGCTGGGCTGCCAGCAGCGCCCACCTACCAGGTAATTGCGGATGCGGTTCCACAGGATGTTGAACTCCACCAGGCCCAGCTTCCCGTTGCCATCGCGCTGGGCGACCATTAAGGAAACTCCGCAGCTTAAACAGGGCAGGGGTGAGGGTGAATGAAGGGGAGCTGGGAGTCCCGCGCCAAGAGCAGCTGGAGGGGCAGGGGGGCAGGAGCCAGCTTCTCTGAACGGGGCGGGCAGGGGTGAGGGGAATCGCCAGTCTGGGGGTCACTGGGCTCTGCTCCACCTCTCATGTGCCTCACTCTCCCCACCGAGGCAGGCACTGAGTGGATGCCAGTCCGTCCCTGAGCAGAGCTTCATGGCTTCTCTGGGCTGTTCCCAGGCCAGGTCGCGCGCCCTCTCTGCACCCCACCCCATGCCGAGGGGTGCACGGCAGAAGGATACGTCCATGAGGTTGACCATGCTGCGGCAGGACTCCGTGCTGAAGCCGCTGGTGCGCAGGTCCTTGTCTGCAAGAAAAGCCGCAGCTCCAGCCACAGCCCTGTGCTGGGGGGTGGGCACCGGGCAGGGGCGGGTGGCGGTGGAGAGGCAGTCCCTGCCCACCCCGCGTGTCAGCTCGAGCGGCGCGGGGGCGTGCAGTGTTCGTATCATCGGGAAGAAACAGCCCAACGCTTGAGCGCTCAAGCTGGAGTCTCCGCAGCCAACACCGCGACTGGACCCGAGGGAAGTGAACGGGGTGCTGTGCTCGCCCCAGGAAAGGAGATGCAGCGGAAACAAGGGGCGAGGGTGCGCCGGCAGCGGTGGGCTGGCTGGGGGCAGGAGGCTGAGGAGAGGGGATCTGGGACGATGGAGCAGCGTGGCCGGAAGGCAGAGGGCAGGGGGCAGAGGGCGGAGGCAGGAAGCGGCAGGAGGTGCAGGGGACGCTGGGTGCTGCCGAGGCGGGGTGGGGGCACAGGGAAAGCTGGGGGTGCTGCCTTCAGCTGCACATGGAGGAGGGGACGCACTCGGAGCTGGGGCTGCAGGGTGCCTTTGGCAGGGAGGGGAGCCTGCGTCTTGGCGCTGGTGCTGTGGGTCGGCCCAGCCAGGGCAGCAGGGCCACGCTGCCCATCACGCTGGGCACTGAGCGCGAGCAAGGGGGATGGCCCCGCAAGGCTAGCGAGGTGTTTGGAGGAGAAGGGGGTGGGCAGGACTCGGGAAGGCGGCCCTCCCGGGACATCAGTGTGGGGGGGTGGGCTCAGTGTGAGCGCAAAGCTGGGTTCTGGAGTTTGAAGGGAATGGGGCGGGCAGGGGTGGAAAGCAGCCCGCGGGGATGCCCACGTTTGCTGATGATCCTGTTCAGGATGGTTTGCAGCTCCTTGACGCTGATCTCCAGGTCCTGGGGAAGAGGGAGATGGAGGGCCCACGCTGGGGAAGGGCCCCTCGGTGCCCCAGCACACCCTGCCGCCGGCTGCACCGCGACCTACCTCCCCTGCCAGTTGTCTGAAGAGGGTCTTGAAGTTGTCATCAATCTCCTCCTCTGAGAGCACGCGCTGGATGCAGGGGGAGGGGCAGGTTAGGGCGCCTCCGCCCCTCCCACCCTGCAGGGAGGGTGCCCCAGGGGTGGGGGGTGGAGCCACCTTTCTTCGTTTCTCATCGTCAAAAGGGAACCTCCACCCCACTCTACCCCAGGCCGCGGACGCGGGGCTGAAGGAGGGTGCGGTTTGGCTCAGTGCTGAAAGGTGAGACCTGGGCCCCTGCCTGACCCTGGCCCACTTCCTGAACCTCTCAACTGAGGCTTCGTTGAGAGGGGAGATGGGACACCCCCACAGGGCGGTTGTGGAGGAAACGGTATGACACAGATAAAGAGTCCAGCAGGACGGGACAGAGAACGAGACTGCACCGTTATCGCCAGAAGTCCTTTGCAAACTGTAGAGTGCTGGGCAAAGGATGAGTGTTACACTTATGGCTCCAGCCAGGAGGGCTCTGCCGGGCCAGCCAGAGTCCAGGGACAGGCACCATGCAGGGAGGGGACAGGCACCTGGCAGGGGCAGGGCACACACCTCATCTGGCAGGTTGGCCTGGATCTGGTCATCCAGCTCCCTGCAGGGGTGGGGGTGGAGAGGGTCAGTGAGAGGGGCAGGGGCTGCGAGGGAGGGCAGGGCAAGGTTGGGGGTGGGGAGAGCCCTCGACTCACTGGGTCCCGGCCTTCTTCTCCGAGAAGAAGCGCAGCACGAAGTCGCCCTCCTTGTTGGGCTCGAAGGTGGAGGGGACCACCACGTACTCCCCGGGGGGCAGGCGGAAGCGGGTGCTGACCTCCCGCAGGTTGATGAACTGCTCGGAGCGCGCCCGCGACGAGTTGGCCAGGAAGAAGTCACGCTTGAGGTGCACGGCCGGTCGGCCCACCAGCTGGAGGACAGGAGGAGCCTTCGCTCAGGAGCACCCTCAGACCAGGCCCCAGGCTCCTGGCGAGCAGGTCGGGGCAGTCACTCTACAAATCATTCGGTTTGGGTTTCCCCATCTGTGAACTGGGGTGACGAGCCTCAGCACGGGGTGGAGGAGAGGAGATGCTCCGGCCCCACTGAAATCACATTCTCCTTAGTGTGACCAGGAGCTTCCTCGCCGTCAGAGTCCATTGGGTACCTCAGGTAACACCCAGGCCGCCCTAGGGGGCGCTCCCACAGCCACTTGCTCCTGTCCACCACCCAGCCCCTGGCTGATTCCCCGGCCCCTGCCCCTCCTCAATGCCCAGCCAGTGCTTCCCCGGCGCAGACAGCAAGAGCCTGGTGCTTCCCCGCGGAACCAAGGTTCAAATCCAGCCCCTCACTTATCACCTGCTCTGACCCTCAGAGGAGCAGTTTGCTCTCCCGCTGAATGGTGGGCGGGGAGTCCCGTGAGCAGCTAAACCCTGGTGACTCCCTAGCCCTGCAGGTGTGGGTGGTGGCCGCCCTGCTCCCCTCTGGGCACCGTCAGGCCACATGTGTTCCGGGGCTTGTAAATCCAGATGAGTCAGGTGCCACACCTACCTCTGGAGGGACCTGTAAGAGAGGAGGGGTTGTCAGAGGGGTGCTGCTGCAGGAGCGGGGATGAGGTGTGTGCTGAGCAGGGTCCCGAGTTCTCAAGATGAGGATGGTGGGATGCAGAAACTAGGAGGCCAGACCCTGGACTTGGGGTCAGTGGTGACCCAAAACTGTCCTCACATGCCAGGGGGGTCCCCAAGATCCTAGAGTGTGGGGAGTGGGGGGGAGCCAGGTTCCCCTTCATCCCTGGAATGCCCTGGGTCTCAGCCCTCAGGACAGCCCAGGGGGACAGTTAACTAGAGTGTCCACAACAATTTGCTGTCTAGGATTCAGGGCATGGGGCACGCCTGGGGCTGCCAGGAAAGTCCAGAACTTTCTGTCCCTGTGTTGAACACAGTAAGTGAAGGCGGCAGCAATGACCTCTGCGCACACACCAGACAGGGAGCTCACTGCGCCAGGGCAGCTGGCAGCCCACTGATTAATGAAGTTGAGCCTGTTTTGTTTCCCCCCTCTGTCTCTGGCGAATCCTCTCACCCCCTGCACCCCTACACCCCAGATATTCTATGCAAAAATGAAAAAAAAATGAACAATTTCCAAAGTAGGTTACAAATAAGCCAATAGATAACAACTAAAACATCAAGCTGGGCCTCCCCTGGTGGCGCAGCGGTTGAGCGCTGGGCTGCGAAGCTGTCTGCAGCCTCTGCAGCGCCAGTTCAATCCCCAGCCACTGGTGAGGGTCCTACATGGCCCGACAGACCTCTCCTGTCTCGCCTGCTGCTCCCCTCAGCAGTGTCTTTCTTCAGTCTGCCTGTTCTGTTCCCCTCTCTTGCTCTGGTGAATCCTCTCACCCTCCTGTGCTTCTGACTGTACCCAGTGCTTGTATAAATAAATAAATAAATAAATAAATAAATAAATAAATAAATAAATAAATAAATAAATAAATAAATAAATAAAACATCAAGCTGTAGAAAGTTTCAACAAGACAAACCACCTTGGTGCCAGCTAAACCAGCTGCCTCTTCCCGGAGCGGCCTTTCCGTGCTCAGGATGGGCAAATCCCACACCTTTCCCTCTCCCCCGGAACATCTTAGGGTGAATTTTAGGTCTCACACCTGCGACCCGGCGGCGTCCTCTCGCGCCCCTAAGCGGAGATGGCCCGCGGTGGGTGGGGACGCCGGGGCTATCTGCATAGGTCCGCCAGCTCACCTCTGCCCCCCCCACTCACCTCCGCCCCGCCCGCCCGCTCACCTCCACCCACTCACCTCCCCCCGCCACTCACCTCATAGACCGCGAAGCCGATGGTCTCCATGTCGCGGCCGAAACGGCGCTCGCGCCGGCGGTGCTTCTGCATAAGGGCGAGCACGAAGCTGCAGCCGGACTCGCGGCCCCCATAGTCATCGCTCTCATCATCCACCTCCTCCAGCCGGATCTTGAACTGCGGGTTCACCCAGAAGGTGGCTGCAGGAGGCGGGGAGACGGGCATCAGACTAGGGGCAGAGCTGACCGGACCCCAAGCTTTCCCCTCCCCCATGTCCACTCATTCATTCATTCATTCATTTAGCAAATATGACTCCAAGGGACAGACACACCCGGTCCCGCCCTCACGGGCTAACATTCCAGAGCGATGAGCAGGTCGGGTTAATACCAGAACAACTGCAAGAACACTGGGGCGAGAGGTGGTCAGGGCACTGTCTTTGAGGTGATATTTGAGTTGACACCCAAAGTGGAAGAAGGAGCCAAGTAGAGGGAGAACCCAGAGCCCCGCACATCGGGGGGACAGCACATGGCGGGGGACAGCCCATGGAATGAGGCTGGGGCCCAGTAAGCAGGAGGATCCGTGGCAGAGGTTGGGGTGCCGGGTCTGTAAAGCCTGTGGGTTAACCACAGAGGAAAGAACCTTCTGACTGGTCTGCAGGATGCGGATGCATCAGGATTTTATTTATTTATTTATTATTTATTATTTTTATTTTATAGAGTCATGTTTTATTTATTTATTTATTTTATTTGCTTGCTTGTTTTGTTTATACAAGCACTGGGTACAGTCAGAAGCGCAGGAGGGTGAGAGAATTCACCAGAGCCAGAGCGGGGAGCAGAGCAGGCAGAAGGACTGGGGTACACTGCTGAGGGGAGCAGCGGGCGGCAGGAGAGGTCTGCGCGCCATGTGGGACCCTCCTCCGGTGACCGGAGAGCAGCCAGGGGTCGAACCGGCGCTGCAGAGGCTGCGGGCAGCTTCGCAACCGAGCGCTCAACCGCTGTGCCACCGGGGAGGCCCTGCATCAGGATTTTAAAAGGAGGAGGTGGCTGGAGCTGCCAGGTGGCGTGGCTTAGAAGAGGAGAGAAGACAATGGGGTCTGATGGAGGGACTTGCTTTTCTGGTAGTTTGATGATTCACCTGAACAACCCTCTTGGCAAAAACCTGAACATATCCTGATGGAATTGTAGTATGCCAAAGAAATCCAATCATAGATGACAGAAAAGACAAATCATTTTAGAGTGTCAACGCACAGACAAATTCTTGACTTGAACAGCAACAACAGAAGCAGAATAAACACTAATAGAATCTTCAGTGGGAGGAGAGTAATGTCAATCTAGAATTCTATATCCAGGAGCTGGCCAGGAGTGAACACAGTATAAAGGCATTTACACAAATACTGAGAAAATGTGTCACCAAAACACCCGCACTAAAAAATACATAAAAGGATGTATCTCAGGCAAATGAAAATGATCTCAGATGAAAGCTTGAGAATAGTGAGCAAAAATACCATTATTATGTGGGTATTCCAAATAAATGTGAGCGCTAGCAAATAATGATATTTAACTTATGGCAGTAAGAAAATTATTTAGAATTAAAATACTAATTAAAAATAGTATATTAAAGGGAGGGGTGATCAAAGTTAAATATTACAAGGTCTTTGCATTGTTCAGGTGGAGGGTAAAGATACTGATCAACTAACTTTAGAATTTATTTTTTCCCCCAAGATTTATTTATTCATGCATACAAAAACCGGAGTACAGGCCAGATGTGCGGGAGGGTGAGAGGATTCACCAGAGACAGAGTGGGGAACACAACAGGCAGACTGACAAAATACACTGCTGAGGGGAGCAGCGGGCAAGACAGGAGGGTCTGCCGCGCCATGTGAGTATCTTCCCAGCCAGCCGGGATCGAACCGGCACTGCAGAGGCTGCGGACAGCTTCACAACACTGTACTCAACTGCCTGCGCCACCAGAGAGGCCCAACTTTAGAATGTAAGTGAGCTTTTATGTCTTCCAAACTCAGAGGGAAAAACCAGTAGAGAGAAAAGGGAAAAAAAACAACACCTCAATCCAAAACAAAGCATAACAGGAAATATACACAGAAAATGCACAATAAGTATGCTGAAACAAATGTAAATATATCAGTAATCACTGTGAGAGTATAAATGCATTAAGCTTTCCAATCAAAGAATACAATTTTGGTGGACCCCCTGGTGGCCTAGGGGTTCAGTCTCAGTGATTTCACTGCTATAGCCTGAGTTCGATCCCTGGCCCCCTGGCCAGGGAGATGACCCACATATGGCACAGCAGATCTCTTCTGTCTTGCCCGCTACTCCCCTTAGCAGTGTATTTCGTCAGTCTGCCTGTTCTGTTCCCCTCTCTGTCTCTGGTGAATCCTCTCACCCTCCCGCACATCTGTACCCTGTACCCCAGTTCTTGTATAAATACATAAATCTTTAAAAAAATAAAATAAATAAAATAAAGTATTTAGAGTGGTGTGTGGTATACAGCAAATGACATATGTTTGAGACATTTTTTTCCCAGAACACATGGAAATTCACCATGTGGATTTCCAGTGTCAGTTTCTGTTCATTTCAAAGCTATGATCATATATTCTGACCACAAGAAAATTAAATGAGAAGTGAATAATAAAGTAATATGAAGAGGTTATACCTGGAAGGGTTTTGAATTAATTCAGTCTTTTACTTGTATAGGTCTATTCAGATTTTCTTCCTTGAGTCAATTTTAGTATGCTTATTTCTAAGAATTGTGTATTGATCTAGGTTATCTCATTTGTTGGCATACAAATGTTCATAGTATTTTCTTAAAATCCTTTGGTTTCTGTTAGTGGTTGTAATGCTCTCTCAGTTTAATTTCTGAGTTTAGTAATTCGAGTCTTTGGTCTTTTTTTCTTGTTCAGTTGGCTAAAGTTTTTTTTTTTTTTTCTTATACAAGCACTGGGTACAGTCAGAAGCACGGGAAGGTGAGAGCCAGAGCAGGGAGCAGAACAGGCAGAAGGACCGAAGTATACTGCTGAGGGGAGCAGTGGGGGGCAAGAGAGGTCTGCGTGCCATGTGGAACCCTCGCCGGCGGCCGGGGATCGAACCGGCGCTGCAGAGGCTGCAGGCAGCCCAGCGCTCAACTTCTGCGACACCGGGGAGGCCCTAAAGATTTTTTTTTAATGTTATAAGTAAGTTTGGAAATCAGGAAATATGTCTCCTGTTCAAAATTGTTTCCAAAAGTTACAATACTCAAAACAGTGTGTTACTGGAATAAGACTAGACCTACAGACTGGAAGAATAGAATTGATAGTCCAAAATCAACACAACCCATACATGGATTTTTGACACGGGTGCCAAGACCACCCAATGGGAAAAGAATTATTTTTTTGACAGATGATGCTGGGACACCTGAATTTCCAGATGTAAAAAAAATTTAAATTGGACACCTCCCTCATACATATCAGAATTAACTCAAAATGAACCAATGACCTAAATTCAAGAACTAAAACTATAATCACACAAGAAAACAGAGAGATAAATGTTCATGAATTTGGACTGGTAATAGATTATTAAATATGACACTGAAAGCAAGAAGAACAAAAGAAAGACTTCCATACTTCAAAGGGCACTCAAGAAAATGAAGACAATCTGCAGAATGGAAGAAAATAGATACAAACCATCTATCCCACAAAGATCATATCGAGAATATGTAAAGAACACTTACAGCGTAATCCTAAAAAGACAACCCGATCTAAAAATGAACTATTTGAATAGACACTTCCTCCAAAAATGTACAATTGGCCAATAAATACAGTAAAAAAATACTCAACATATTAGTTACTAGGGAAATGCAAATCAAAATTTCAATGAGATGCCACTTGACACCCATTAAGATGGCTACAAACAAAGATGGGCAAAAACCACCAATGTTGAGGAGGAAACAGAGGAACTGGGATCTTCTACATCACAAATGGGAAGATTAGATGGTACTGTGCTTTAGAAGGCAGTTGGCTGGTCCTCAAAAATTTAATATGGAGCTAACATATAACCCAACAATTTCAATCCTACTTCTAGAGCCCAGAGTATATTCTGATAGAAACACACACACACACACACACACACACAGGAATATTCACAGCAGCATCAGTCACAATGATCCCAAGCGAGAAACAATCTATCAGCTAATTAATAAGCATAATGTAGTACATCTACAGAGGGGTGAATTCTGAAAAAGCTGAGGAGAGGAAGCCAGGCCACATGTTGTGTGATTCTGTTAATTTGATATGTCCAGCACAGGCAAATCTATAGAGACATAAATGATAGTAGAGGTTGCCGGGGCTGAGAAAGGGAAGAGGCTAGGGGGTGACTACTAATGGCTGACAGGGTTACTTTGAAGTAGTGACAATGTCCTGGAATTGAATAATGATAATATTTTACCACATTGTCAATAAGCTAAAAACCACTAAGTTTTACACATTGAAATGCAAATTTTGTGGTGTGTGGATTACATCACAATTCTTAAAAACATTATGTTTCAGAATTGTGTAACTCAATTAACATACACTTTGAGGGACATATATTGCCTTAAGTGCTTACATACAAAACCCCCACCAAAATTAATAAAATAACATCTAATCTAAGAAGGCATAAAATAAGATCTAAAAATAAATCCAAAGAATGCAGAATAAAAGATAATTAATAGAAAAGCAAAGATATTAATATAACAAAACACTATACAAAGCAGCCACACTGCACACCTATGTTATTGCAGCACTATTTACAATAGGCAAAACCTGGAAAATAGATGACTGGATCAAGAAGATGTGGCATATATACACAATGGAATATTATTCAGCAATCAAAAAAGATAAACTCATGCCATTCGCAGCAATGTGGATGGAGCTAGAAGGAATGATGCTCAGTGAAATAAGCCAGAAGGAAAAAGAAAAATATCGGATGGTTTCACTTATAGCAGGAATACAGGGGAACCAAATAAGACATCAGTGTGAAAAATAATAACAGTACAAAACACAACAAAGCAAAACCGCACAATTATAAACCAGAGACATCCTGCAGGGGAGGAAGTGGGAGAGAAACCAGAGGGCGGGAGGGAGGAGCCCAGGGACTGAGGTGATGGTGCACGGGTGCCTTGGGGAAGGAAACTCTGTGGGGACTACACCTGAGGGGGTGGGGGGAAGCAAATATTGTTTAAAAATGAACAGTGATGTAAAAAAATAAAATAAATTGATATAAAAAATAAAGTATCATAATGAAAAAACAAACAAACAAAAAGCAGCTACAGAGTCACTTCTCCATCAAGATGAATACTGACGCATCTCTCCCAGGATAAGATCGAAGAGGCAGTGCAATGTGACTAAAAGGTGGACTATCTTACAAATGAGTCATTAGAATACATTAAGGACAAATTTATGCTAATAATTTTGAAAACAAATGATAGGCAAAAAAAATCCTAGAAAACACAGCTTATCAAAAACAGGCTCAGGAACAAACAGAGGCCCTGAATAACCCTATCACCATTAAACACATTCAATATCAATAGTTAATCTTCACACGAAGAAAAGAACAAGTCGGGCAGCTTTACAGACCAGTTCTACCAAACATGCACGTGACCAATCATGTCCATTTATGCAAACTCTTCTAGAAAAAGAGAAAAGAGAAAACACTTCCCAAGCTACTATGCAAGCCAGACATGGCACCAATATCAAAACCAGACACAGTCAGTATGTCAATGGAAAATGACAGGCAGAGATCTCACTCATGAACTTGCATGTAAAATTACTGTATAAAAAAGTTACATCACAACTGTGGATTTTAGCTCAGGTATGTAAAGTTGATTTCATGAGAAAAGGGATCAGTGTAATATGCCATTTTAACAGATAATGAAAAAAGCGATAACAAATACAATTAAAAGTATCAAATGACACTAAACTGCATGAATTTGATAAAAGTCACCCATAAAAAATACCCAATAGTAGAAAAGTCTTAGTGATGAAACCTACAATAGACATTCACTAGTGAAAGCTTTTCTTTAAGAGAGGGTTAAAACTGGGTCTACCTGGTGGCACAGAAATAGCTATCAAGCTGTCACCAGCCACTGCGACATGAGTTCGATCCCTGGCCAGGGAGCTGACCCACATGGTGCAGCAGACCTCTCCTGTCGCACCTGCTGCTTCCCTCAGCAGTGTATTTCAGTACATCTGCCTGTTTTGCTCCCCACTCTATCTCTGGTGAATCTCTGATCCCCCATACCTCTGGCCTACGCCCTAGATCTTATAGGCATAAATACATAAATATAAATATCAAAAACAAGAGAGGGTTAAAACCACCGTCACTCCCATTACATACTCTACAATCAGAACAGCATATTAAGTAAGAAAATGTTACAAAAGTTATAAGAATCAGAAAACAGGGGCCTCCCTGGTGGTGCAAGGGGTTAAGGCACAACCTATTAAGCTATCTGCAGCCACTGCAGCACAAGTTCCATCCCCGGCCAGGGAGCTGACCCACATGGCGCAGCAGACCTCTCCTGTCTCGCCGGCGGCTTCCCTCAGCAGTGTATTTCAGCAAATCTGTTCTGCCCCCCATTCTGTCTCTGGTGAATCCTCTCATCCCCCACACCTCTGGCCTATACCCCAGTACTTGTATACATAAATAAATACATCTTAAAGGAAACAAATGGGTCATTATTTACAGATGCTACATTGTCTTTTCAAATTGTCAACTGCCAACATACAGAATATACAGATAAATCACTGAAACTGATCGCAGTTTAACAAATATAAATAACTTAAAAGCTCAACCACCAGCGTCAGCAGCTATTACTTGAGAGATGTAGTATAAAAGTGATGCTATTGGGACCTCCTTGGCGGCGCAAGGGGTTAAGACACAACCAAAGAAGCTATCCACAGCCACTGCAGCACGAGTTCCATCCCCTGCCAGCCAGGGAGCTACCACATGGCACAGCAGACCTCTCCTGACTTGCCTGCTGCTCCCCTCAGCTGTACGTCGGTAAATCTGCCTGTTCTGCTCCCCACTCTGTCTCTGGTGAATCCTCTCACCCCCTGCATCTCTGGCCTGTATCCTAGCTCTTGTATGCATAAATAAATTAATTAAAAATAAATAAATAAATAAATAAAAGTGATGCTATTTACAATAGCAACACGATGAGAATGGATCTACGAATAAATCTCAAAAGATGGGTAAGCTCTTTATGATGAAAATATAACATTTTATTGAAAGCTATTAAGGGCCAAAATAAAGATAAGACTCAAAATTGTGAAGATGGCAATTCTCCCCAAATTGCAAAGTATATTACAAATTAAAATCTTATAATGGCTTTCCACAGAACTTGGAAACTGATTCTAAAATTCATATGGAAAAACAGAGCAAGAGGAGCTAACAGACTCTTGAGGAAGGAAGTCACTCTGTCTAAGAGCAGGACTTAGAAATCTATAGCAATTAAATCAATGTGCTGTTGGCAGAGAGACAGACCAGGGGACAGAACTGCGGCCCAGACACCCATGGGGAGGAAATGACAGAGCAGGCACCGCACGGCAAGGGGATGTCTCAAGGGCGCTGTATGTGGTTATCTCCTTGCAGAAAAACTGAAATCGGCTCCCCATGAGAAATTGGCTCCCCACAAGAGAGAAGAATTCTTTGAAAGAGATGGGGGGTCCTGTGGAAAGCGTGTGGCGATTCCTTCCAATTCTAAAAAAGGAAAAACTATAGAAGCCAGCAATAGCTCTTCTAAGTATTTATCCATAGAATATGAAAACACTAACTTGAGAAGATTTACAGTCCTAGAAGCATTAGTCACAACAGCTAAGACACGCAATCAACCTAAATGCCCGCTGATGGAGGGCTGGATGAAGAAGTTACGGTACATATACTCAGTGGAATACTACTCAGCTATAAAAAAGATGAATTTTGCAACAACATGGTAGAACTGGAGGTGATTATGCCAAATGAAATAAGTCAGAAAGTTGGAAAAAAAAATCTCTCATATATGGAATATGAATAACCAAACCAAATGGAACTAATAAATAAAAAAATAACACTTAGATTCTAAGAAAATTACAGTGATTACTAGAGGGGCAGGGAGGTGCGAGGGAAGGGCCCCAGCCTGACAGGGAAGGGCACTAGAACCTCCGTGGGGGCGGTGAGGACAGGCTCATACAATGCAGAGGGAAGATGTGGCCCTGAAATTATCATTTGTTAAGTCAATAAAAATATTCCAAAAAGCAAACAAGCAGCAGAGGGCGGTGAACCGCGCTGAGAAGCCTGAGATGAGAGGCAGTGGCGGGTGTGGCAGAGTCCACACCGAGGGCCCCTAGAGGAGGAGAGGCCTCCAGGGGGGCGCAAGCTGGCCTGGGGTGGGTGACAAGGGGAAGCCAGGAGTCAGGAAGGCAGCAATTCCTGGGAGATGCTGCTTGGAAGGGGGGCAGAGAAACGAGTGGGGGTCCACGCCGAAAGAGGGTCGCTTTCTTTCAAAACGGGGGTTCTCCATAAAGACACAGCGGTGTGAGGGGAGGGGTGAAGGTGAGGAAAAAGGGGAGCGAGGAAGAGCGGGGTGTGCCCAGGCCCAGGGGCAATCCTGCCCCCATCGCAGTCGGAAAAGCAGCGAAGCCCGCACGGGTCCAAGCAGGCTGGGGTCTAGGTGGGGACGCGAGGGGCGTCCACGCGCCAGGGCGCCTGTCAATGAGGCGCACGGCCAGGTCCCCAGGTCCAGGTCCCCAGGTCCGCAGATGAGCCGCGGAGGGCAGCCGGGGGAAGCGCAGAGCAGCGCTCACCAGCAGCGGGGTCGTGGGGGCTGTGTCAAGGGGTGGCCTGAGGTTTGGGGCTGAGAACTGAGCAGGAAAACACGCCCCAGCTGCGGGATCTCCCTCCCCGCACATGCAGTGGTTCGGGGCCAGTGGAGAGGGTCCGGCTGGGCAGAGCCAGGCCTGGAAGGGTGCGTCTGGCCTGGTGAGGAGCGAAGGCAGGGGAGAGAAGGCGGGTTCCGCAGACTGGACTCTGCAAGGCTGAGGGAGGCAGAGTGATGGCACCAGGAGGGCAAGAATTGAGGATCAAGAAGAACCGAGTCACCCATGTGGCTCTAGGAGGCCAAGGAAGCTGAGGAGGAGCACAGCGGGCAGGAGGGAAGGTGAGGGGTGAGTAGGGACGGCAAGAGGTGCTGGACGGTAACGGCATCGCCCCTAGTGAGCACCCTGGGCTCAGCCCCCAGGCTGCAGCAGGCGGGGCTGGGGACAGTCCACAGCGTGCCCCTCCAAGCGGCGCCTGCGAGGGTCGGCAGGACCACCCCCCTCTCAGAGGGCAGGAGACAGGCCTCAGCCAGGAGGCAGCAGGCCCAGCCCCACCCCAACGCCCGCGGCGGTCACCTGGGTAGTTCCGGCAGCCCCCCGCGGTGCTGCCCCGCCGCCAGGTGCCCTCGTACAGCGTGGTGTTCCAGCTGCGGACGCTGCGGCTCTTGAGCGCGTCGGGGGTCAGGTTGCAGATCTCCAGCCGCGTGAACTCGCGCATGAAGTCTCGGAACGACATCCTGGGGGGTCAAGGTGTGGGGGTGAGTCGTGGACCCCAGGGGACACGGAGGGGTGCTCCACGGGCTAGGTTTATGGGGGTGGGGAGCTGGGGTGCAAGGTGCCCAAGGAGGGCCAGAGAAGGAGGCAGCTGCTCACCAGAACTCTCCGTCCTCCATCTTGATCCGGAGCTGCTCCCGTTCATAAGGGTCCACCTTGTTCCACTCCATGGAGCTACAGGGGAAGGGTGTTTGCTACCAAGGGCTGCTGGGCACTGCCCTGCCCTGCCTGGCCCAGCCCGGCCTCCCCTTGCCAGGGTCAGAATTGATGTCAAGGCCCATGATCCCAGTCACTGGGGTTGAGGTATAAGGGACTGAGTCAGCCACGCCGAGGCTGGTCAAGGCTAGGCGCAGGGGCCCCAAGGCTGGAGCTTTGTCAGGGTGGTCCCCCAGACCCAGGAACATGAGGTGAGCCCCTCTGCTCAGTCCTGCCCAGGGCGGCGGAGTCCCATGCAGAAATGCCAGCGGCACTGAACAGGCCCCCCGGCCAGGGTCCACTGGCCCTCACCCATCACTCCAGGCTCCCGTCCACTCCACTTCACCCCAGGGGTTCCGCATCCGGATCAGGCTCACCATCTGGCCCTGGTAGTTCACCTGTTGCCCGGAGCTCCCATTAGCACTTGCTCTGGCAGGAACTGAAACCCCTTCCCGCCATTACCCCCTCACTGAGCCTTTCGAGGAAAATCCAGTCAGGGGAAGCCTGTCTGGAAAGTACTGCCTAGAGAGGTAGCTGCACACACAGCCTTCAGGAAACCAGGGCAGGACAAGATAAACAGCTCAGGGGAGTCCCCAGAGACAGGTGAGGTGCTGCAGGAGGTTAAGGAAGAGACAGCCCCTCCCACTGCCCTGGCCACAGGCCAGAGATGCAAGGACAGGAAGGGAGCAGAAGTCACTCAGCAGGGAAGGTCCCCACGTGGGTGGTACCTGCTTGGCCCCAGTCAAGGAGTAGGCATGGCCCTTCACCAGCTTCTTGAAGGTGACGGCCTCCATGTCCAGCACACTGGAGATCTGCAGGAAGACCCTGCTGTGGTCGAGGACCAGGTTCCCAGGGACCCTGTCAACCTCCCACCCTATCAGGAGCCCCAGCTCTCTTGGGTCTGGACAGCCCCCCATGTGGCATGGACCCTGACCCCACTGAGTCTACCACCCCCATGCAGAAATGCTGCCCTTAGAAGGGGGGCCATAGGGGTACTCCACCAATGCTACCACTGGTGGGGGGGCCTGGGCACCTCACGTTTGGTCAGAGCTGGCCAGACCCATGAACATGTGTATGCACGCATGTACAGCAGTGCACAGCACCCCCAGCCACAGGCACACAGAGGGCCTCAAGTGGAGGGACACAGTGAGCAGAGAAGAGGGATGTGGACGGGCTGGAGTCAGCTGGGACTGGGAAGAGGCCGAGGACTGCAGTGGCGCTGGAGGTGGAGTCTGAGAGTGAGGATGAGGGTGGTTTGGGGAGGCGTCTCGGGAGTGAATGGAGTGAGAGCAGGGACTAGGGGAGCACTGAGGTCTGAGCTGGTGACCCAGACACTGGATGGACACGGATGGCAGCAGTGAGGTAGAAATGGTGGAAGGTGGGAAAACAAGCTCTCAGGCCAGAGCTTTCAAAGACTGGGTGACGCCGGGGGAGAGGAGGGAGGCACTGAAGCCATGGATGAGGCTGGATGAGGATTCAGAGCCGGCGCGGGGTGAGCAAGGAGGTCTGGACCCAAGTCCGGGATGAGGTGAGTCCGGGTTGGGTGGGGAGCGGGGCCCACCGGATGATGAGTTTCAGGGTGCAGATCTGGGCGCACTCACATCGATGGAGCAGCCCAGCAGGGAGCCTCGCTCCAGGGCCTTGAGGATGATTTGGTAGAGGTCGCTGGGCGCCTTGCGCAGCTCATACCACTCGGTGACCCCGCCTGTGAAGTCCTCAAAGCCCTCCGAGGTGCTGCCCCCCGACAGGGCCTCGTAGCTTCCATTCACCCTGCAGGAGGCGCTAGTCAGTGCCCAGCACCAGCAGGCCCCGCAGCCCCAGGGCAGCGCGCAGGCCAGACCCCACTCACTTGGCGTAGGCCTTCTCCAGCAGGGCGCTCCAGAACTCGTTGCCCTGGGCGGAGTGCACGAACACCAGCTTCCCGTCCTTGGTGGGCAGCAAGTCGTCCACGACCACGTCCACCCACTCCCCAAACTGCCACAGCTGGGGAAGGGGAGCACAGTGAGTACCCGCTTGGGGTCCCCCAGGTCTGGGCTCAAGCCTCAGCTGTGCCCCGCACTCCTCGCCTGGTTCTATGATGACGTGACCTACATACAAGCTCCTGAGCGCTCTGTCCTCCTGGGCCTCAGTTTCCCCACCCACTAAAGGAACAGCAGTGCCTTCCTCACTGGAAAACTAAACAAGAGCAAGACAGAACAGTTTTTAGGGCAGCACTACAGATATTTCTGAAGCTGACCGAGGTGCCTCTTCTGGTATGCCAGGGGCCTGGGGCCCCCCAGAACCAGCCCCCACTTAGGCCCTGTCCCCATTTCTACCCCTCCCCATTCTAAGTCGGGGTGTGTGTACCGAGGGGGAGTGATGTGGGGATACATAGGAAAACTGAGTGTGGGGCCTCCCCAGTGGCGCAGCGGTTGAGTGCTGGGTTGTGAAGCTGCCCGCAGCCTCTGCAGCGCCGGTTCGATCCCCGGCTGCTCCCCGGCCACCAGAGGAGGGTCCCACATGGCGCCCAGACCTCTCCTGCCGCCCGCTGCTCCCCTCAGCAGTGTACTTCGGTCCTTCTGCCTGCTCTGCTCCCCGCTCTGGCTCTGGTGAATTCTCTCGCCCTCCCGCGCTTCTGACTGTACCCAGTGCTTGTATAAATAAATAAATAAATCTTTAAAAAAACAAAAAACAAAAAAAACTGAGTGTGGAGTAAACGTGGCATCCAAATCCTTCAACCACAAGATGGATGGGGTCCCCGATTTCAGGGTTTGCTTCAGATAGGCCCTGAGCAGCAGGTTTCCCAGGGCGACAGGAATCGGGCATCTGGGCCGGAATGAACCCAGCAATAATGGAGGTGGGGTGTGCAGAATAACGAGGGAAAGCGGGGTTGTGGAGGGAGTGTTGAACGAGCAAATCCGAGGACTGAGAGGAGCAGATTGGGGGAGAGGGGGAAGGGGGCGAGGCCACACCCCTGAGGGCCAGCCTCCCTGGCAGGCTGGGAGGTGGTAGGATAAGCGGCCCCCTGACTAGATGGAAAAGGGGGGAGGGGGGGGGGGGGGGGGGGGGGGGGGGGGGGGGGGGGCAGGGCTGGCGCCTCAGGGCCAGAGGGTCTTAACCAGAGTGCTGGGCTGTCTCTCCCAATACCAGCCCGTTGAGAAGTCATCAGTGTGATTTGAAAAATGGGTGCAGTGCGCCAGCAACCTCAGGAGAGGCTGGTGTAAGTCTTTCCTGCAAGGCTCTGTCAGAGAAGAGGCTGCCAAGAGCGGAGTGACATACGGGTGGGTGGGCAGGGAGAGTGATGCCTTGGGGGAAGGTGGCCCCGCTTGCCACTCTGTTTGCCCCCCGACCCCCTCCAGTAGAATTATTCTTTATTTTTCAGATGAGGAAACTGAGACTCAGGGGAAGAAAAGAATTCGCCCCAGAGGATATAACTGAAAGATCTTTCACTCTCCCAAGCACTTTCCCCCCGACACACACAAGCACCCAGGAACACTGCCAGCCGGATACCTGCCCAACCGTTTCACACACGACCGCAGGGAGAGGTCAAGGATTCTGTAAAGGGAGAGCTGCTTCCTGCAGGGTGTGGCCCAGTCACTCTTCAGACTGTGTCCTGCGTCCCTGGGTCCCTGGGTTCCCCCTCCTCCAGTGCCTGCTGCTGCCCCTCTGTCCCTTTGCCCACCCTCTGCCCCCAGGTGGGTACCAGTCTCCTCACCTGGAAATGGAAGATGCCAGCGTAACCATCCTGGAAGCTCTGACCGTGAGGAACCACTCGGTGCAAGAGGGTATCGTTGAGGGTGAGGGAGGCGATGGCGGCCAGGAGCCAACAGTCCCCTGCGGCAGGAGGGACCCAGATCAGGCCGGTTTTGCCAGCCTGCCCCGGCGGTGCCCACGACTGCCCAGACTGGGGACAACCCGGGCTTCCCTGGGTGGGGTGCCCCAGACTAGAGAAAAGACCCAGGAATCTGGGCAAACCAGCCCCAGCAGCGACAGCCAGAGCCTGCTTGGGCTTGTAGGAGGGAGGGGCTGGGACAGAGCCAGAAGGAACGGGCATAGGGAACCATTACGGAAAACACACCCGGACCCGGGAAGGCCTACCCAGTGCTCCCTGGCAGATGTCTGTGCGGGTGGCTCCATCCACAATGAACTGGGGGTTTGAGAGCAGCTCCTGCAAGAGACCCGGAGCCCTGTCCTTGGGCTGTGCCTTCCAGAAATTGGCACCCAGCCACCCAAATCCCACCCCCAGCTAGGAACCTCAGGCCCTATTCCCGCTCCACCCCGGAGGGTTCTGAGGGGAACTTAGTCCCACCCCGGTGGCCCCTCTCACCGTAGGACGTTTCCATTTGATGCCATAGGTTTTAGAGGAGTTGGGGCCCAGCTCCTTGAAGCCCAGGCTCTGGGTTATTGGGGGGAAGGCCTCATCGCGGAATAGGGCCCCACTCTGCAGGCACTGAGCACGCAACTGATCATAATCCTGGCCCAGGTACTTGATGGCGTTTTCGTGGCGGCCCAGGCCCAGCTCCTTGGCCCGCTGCTTCTGCACTTGAGCAGACACTCCGGTGCAGTACACGGGGGTGATCACCTCCTCTGCCATCCTGCAGACGGATGCGCCTACTCAGATCGAGCCCGTGTGGCCTAGAAATGGGGCTCCCAATGGTTAACGCCGCCCCTGCCCACCCTCCCTCCCCAGTCTGGGGTGTCCTCACACTGCTCCCCTCACAGAACTCAGGGCTCTGGGTGCCTCCCTATGCTCCCAGAGTCAGAGGAGGGGCTCCCCGGCTCCCAGGTGTGCCGGCCACCAGCTTCCTAGTCCCACACGAAGCTGCCGTCTCTCCTTTCCCGGAACCCCGCCGTCCTGGGCGGGCAATCCTGGGGTCAGCCTTAGGCAAGGTGGGGCGGGGCGGAGCCCGGGGGAAGTGGGCGAGGTGAGGGACCCCGGGGAAGGCCTCTTCCACCCTTTGTCTGGCCGTGACCCCGTCCCCCAACTTGTCAGCTCCTGTGCACCGCCGCGCCCCTGTCTGGGGCCTGAGAACACCGGGCGGCTGGATCTCACTGCCCGGGCAGTCCAGGCCCCGAGACGGGCTGCAAGTCGGGGGCAGCCGGGCCCCGTCCCCTCCCCTTCAGCCCGGGCCCTGGGACGGGTGGAGACACCAGCGCGGGGGGCCGGGCTGGCCGCCGCCCGAGCCTCCGCCCCGTCCCGGGCGCTCCGCGCGCCGCGCCGGGGGAGCCCTCGGCCGGGGAGTCGGGGCCCGAGGGGGGCCCGAGGGGGGAGAAGCCGCAGCCCGGCGCCCCGGCTCCTTACCTGGGGAGGCGCGCTCGCGGGGCGCGCTGCGGTCCCTCGCGGTGGCAGCGCAGGGCAGGGCCCGACCAGGAAGAGCCTCCGCCCGCCCGCCCTCCCCCGGGGCCCCCCGCCCCGCCTCCCCGCCCCCTCCGGCTCGCGGACCGCTTCCTCTGCGCCCCGCCTTAGCGCGGCGCTCCCCACTATCTCTCGCACTCCCGGCGCCTCCCGCCCGCCCCCCGCAGCGCGCGGCCCCCGCGAGGGGACGGGTCCGCCCGAGGCGTGTCCCGCAGGGCCGGGGCGCGCGGCCGGGGAAGGGCACGCGGGGCGGGCAGGGCCGGGGCGGGCAGGGCCGGGCCGGGGTATTTTTAACCGGCGGCGGCGGCTCGAGTTGCAGGGCCGGGCGGCCCCACCCCGCGGCGCCCCGCAGGCGTCCCCGGCGGTCGGGCGCGAACCCCGAGGGGCGGGTCCTCGCGCGCCCCCTCCGCGCGGTCGAGCGGTCCGGCCCCGGCGCGGCCCAGAGCGGGGCCGAGATTGCCTCGGGCCGCGGCGCCGCCGGGAGACCCCGCCGGGCCCGGGCCCGGCCCTCGGGGTGCGCGCCGCGGCCCCGCTCCCCTCCCCGGGCCCCGGGGTGCGGGCGCGGCGCTGCCACCCCACCTAGCGGCCCCGGGCGCCGGGGACCCGGCCCGCCGGCCCGGACCCGCCGCGCGACCTTGGGCGGGTGGCCCGGCCCCGAGCGGGCGGGAGAGCGGGCTGGGGCCGTCGTGCCCGCGCCCCGGGCGCTCCAGGCGTCGGGAAAGTGCGGGGTGTTCGCCCCGGCCGCCGCCCCAGCCCGAGCCCCCCGCCTGGGAGCGCCCGCGCGCCGCCCGGGGGTGGGGCTGGGGGTGGGGGCGCCGGCAGGTCCTGCGGGGAGGCCCGCGCTCCGGACCCCCGGACCCGAGATCCTGCCTCTCCGGCTGCAGAAGTTGGGGTCCCCTTCCCCGCCAAGGCAGCTCCCCAGCCCAGGGGTTTCCATTGACCCTGGGAGCCCAGCAGCTGCCGGGGCGCTGATAGGATGAATGCGCAGGTTTTGCTGTTGGGGACACAATGCATACCTTTCCTCGGGTTTTAGGGCCCCATGACCCCAAAAGCTTGAGTCACTGATCTGGTCTGATCCCACTCTCACTCCGGGTTTACAGAAGAAAAGGACGCGGAAGAGGGTGAGTTCTGCTGAGTCAGGGCTGGAAGCAGCTCCCGGGCTGTCTGCTCTTCATTCGCCATTAAGCGTTTATGTGTCCTATCGTGAGCAGCCCACTGGCAGGCCTTGGCACCCACCCAGCGTAAGGCCGACCAACCCTTGCTGGGGGAGGGGCTCCCTTGGCCCAGTTTTGGGGCATTAAGGAAGTTGAGTCCTGATGGGCAGTAGGAGTTAAGTAGATAATGAGACACGGAGGAGAGTGTTCTGAGCAGAAAGAACAGCAGCTACAAAGGCCCTGAGGCTAGAGGACGTACACCAACAGGGAAATGCAAGGATTCCTTGTGACTGAGCATGGGGAGCTGGGCCAGTGACAGGAGGATGCTCTGGAGAGGTAACCAAGGCCACCCCTCCCCTCAAAGTACTTTAATTCAACCAACATGTCCCACAGTCCTCAGAGTCAGTTTCACACCTCTGTCACGCCTACGTCTGTGCTTGATTGTTCATCAGTTGGGCACTGACCACCTCCTATATATACAGGGCACTGTGTTCACTGGGGCATAAGACGAAAACCCCTAGACCAGTCTATAGCCCCCAAATCTCCTGGAGCCGGGTGCTATGATCCATCTAGCATCAGGTTCTGGTATGATTGCTTCAGAGGAGGCTGAATTTTTCCCACTCTTACTCAAGAGACCCAACCATGTTCAGTGCTATGCGCCAAACAACAGGAAGCTGGCTCCGTTCAAGTGTACCTTGGAAAAAACGTGGGAGGAAGCAACATCCCAGGGCTGGCGAAACCTGCTGCTGGGGGGACATGTTCAAGGTACAGTCTTGTGACCCAAGGCTTCCAACACACCCATTCACCCATCACCTCTTCTTCTCCACTGAAGTGAGGCCGTGCAGGAATTTATCACTGCAGGCCTAACAGATGCAAAGTCCCTGTCAGCTCGCCAAACCCATCACATAACTGTGACCGCCGCAGTGCCGGCATCCCCAGCCCCTTGGGGACACCTGATACCATGTTGATCACGCTTTGATGGCGGGTGTAGCTGTGCATCTGCCAAGGCCCAAATCAACTCTGAAGACTCCGAACACAGTGAGGCTGCAAGTCTTCAACTCACATGAGCTCAATCAGAAACAAGAAGAGAAGCAATTACACCCACGTTGCCCCCAGCACTTTCCCAGGCTGCTCGCACTGCTGACGCCTTGGCATGGTGCGGTGGCTGGGGAAAGGCAGGGCTATCTCTGTCCACTGCGCAGCATGTAGGAGCGTGCAAGGCATAGGCAAAGCACCGACAGGGGATCATACCAAAATACATGACTGGGTTGTTCCTTGTTTACAGCCCCTGAAGAAATCAGAATCTCAGAAGTGCAAAATAGATGGAAGTGTCCTTACCGCCTACAGGGGAAGTGATGTCGTCTCCCTCTGGTGGGAGATGAAGGTGCTCCGATGCCTCCACACGTGGGGTGATCCTGCTTCCTGAGCTGGAACGCTTCCCTGACATCCGATTGCCTGGATCGACGGCAGCGGCCCAGAATGCCATTTTCGACTTTGCGGCTCCAGGGTGTGTACCACTACCTGGACCTGGGTACCTGCATGCACCTGCCGCCACTGGAATGGAAAGCAAGCTGGCTTTGCACAAGGTTATAAGGCAAACCATCTGAGACAGCTGCAAGGCGCCAACCAAATGAGGGACATTGAGTGTCTCCGTGGCCCGTGAGAGGGTGGGAAATCGGGCTTTGGTGCATGCTGGGCTCAGGCAAGACGGCCAAGGAGACCCCCTGGCAGACCTCTCCTGGCTCAGAGGAACTGAAATATGCCTGGGGTTCCCTGAGCAGAGAGAAAGGGAGGGAGGGGGTGTGGCAGAGCTGATTTTCTTGTACTTGAGGCAAAAGGCTGCACGGCTTGGTACAGTGACAGAGACTGCATGGTTGGCGAGGAAGCAGGAGTGAGGTGGGCGGCTTGGGCTCCAGATGAAAGATTAGAGGGAGACCAATGGCTCAACCTAGGCCGGTGGTAGGAGCAAGAGAGATGTAGGTGCATTTGATAACTCTTTAGCATACTCTCCATCAAAATTTAATTCAAACTGGGTTGTTTACCTAAATATAAATCCTGAAACTATACAACTTCTACAAGAAAACATAGGGAAAATCTTAATGAGCTGGGTTTTGGCAAAGATTGCTTAAATAGGGCCTCCCTGGTGGCGCAGCGGGTTGAGCACAGCGCTGTGAAGCTGTCCACAGCCTCTGCAGCTTGGGTTTGATTCCCAGCTGGCCAGGGAGATTCCCATATGGCGCAGCAGACCTCTCCTGTCTCGCCCGCTGCTCCCCTCAGCAGTGCTTTCGGTCCATCTGCCTGTTCTGCTCCCCACTCTGTCTCTGGTGAATCCTCTCACCCTCCCGCACCTCTGGCCTGTACTCCAGCTATTGTATAAATAAAAAATAAATCTTAAAAAAAATGATTGCCTAAATACAACACTAAAAGCACAACCAAAAAAATAATAATAAATCGAAATTCATCAAAATAAAACTCTTTTGTGTTTCTTCAAAAGCCAATGCAAGAGGGGCCTCCCTGGTGGTGCAAGGGGTTAAGCATCAGAACTATGAAGCAATCCGCACCTACTGCAGCACGACTTAGATCCCTGGCCAGGCAGACCACAGGCAGACCTCTCCTGTCTCGCCCACTGCTCCCCTCAGCAATGTATTTCAGTCAATCCTGTTCTGCTCCCCACTCTGTCTCTGGTGAATTCTCTCACCACCACCAACCCCGCACTTCTGGCCTACACCCCAGCTCTTGTATGAATAAATAAATAAATCTTTTAAAAAAGGCAATGAAAGATAAAAATTGAGCCACCAGCTAGGAGGAAGTAATTACAAAAATGGTGTCTGATGAAGAACTTGTATTTAGAATAAAGAACTTTGGCAACTTAAAATATAACCCAATAAAAATGGGCATAAGAATGAACAGGTACTTCATCTAAGAAGACCTGCAGGATGGAAAGCAAGCATATGAAAGAATGTTCAGAAGGTTATTTGGGGGAAATTCAGATGAAAAGCACCAGGAGGGTCACCATTCACACCAACTGGAAGGGTTAAAATTAAAAACTGACTATCCCAAGTGTTGACAAAGATGCAGAGGAGAGGGAGCTCTCACATTGCTGGTGAGAATGAAAGAGTTTGGAGTTTCTTAAAACTTAACAGCAGTAGGGCCTCCCCGGTGGCGCAGCGGTTGAGCACTGGGTTGTGAAGCTGCCTGCAGCCTCTGCAGCGCCCGTTCAATCCCTGGCTGCTCCCCGGCCACCGGAGGAGGGTCCCACATGGCGTGCAGACCTCTCCTGCCGCCCGCTGCTCCCCTCAGCAGTGTACTTCAGCCCTTCTGCCTGTTCTGCTCCCCGCTCTGGCTCTGGTGAATTCTCTCACCCTCCTGCCCTTCTGACTGTACCCAGTGCTTGTATAAATAAATAAATAAATAAATAAATAAATAAATAAATAAATCTTTAAATAAAAAAACAAAACCTTAACAGCAGTAAAGAGAAATGCGCTATTAAGCTACAGAAAGAGGAAATGCAAATGTATGGAAAAAAACTACATACTGTCCATTATATCTCTATAAAACTTGAGGGGGGAGAAAAAAAAGCTACATACTATAGGATTGCAACTATATGACATTCTAGAAAAGGCAAAACTAGAGATCATAAATGATCCTAGTTACCAGGGGCCTGGAGGAGGAGGGTGTCGTGCCCGACGTTGACCAGTGCAGCCCCCAAGGACACAGACAGCCAATGCAAGAACATAAAGGAGTTTATTACTGGCTCGAGTCCAGGCTCATGACATGCACCGATGCAACGGCAGAGGTCTAGAGCCCCGAACAGAGGAAGCAGGGGTCTATTATAGGGTCACAAGCGGCGTGAATTTTGAAAGAAGCTGGCAATTACTCATTGCCTACCTCAAAGGCATTTTGGCGCACACGGTTATAGTTTCAAACTGATTGGACGGTTAGTGATGCTGTCCCATTTATGGACAGGACTGCCCTCACTGGTGGCTGGGGTGGTCTGCTTTTTCGTCACCAAGTGGAGTGAGGGGTGTGACTATTGAAACTATCTCCGGAATGCGGCTGTACAAGGACTAACATATCAAGGTGGAGGATATACAAAATGGCGAAACCTTGGCTAAGCTCGGTTCCAAAGAGGGTGGCACAGGACATTTTTAGGGCAGTGAAGTGGAAAGGTCCTTGCAGGAGGCTGGAATGCAAAAACCCACCAGGTAGCCCACCTGGGAACAGGAATGCGGAAGCCTGCCTAGAGGATTCAGATAATGAACCTTCCGCCTCCCTACAAATCTTTTCTCAGACAAAGAAACTCCCCCTGCCCTACAAACTTTTTCCCCCGCCCTACGAATCCAGTCTCCCACCTGACCTCTCCTCACCCTATAAAAACCTGCATCCCCCTGACAACGTGCGCAGCTTCACTGACACCCATCTTGGGTCCCTGAGGTCCGCCTGGGGCGCAATAAATTTTCCCTGCCTTTGAGAAATTTAGCCTGGCTCACCTTTTCATTACCTCGCTGAAACTTTCAGAAACTATTCTGTAGGATACTGATGATAATAATATATAAGTATCAGTCCATCCATTGTAACAAACCACACTAAAGCAAGATCATAACAACAGAAGAAACTTAGAACAGGGAGCTCATAGTAACCCTCTGTACTTTCTAAGCAATTGTTCTATAAACCTCAAACTGATCCAAAAAGTAAAATCTCTTTTAAAAGAAGAAAAGAGAAAAAGAGGGACTCCCTGGTGGCGCAAGGTGTTAAGCACAGCACTGTGAAGCTATCTCCAGCCTCTGCAGCATGAGTTCAATCCCCAGCAGTCCAGGGAGCTGGCCACATGGTGCAGCAGACCTCCTGCTGCTCCCTCAGCAGGGTATTTCAGTCAGTCTGCCTGTTCTGTTCCCCACTCTGTCTCTGATGAATCTTCTGATCCCCCTCCACCACTGGCCTGTACCCCAGTTCTTGTATACGTAAATAAATAAATCTTAAACAAATGTTTATATCAAGTTTTATTGATTTGTCATTTGTTTGCCAAACTTTACATTTTGGGGAGAACAGCTTCACCCCTCAA